TTTATAGACTGTATCAGTCTAATTAAATTATTTTGTACAGCTTTTGTAAATTTCTTAAACTTTTATATTGCCTTGTTTATTTTGTTTGGATAGTTTGATTTGTTAAGTCCATAGCTAAGTAATGAACATCTTTTACAATGATTTCTGTATAAAATGATCTATTCAGAATAAATGTTTTTGTGTTTATGAAGTTTATATGAATCTGGACAGTTTGGTTTTTGGCACCATTTTTTGTTTCTTGTCACTTTAAAGAATGGGCATGTTTCTTCTATTAGGAAGTTTCCTTCAGTTTTGGAAATATTTAGCTTTGTTTTTATTTTAGTGAATGCCAGCATTGGGACTTACACCTTTTCTAAATCAAATTACATGGGGTGTTGAACACATTATATAATATAGATGCTTTATTATAGAATTATATAATTTTCTTAACCAAGATCATCCCCATAAGTTCAATAAAAAAGTAAAAATAGCCCTGACTGGTTTGGCTCAGTGGATAGAGCATCGGCCTACAGACTCAAGGGTCCCAGGTTCGATTCCGGTCAAGGGCATGTACCTTGGTTGCGGGCACATCCCCAGTGGGGAGCGTGCAGGAGGCAGGTGATCGATGTTTCTCTCTCATCGATGTTTCTAACTATCCCTCTCCCTTCCTCTCTGTAAAAAATCAATAAAATATATTAAAAATAAAATAATTACAGGATATAAAGATCTAAAGATAAACCAAGAAGAATTTGTTCTCCCTTATATTCCTGTTCAGATTTAATATTGCTGCTTTCGTGTCTCCCCCTGAATGGGATTTTGCAAATGGTTTAAGGTCATGTGCTCCTCAGGACATAACAGAAGTTTCCAGATCCTTTACAGCCAAGTCTGAATTATCAAGTCACTATAGTAAGATTTTTGTCCATTATCACCATCCATCACCAGAGGGTTTATTTGCTGTAATAGATGAGCCTATGTTGCCATAATCACCCAAAGCCTACCTTCTGGCTTATTTTTGCCGTTATTCCATTATATTTGTTTAGATAGTTCTGCTCGCAGATAGGTTTCAAGGCAATGTAGTGTGTGATGATGCACTTGTCATAAAACACATTATGTTCACTGCTGTAAAAATACGCTGTTCATCCCTCCCTCCAGCCCTCAACTTACAATAACTAATCTTTTTTACTGTTGTCTAGTTTTGCCTTTTCCAAAATGTAATGAAGTTGGAATCACAAAGTATATAGCCTTTTCAGATGGGCTTTCACTTAAAACGTTTTTCAACCAGTGTGTATGTGGCAAGAATTTTTAAACGTGCAATACCTGCCTGGCTGTTGTGCCTCTGCTTGAGCTTTGACTTTTGAACCAGGAGATCACAGTTCAATTCCCAGTCACTTGCCCAGGTTGTAGGCTCGATCCCCAGTAAGAGGGTACGTGTGCAGAGGAAGTAGCCAATCAGTGATTCTCATCAATAAAATAGCTATACAGCTATGAAGAGTTGAACTTTAAATGCCCATTTAAATCAGCAATTTTCAGCCCTTTTCATCTCATGGCACATATAAACTTTAATGAGGCCTGGTGCACAGATTTGTGCACTTGGAGGCGGGGACCATGGCCTGCAGGGATCACCAGCTGTGGGAGCCCCACTGATCCTACTTAGACAAGTGGCCATGGATCCACCCTCTGAGTAGCTACTGAATGAGGAAATTAGTTGAGCTGATGTTTTGGGGTAATGTCTTGGGTAAAGTCACATTCTGTGTCCAGGGGGAACCTGGTGGAGAGCTTTGCACCCCAAAGCCACTCGGTGAATGTCCTCAATGGTGTGATGCCAGGTTGGTGACACCATTGGGGTTGTTCAGGGCAGCTGTGCTCCAGGATCCTCAGCCAGCAGGACAGAGTCCACAGTCATGTCCCCTCTTGCCATTCACCTATGCCAGCTACCTGCGCTCTTTCTAGAATGCACCTTAGAGGGCCTGCATCAGCTTGTGGGGTCAGGCCAGTCTGGATTGTCTCAGGTATTTGATAGGTGCAGAGACTTGGCATCACCCTGGGCCTGCTAGTGGCTGCTCCCACAATGGGAGCAGCTGCTCATCCTGGTCAGCCAAGCAGTGCACAGTGGGACCACCAGGGGGCAACTCCTGCATTGAGCGTCTGCCCCCTGGTGGTCAGTGCACATCATAGTGACTGGTCGGTGATTCTGGTGGTTTCACCCTTCAGTTGCTGGGCTTTTATACATATACTAGGGGCCCAGTGCATGAAATTTGTGCACTACGGGGGTCCCTCAGCCCAGCCTGCCCCCTCACATACTGGGAGCCCTCAGGTGATGTCCTACTGATGGCTTAAGCCCGCTCCCTGCTCCCCTTGGGGAGCGGGCCTAAGCCACAGTCTGGCCTCCCTTTGTGGGAGGCGACCGGGCTGATCAGAGGAAGGCACCAGACCTGCTGCAGCCACTGCCAGTCACTGCAGCCACCATGGACTCCAGCCCCTTCACCATGAAAAAATGACAACATTCTTTAGGTATTTTCAAGATGTGTCTTTCATAGGATATGACATTTCTTATTTTTTTTTAACCTCACCTGAGGATATGTTTCCATTGATTTTTAGAGAATGTGGAAGAGACAGGGAAAGACAGAAACATCAAAGTGTGAGGAACACTTTGATTGGTTGCCTTCTGCATGAGCACTGACCTGGGCCCCAGCCAGGGAAGAGCCTGCAACCTAGGTACGTGCCCTTGGTCAGAATTGAACCTAGACCCTGTGGTAGGCAGGCCAGGCATTATCTACTGAGCCAAACCGGCTAGGGCAGGATATGATATTTCTTAGCCCTTCCAGCAGCAGACCTTCGTTTTTTTCTCCAGGAGTGAGGTGGAAAAAAACCCTACATCACCTTCTCGGATTCTTATTACCCAAGTTACTAAGAATATTACCAGTGGCATACAGGGAGCTTAGCCAATGAGCGGTCAGAAAAGATGTTTCCTCTGTAGTTCACACCGATCCCCGGCTCAGCCCTTGCCCAGGCCTAAGGCCTCTGGCCGGGGCTTTAGGCCTGGGCAGGGGACCCCCGGCCCCGGGCGATTGCCGGCTCCTCCCCTTCCCATGCCTCAGGCCTCTGTCTGGGCATTAGGCCTGGGCAGGGGACCCCAGCCCACTCCGATGGCCTGCTCCGCCCCTACCCAGGCCTAAGGCCTCTGGCTGGGGACCCCAGCCTGCTCAGATAGCAGGCTCCGCCCCTGCCCAGGCCAGAGGGGTGTTAGGCCTTGCAGGGGACCCCCAGCCTGCTCCAATCGCCTACCCAAGCCTCAGGCCTCTGGCTGGGGCATTAGGCCTGGGCAGGGGACCCCCAGCCCACTCCAATCGCCTACCCAGGCCTCAGGCCTCTGGCTGGGGCATTAGGCCTGGGCAGGAGACCCCCCAGCCCACTCCGATCGCAGGCTCTGTTCCTGCTCAGGCCTCAGGCTTCTGGCCGGGGTGATCGCCGGCTCTGCCCCTGCCCAGGCCTCAGGCCTCTGGCCAGGGCATTAGGCCTAAACAGGGGACCCCCAGCCTGCTCCTATCGCAGGCCCCACTCATACTCAGGTCTCTAGCCAGGGCATTATGCCTGGGCAGGGGACCCCCAGCCCCTGGCAATTGCCGGCTCCGTCCCTACCCAGGCCTCAGGCTTCTGGCTGGGGCGATCGCTGCTCTGCCTTCCCGGGTGGCATCTGGTGCTGCCCGCCCCGCCTTCCCGGTCCCCGATCTGCGGCCAGGATTCCAAGGGCAGCGTCTGGCGCTGCCTGCCCCACCTGCAGTATGCAAATTTAACGGCCATCTTTGTTGGGTTAATTTGCATACTCTTCTGATGGGCTGGCGGGCATAGCGATGGTACGGTCAATTAGCATATTTGTCTTTTACTGATTCCTGCAAGAATAGGGCTTCCTGAAGCTGGAATGAAGCAGAGAAGGGAGCGAAGCCCACCGAGGCAAGCTTCACTCCCTTCTCCACCGCTTTGCTCCTTTCTGTTGCACTTCACTCCCTTCTATGCTGTCTCCAGTCTTTGTTCCACGCCTGTGTATGCAAATTAACCAACATCTTCGTTGGGTTATTTTGCATACTTTGATTAGTTGGTGGGTGGAACAGAGGGATGGTCAATTTGCATGTTTCTCTTTTATTAGTGTAGATGGTTTACTAAAATTCTGTGGTACACACAAAAATATGTTTTGCTTATCTGAAAAAAGGTATTTTGATTCATTCACACCAGAGGGCTCTTGTGTTGGCTGTCAGTTTTTTAAAATCTAAGGGAAAAGAGGTAAGTGCCTGACTAGCCAGGTATTGCATGTTTTGTATTTGAATAACACATCTCGCTTTCTCCTCCTTCAGATGTTTGCTAATTTCAGCAAGGCCTTCCCTGGCTATGGCTACTTGAAATTGCCACAATCCCTCTTGCCAACACTATGCCTGTGCCCTTTCGTTTTTTCTATAAGAACTTTTTATGCAACTCTGCTGCTCAGTAAATATTTGGTGGATGACTTTTTTGGAGCAGAGCTCTGAGGGAGAGATCCATATAGAAAACACAGGTGCCGGAAGCCGGTGCATCCTTGCTGCTTGACACAGTTGCTGCAGGTAAGAAACATCTGCACAGCATATGTTTCAAGGGACCTGGCATATATGGCACACTGTTCTTAATATCTTTGCTCCCCTTCTTAGCGCTATGTGTTTTAACCAAGGTCACCTCTCCAAGAAAGGTTGTTTCCCCAGGTGGGGATTTTTCTCTGGAGTTAGGGATTAACAGGACTGAGGAAGGGAATAAATCAGTAAAACCCCTTAACTAAGTGCCAGGCGGGTAGTTAATCATTTTAACTACGAACAATCAAGCTTAAGCTACATAATCTTTACTTAGGATAATCTCTTTCAGTTACTTCCTTGTAGCTTAACAGAACAATAGAGTAGTGACCTTGGAATGGAGAGAACAAACGCCCTAACCTTTGGAATAGAATGGATAGGATTAAAATCAACTGGTATAAATACAGATGTAACAGGAGAGTAAAGACAGAACCTAGCTAGAGAACCTGGCGAGAGAACCTCGCTATGCTGATCAACTGAACACTGTCTCCTTGTCCTGGAATTGAGCCATAATTACTTGGCTTATAGGTCTACACTCAACCACCAAGCTACATGACCCAGGCCTTAAAAGTTTTTTTTTAAAAAAATATTTTTATTGAACGCCCTCCCGGAAGTAGAATGTAGATCCAGCCGCTGGTGGCCCCCGAGAACAGACCTGGGGCGGTCGTGCCTGAACTATTTCTCTACATTTCCTCTCGCTCCTTCCTGAGATTTCCAGGTCCACGGAGTGAGGACACGTCTCCACCATCATGGGGGGCAGAGACCTGAACCTGAAGAAGAGCTGGCACCCGCAGACACTCCGCAATGTGGAGAAAGTGTGGAAGGCTGAGCAGAAGCATGAGGCTGAGCGGAAGAAGATTGAGGAGCTTCAGCAGGAGTTGCAGGAGGAGAGGGCCAGGGAGGAGATGCAGCGCTATGCGGAGGATGTTGGCGCTGTCAAGAAGAAAGAAGAAAAATTGGACTGGATGTACCAGGGTCCTGGTGGGATGGTGAACCGTGATGAGTACTTGCTGGGGCGCCCCATTGACAAATACGTTTTTGAGAAGATGGAGGAGAAGGAGGCAGGCTGTTCTGAGACAGGACTCCTCCCGGGCTCTATCTTTGCCCCTTCAGGTGCCAATTCCCTCCTTGACATGGCCAGCAAGATCCGGGAGGACCCACTCTTCATCATCAGGAAGAAGGAAGAAGAGAAAAACAGAGAGGTATTGAATAATCCTGTGAAAATGAAGAAAATCAAAGAATTGTTGCAAAGGAGTCTGGAAAAAAAGGAGAAGAAAAAGAAGCACAAGAAACATAAGCACAGAAGCTCAAGTAGTGATCGTTGCAGCAGTGAGGATGAGCGCAACTGGGGGAGGTCTCAAAAGAAGATGGTAAATTCTTCCTCTGTTTTATCCAAAGTTCCTGGGTATGGTTTACAGATCAGGGACTCCGACCATAGCCAGCGTCTGCAGGGCCCTTTGATGGCTGAGCCAAAAGGAGTGCATGGGTGGAAGAATCACTCCAGGTCCAGGAGCTCCTCCCCGTCACCTCCCAGACATGCCAGCAAGAACACCAGAGGAGGGTCCCGGGACAGGAGGTCTCGATCCCAGGACAGAAGGTCACGGTCCCCAAGGCCAAGCAAAACGCACAACTCTAAGGTAAACAGGAGAGAGAGAGGCCGAACTAAGAGCCCATCACCTAAAAAAGAGGTCTACCAAAGGCGGCACGCACCTGGATATACCAGAAAGCTCTCATCAGAGGAACTTGAGCAAAAACGGCAAGAAATGATGGAAAATGCCAAGTGGCGGGAGGAAGAGAGGCTGAACATCCTTAAGAAGCACGCGAAGGATGAGGAAAGGGAGCAGAGGCTGGAGAAGCTGGACTCTCAGGACGGGAAGTTTATCCACCGCATGAAGCTAGAGAGTGCGTCCGCCTCCTCCCTGGAGGACCGGGTGAAGCGGAATATCTACTCTTTACAGAGAACCTCGGTAGCCCTGGAGAAGAACTTTATGAAAAGATGAAACCATCCTCTCTTGCTGGTTTTCCTGAATGTTCCAGGGAAGCTGCTGACCCTTAAAAATTCTCTTTATGAGTTCAAGTGACTTCTTCCACAGACGTCAAACCACCACTGTTCAAAGTGACTCTCCTCCGTTGACTCCTGAAACAGCTACTTCGAGAGCTTGCTTTATGGGACCCTCAGCAACGTTTGCTGGGTGCAGAGTGGATTTTGACTGTTTTTAATGGTGGGCACTGGACCATCTAGGTGTGAGCACTCCTGCCACTCTGGAGGGCTGCTTCCTGTGGTTGTGATTCGTATTATGCCTTTCCTCCCACTGTGTGAACACACCTATTCTACCACCTCAGCATATACCAGTCCTTTTAGAAACCTCACTCTCCAGGCGCTGACATAGATTGTGCTCACTTGGGTAAATGAACATTTACTTGGTTTAATAGGTGACAGGGTGAGACCAGGTTAGGGCAGAGCCAAGGGAGTGACAAAGAATCTGGAAGGGGAAAATATTTTTAAAATCCTTAAGTGAACTGTTGGAACCATTGGACTCTCAAACTGTAGAAGTATAGTGTGTGTGTGTGTGTATATGGTATTTTATTTTATTTCTTAAAATATATTTTGATTTTTTACAGAGGAAGGGAGGATAGTCAGAAACATCGATGAAAGAGAAACATCGCTCAGCTGCCTCCTGCACACCCCCCCCTGGGGATGTGCCCGCAACCAGGTACATGCCCTTGACCGGAATCAAACCTGGAACCCTTCAGTCCATAGGCCGATGCTCTATCCACTGAGCCAAACAGGTTAGGGCACAAATGGTAATTTTTACATGCTTTTAAAAAAACATTAGCTTTGTGATAATATCTTGTTTGGTAAGTGACTTTACTATTTAACGGAATCGCATTGTATCTTGTTATTGAGTAATACAGTAAGGCAGGTCAGCTTTTTTCCCCCTTTGCAAATCCAGCTAGTTTAGGAGGGGATGGGTGCTTAGAGTCTTTTATGTGAGAAGTGCAATGATGAAGTCAAATGTATGAGTCAGGACCAAATTTGCAGTATGCTCCCTGGCTCTTAAAAAAAAAAAAAAAAAAATGGAAGCTGTTTTAAAAATTTATATTTTTTTATTGATTTCAGAGAGGAAGGATAGAAAAATCAATGAGAATCACTGATAGGAATCAAACCTGGGACCCTTCAGTCCACAGGCTGACACTCTATCCATTGAGCCAAACTGACCCTGACCAGGGCTTAAGTTTTTTTATTTTTAAATATATTTTACTGATTTTTTACAGAGAGGGAGAGGGATAGTTAGAAACATCTGAGGGAGAAACATTAATCAGCTGCCTCCTGCACACCCCCTACTGGGGATGTGCCTGCAACCAAGGTACATGCCCTTGACTGGAATCGAACCTGGGACCCTTGAGTCCCAGGCAGACGCTCTATCCACTGGGTCAAACCGGTTAGGGCAGGGCTTAAGTTTTTTTTAAAATTGATTTTTATAGGGAGAGAAACATTGTGAGCAAAACATCAACCTGCTGCCTCCTGAACGCGCCCTAAGGAGACCAAGCCTACAATACTGGCACATGCTGATTGGGAATTGAACCTGCAACCTCGTGGTGCCTGGATGATGCCTAACGGAGCCACATGGGCCAGGTCAACTAGGGTTCTTTGTAAGTTACTAAGGTGACAGTGATGGATGCACTGTCCTCATCCTTTTAAAAATTCATTGTAAGTGCACTGGAAAATCTAGATGATTGGACTTGATATGACTCCTAATTACCCAGTAAAATGGGAAGAGGGGTGGAGGAGAAAGGGAGTTTGGAAGCCTTTCTGATCCAACCAAGTTTCACACACTTATGCATAGGGTTGTGTTCAGGTACAAATTCGCTGCAATTCAAGTTTTTTAGACAGAAGCCAATTATAAGCTACTCTGAAGTCAAAAGTACTGATTATATCTTCTAGAGCCCACTTAAAGCCTGCTGAACAACTTAAACCTTTAGGACTCAGCAGGATGAATAGGTTAACTTACATATACTAGGGAACTAACACCTAGCGTAATTCTCACAGAAATGATTAACTTATTTTACATGGCACCTGTAAACAGCACCCGAGGGAAATTTTTATAAAGGCAATTTAGTAGTCTAAGCAATAACGTACACTTAAACTCTGATACTCATGTTACATTTAAAGCCCAGTAGTTGTGCCAGTTCCTGCAAGCATCCTGTGAGACAGTAGATGCATCAGTTAATATTTTAATACCATTTACCAGTGTTTTGCCCAACAACTTAAAATCACTCATCTAGAATTTTAATTGATTTTTATAGATTAGAAGGAACCCAAATAGCTCTCCCATATATTTACAATCAAGAAAGAATATCTTAAGACCACCAAAGTCAATGGGAAATGACTTGTCTAATGCCTGTGGTGAGCTACTGTTAAAAAAAATGGTGACTGGCAGAAAACAAATTTTCTCTATTTCCTAATAACCCTTGAAGAAAAGAATACTGCTTCAGGATATGGATCTACATGAAGATATGTCTGGCAATGCAAATGTCTATCTCTAGGTCCTCTCCTACTTTAAAATAAGACGTATTAGGTCCACATTCTCAGTGGGGGCGGTATCACCCCCAAATGGGACAAAAAAACCTCCCGTATTCTTTTAATGTATAAAGCAGGTACAATACACATACAAGCTTATCTGTAATAAAATTTATTGGGGTGCTATAAGAAAACTCTAAAAAGGCTTCCTGGAGGAGAGTGATGAGCTTTGAGAAACACTGAATTAGAAGTCAGTATCTCAGTCACATGCATTTCCTCTTACCACCATCATTATGCTGTGACAAAATATCCTTGGTGTTTTTGGTATTTGGAATTTTCATAAGAACAGCATAATAAATATCTCTAGGACAATACTCCAGAATAATTAAGATTAAGAAACTTATGATCAGCTCTAAACACATTTAATTATGGCATCTAAGAGACCCTCTGAAACAGAAACCGAGTTAGGAAAATCAACATTTATCCAATCATACAAGTACAGTTTTAACATCTATATTAAGAATTACATATTTGAGGCCATAGGTTGGCACTGGCAACCGAGTTCCAAAATTACCACTTAGAATTCTAAAAGAAAATCTGCAGTCCTTTCAGAAAGCATTCCCTTTTTTTTATACTGTCACAGGTGATACCCATTTACTATAATATTGTAAGTAAACACTACGTTGTCATTATGAAGAAAAAAACTGTGATCAGACAAAGATCATAATGTAGTTCTGGAAGACTACACATTCACTATACACAGTATATAATAAAACAGGGTACACTTTGAATGGCAGTAACATGCAATAATTTGGTTGTTGAAATGTTATGTAGTTTCTGCAACATCAGAATTCTTTGTAGGTGTTTATAGTTTGGGAGCTACAAGGGTGAAAGAGCAATTATTTAATGCTTACATAGTAGAAATGCCTGAATGTATAACATACAGTTACCACTGGACATTAGCATGGAATTTATAAAAAAAATAAAGATTGACCTATATAACCTAATAAGGATGGACTTTATTTTTTTTAAAGTCTTTTAAGGACTACAAATTACAAAGCAAAAGCAAATCACTACGTAGAAACCTAGTGAATACATTTTGCCTGTGCATGAAAATTTTATCAGTTATTCATTTACAATTTCACCCCATTCACAATGGTATCAATAATAATGCTCTTCTTAAGGTAACTATACACCTTCATTTCAAATTATACTACATATTATTCCCTCCAGATTAATTGTTAAACACCAAATTCTTGGCTCATAAAAATGGCACCTTTGAAAGGGGCAATTTCTACTCAGTCTCTGGTGGCATTATTCCAAGCAAATTTCTTTCAATAATCAAAACTTCCAAAATCTTCACTTTTAAGGTGAAGTCTTTCCAATCAAAAAGTGTGGTCACATTTTGTTTTCTGCTGACTACATATATAGATGGGTGGCAGAAAGAAAAGATGGAAATTAAAATAACTGAATTGTATAGAAAAGACTTTTGGCTCATGGCAATTAAAAAAGGCAACTAGGGTATGCTAATAGCCAAATGCTTGAATCATTAATTAGTGAATATTAGTTAGGAGAATGAGGCTGGTCCTATCATTACACTCCATTCTTTACATCAAATACTCTAAGCCAATAGGAAAAGAGTTATATTTAGAGTCCCAATTAGAACATGCTGGCACTTAACATTTTCAACAATTTACTGGGTTTAGTACAGTCGTTTCATTACTCACACTATTTCATGAGTCCTTTCCTAACATTCTAAGTGTTAAATTCATTATGTGACAAGACTTTTCTAAGGTACAGTTGTAAATGGTATGACAAGAATACCCCGTATGTTCTGCTTGAAAAGACAGAAACTGAATGAAGAAGTTTCTCAATAGGAAAAAGCTCAACTTTCTTCTTCCCACCACCTCTGCCCACAATAGTTTCCCAAAGACCTCACTTTCAAGCTTTTCTCCATGGCTTCACTAAGGAATGAAAATCAGAGCAAACAACTGAGCTCAAACACATCTGGAGCTGAAATTCAAGAAAATATTAACATGTGAGCAATGGTTCAAATACTCAAGATTCATGTTAATGAGTTCAATTACTGCATATGAGATTTTTACAGATGAGGAGGGCTTTGGGCATACCGAATTATCACACAAATCATTGCTTTTTGAGACTTTGGATACTTTTACAGTTTAATTTGCAAACAGAATTTTTATAACAAATTATTTTTAACCAAATCATATCTTTAAAACTGTTTATATAGAAAACCCAGGAAAAAAGTGAACTGTTCACTGTGGAAGGCCTTAAATTACATTATTACAGTAGAAAATACAGGAGGTAGAAGATAACTGAAAAGACTAATGCAACATTAGATCCAAATCTACAGCTCCTGTAGCTACTTAAAACATGGTTTTAGAAATTAAACCCAACATTTCCAGTAACCATAGAAACAGTTAAAATAAAATTTGCCATGAAAGCCCTTATATCATGCTTGATATAGGGAGGTAGGAAGATGTAAGAACCAGGACACATGAGACATGACATTTTATCTACAACTCCTGTTTGCTTTACTGAGGGTGTAGTTTCAAAATTCAGTCACCTTCTTCAGCTTCAGACTCAGATTCTAGAAAAGAGGGAAAATGGAGCAAAGCATTATATATCAGAAAGCAAAAGTTCCCTTTTATAACTGTGAAGACTTTATTAATGTCCTACTTATATGAGGGATATTAAAGAGTATTCATTTATAAATCTCAAAATTCGTATCAGACATTCTCAAAATTTTCAAATTTCCTCCTAAGAAAGTAGTACTAGGGTCATCAGAATATTTTAATGAAGTCTAATTTTCCTCAGCTGCCTCAGAGTTAATAAATCAACAAAAATCTGTACTCTAGGTACAAAACGGTCTCTGAAAGAAAGAGGCGCATGTGGAGACGTTCTATAGCCACACTTAACCAGTGCTTAGGCTTCTGCCACAAAAGACTTACCTTCCTCAGCATTTTTGAGCCACTCCACAAACTTTTTCATTTGTTCAAGGAAGACACTTTTCCCTTTTGCAACATGTGCATCTTTGTACCACTTCAGAATGGGCTCCTCACTCAGGACTTCAGCTGTAAAGGAGAGAGCGAGCATTACATTCGGGAAGTTTTCAAACATGTCTCTAACGCCGCATTAGAACCTACCTAAGGTGCAAAAAAGATCCTATTGAAAGGAAAAACCAACAAACCTGTATTCAAAACATTCTTAATTGGTATCTTCAACAAGTAATTTTTAAAGAAAAACATAAAAGACCCACTACCCAGCCAGGGACACCTTCTTTATTAAAAAAAAAATTTTTTTTGAGAAATTTTAAATTACCTTTGTAAAAAAGCACCACTATTTTCTGGAAGGCTTTCATGAAATGAATGTTATCATAGCAATACTCCTGAATCTTCAGTAACAGAGTCAGCTCAGACTGACCTTGAGTAGTAAAGGCAGCAAGGAGAGGGCTGTATTGCTTTTGAAGGGAAGGGAGAAAAGATTTAGTTATTCATTCTGCTAACTATCCATTATAAAATTCCTAAAATACAGAACATAACTATCTTTTACAATCACTGTGAATTAATTATATTCTACTTAGTGGAAATTAAAAAAAAATAGTAAAGCTTAAGCATCTATGTCAAATAAACAATACTGCACCAGGGATTCCAGATAACTGTCAATACAATGTTTAATATTTTAAAGGAAAAAGAAGAAAATTTCCAAAGTTCCATAAAAACCAAACACCAAATTGCAGGCATAAACTACTTTTAAATACTCGTTTTTAACCTGTGAAACAAACAAAACCCAAGCTAGGCTTTAAAATAAGTTACATCAATAATATTTGTCTATTTACTGGTTGAATTATCCCCATGAACTAGATGTGATAAACACTCTTAGAAAAAATACAGTAACAGTTCACTTTTCCAAATTTAAAAGCAGAATGTTTTGTCAAGGCACAGATCTAATACCTTCAAGTGCTTGATGGCCTGCTCTGCTACAAGCTCCTCTTTTTTGTTCCATTCCACGGTGCTCATCACACTGGACCAGATTAATCCAATGACAACCGGTTCTGGGATGTTGTTTTTTTTCATCTCCTCCTTGACATACAAAATTATCTGCAAAAGAATCCAAATTTAGTTAACATAAATGATATGTATGTACATACGCCATACATACCCCCCGGAGTGTTATAATTTCTGGGCCCAAGAAGGCACTAAATATAAAAAAGACAGGCAAAGCCCCAGCATAATATTCTATAGCTATTAACTAAAGCCCACTCTAGTGAAATACTTTAGCCAGATAAAGACAGTTTAAACAAAAAATATCTTACATCCTTAAATGGATCACCACGGGACATCTGTTCTTGAAGCTCTTTCTGGAGTTCTTTACGAGCTCCTATGGTTTGCTGATTCCGAACATATTCTGAAAGCTCTTTTAAGCCTGCCTCAGTGAAATACTTTGTGAAGTGTTCAACGCTTTGTTTATTGGCAGGAAAAAGTTCCTGAAAGGAGAAGTTCATCTAGTTAGATTATCTTTAAATCAGGTTAAGAAAAACTCTTAACAGATTACAAATGACAAGTTCCTTATTACACTTTCATGGCAAGAATGGCATAAGAGAATGAAAGAAGATACCCCAGCTGGGGGAGAACCAAGATGGCGGCATAGGTTAACGCCGGAGTTTGCTGCTTTGAACAACTACTTCAAAAGTGAAACCAAAAAACGGAAGGGACATCACCCAGAACCACAGGAACGCTGGCTGAGTGGAAGTCCTACAACTAGGAGGAAAGAGAAACGCATACGGACACTCAGAGGAGGCGCAGTGCTGAAGTCAAGTTCTGAGGTGCGGAGTGCGCGCAGCGGGCTGGCGGTGGAGGGCGCGGTTGGCGTTTTCAATCCGGAGGGAGTCGCAGACTCTGAGCTCCAGATCCGGGCGAGTCTTTAGGGACCCAGACTCAAACGGGAGAAGCGGGACTGTCTGGCTTCGGTCAGAGCGAGTGCAGCTTTCTCTCTGAGCTTTGCAGCGGGTGCTGGGACTCAGAGAGGCAGAGCCCCTGGGGACAGGACTGAGAGCCGCCATAACTGTTCTCTCCGGCCCACCCTGTTGATCCTGTGTGACCCGCCCCGCCCAAGCCCTGCACACAGGCATTTGCCGGATAGCCTCAGGCAAACGCCAGATTAGCACCTCCCTAGAGGACAGAAGTTCTCTCACTGCTGACACAGCTGATTCTCATAGCCACTTGGCCTGGAGGTCAAAACCCTCCCTGGAATTAGCTACAACAATCAAGATTTAACTATAAGACTGCGAACAAAGACCACTAGGGGGTGCACCAAGGAAGCATAACAAAATGCGGAGACAAAGAAACAGGACAAAATTGTCAATGGAAGATACAGAGTTCAGAACCACACTTTTAAGGTCTCTCAAGAACTGTTTAGAAGCCGCCGATAAACTTAATGAGATCTACAAGAAAACTAATAAGACCCTCGATCTTATATTGGGGAACCAACTAGAAATTAAGCATACACGGACTGAAATAACGAATATTATACAGACTCCTGACAGCAGACCAGAGGAACGCAAGAATCAAGTCAATGATTTGAAATGCGAGGAAGCAAAAAACACCCAACCGGAAAAGCAAAATGAAAAAAGAATCCAAAAATGCGAGGATAGTGTAAGGAGCCTCTGGGACAGCTTCAAGCGTACCAACATCAGAATTATAGGGGTGCCAGAAGATGAGAGAGAGCAAGATATTGAAAACCTATTTGAAGAAATAATGACAGAAAACTTCCCCCACCTGGTCAAAGAAATGGATTTACAGGTCCAAGAAGCGCGGAGAACCCCAAACAAAAGGAATCCAAAGAGGACCACACCTAGACACATCATAATTAAAATGCCAAGAGCAAAAGACAAAGAGAGAATCTTAAAAACAGCAAGAGAAAGAAACTCAGTTACCTACAAGGGAATACCCATACGACTGTCAGCTGATTTCTCAACAGAAACTGTGCAGGCCAGAAGGGAGTGGCAAGAAATATTCAAAGTGATGAATACCAAGAACCTACAACCAAGATTACTTTATCCAGCAAAGCTATCATTCAGAATTGAAGGTCAGATAAAGAGCTTCACAGATAAGGAAAAGCTAAAGGAGTTCATCACCACCAAACCAGGATTATATGAAATGCTGAAAGGTATCCTTTAAGAAGAGGAAGAAAAAGGTAAAGATACAAATTATGAACAACAAATATGCATCTATCAACAAGTGAATCTAAGAATCAAGTGAATAAATAATCTGATGAACAGAATGAACTGTTGATTATAATAGAATCAGGGACATAGAAAGGGAATGGACTGACTATTCCTGGGGGGGAAAGGGGTGTGGGAGATGAGGGAAGAGAATGGACAAAAATCGTGCACCTATAGATGAGGACAGTGGGTGGGGAGTGAGGGCGGAGGGTGGGGCGGGAACTGGGAGGAGGGGAGTTATGGGGGGAAAAAAAAGAGGAACAAATGTAATAATCTGAACAATAAAGATTTAATTTAAAAAAAAATAAAAAAATAAAAAAATAAAAAAATAAAATTAAAAAAAAAAAAAAAAAAGAATCTTATCTGGCCCTGGCCAGTTTAGCTCAGTGGATAGAGTGCTAGCCTGTGGACTAAAGGGTCCCAGGTTCAATTCCAGTCAAGGGCACATGCCTGGGTTGTGGGATCGATCCCCAGTAGTGGGTGCGTAGGAGGCAGTAGATCAATGATTCTTTCTCATCATTGATGTTTCTCTCTCTCCCTCTCTGAAATCAATAAAGAAATATATATATATTTAAAAAAAAAAAAAAAAAAAGATACCCCAGCTGGTGTGGGGCTCAGTGGTTCAGCATCAACCTACGAACCAGGAGATCATGGTTTGATTCCTGATCTGGGCACATGTCCTGGTTGTGAACCTGATCCCCAGTAGGAGGCATGCAGAAGGCACCCGATCAATGATTCTCATCATGGATGCTTCTCTCTCTCTCTCTCTCTCTCTCTCTCTCTCTCTCTCTCTCTCTCTCTCTCTCTCTCTCTCTCTCTCTCTCTCGCTCTCCTTTCCTCTTAAAATAAAGAAGCTACAAACCATCAGTCTGTTATCCATGCTGACTCTCCGAAGACTTGAAGCTACTGCATTGATGTCTTTTTCATTTATCCATGATTTAAAGAGCTTTACAGCAAAAGCTGCTGAAACCCCTGTAGAAAAGAGCACACTTAGCAGAATCGCCTTTCTGGATTCAACCTCCCCATTTCCTCCCTCCATAGTTAAGCCACACAGGACTACTCCCTTTATTCCCACTTACTCCTGAACTTCCCTCTGCTACTGCTTACCATTTAACTCCAATTTCTCTAGTCTACCATTTGCTGATTATATATTCTTACTCAAGTGAAACTGTTTTCTAATGTGTTAAATGAGGGTAAACAGTTCTTACAATTGACAGGGTTGTTGTGAAAATTAAAATAAGGCATGTTAAATACAGAGTACTCTGGCCAATGTGGCTCAGTTGGTTGTAGCATCATCCCATACACGAAAAGGTGGTGGGTTTGATTCCCCATCAGAGCACATATGAAAGGCAAAGACAAACGTTTCTTTCTCTCCCCCTCTCCCTAAAATCGATAGAAACATATCCTTGGGTGAAGATTAAATAATAAAAAAATAAAAAATAGTATTTGTAAAGAGAAGTTATCTTTGTTACTATAAAAAATAATTTACCTGTGGAGATCAATATAAGGGACTTATTTTCCTTTTCAGCTTGACATTTCCCCCAATAGTATTTTCACTATTAAAGATGATCCCAAGTCTCCCAATTGGAATTAATCTCCTTATGGGTTACCATGGAATTAAAATCCTTTTACTTTATAATCACATTGCATCTGGACCCTGTATATTTGCTGTATACCTAAATTAAGCCACTAACCCTCTATGCCAAAAGTATATAATAAATGTCTAATGAATCTGAATCAACCTATTAAATTTAAGGACAGTTAAAAAGACTATACAAGTCAAATCTAAATAAACTCTAAGTTTTATATCAGTCCATCTTTCATGCTCTTATCTACCCTACCCTCAGCCAACTAAAAACTAACCTTTACTAAAGGTTAATTACCTTCTTTAACCAAATTCTCATTATAAAGGCTATTAAGAATGGATGCATTAAGTGTTCCATTAGCCAGAAGAACACCAGTCAACATAGCCAGCTTGTTCCTCTCCGACTCCGAAAAACCCTTTAAGAACAGCAGCAGCTGTAAAAATAAATAGTTATAAGTTAAAAGAGCAACTATTTAAAGAGAAGCAGTAAAGCATACTATACTGGTTACAAGTATGGGCTCTGGAGTACCGCCCACGTCAGTTATAATACACACTAGAGGCCCGGTGCACCAGATTCGTGCAGTGTGTGTGTGTGTCCCTCAGCTTGGCCTGTGCCTTCTCACAGTCCGGGACCCCTAGGGGATGTCCGCAAGCCAGCAGTCACATATCTCTCTTGCAGCCCGCCACCCCTTGCTACTTTACCGCCCGCCACCACTGCTACACTCGCCAGCCCAGCTTCTGGCTGAGCAGTGTTCCCTCTGTGCAAGCGCACTGACCACCAGAGGGCAGCTCCTGCATTGAGCACCTGCCCCCTGGTGGTCAGTGTGTGTCATAGCTACTGGTTGTTCCACCGTTTGGTGGATTTGCATATTATGCTTTTATTATATAGAATTTTATAGGATTAGCTGAGTGATTGTAGGCAAGTTAACTTCTGTTGCCTCAGTTTCTTCATATGTAAAATGTGGATTAAACTTGTTCATAGGGTTTTTGCAAATATTAAATGAGTTTAATTAGAATAGTGTCAGATACTTGGTAAATGTTACCAAAAACATTATTACCATATATTCTGTGCACCTATACATACTGTATAGCCAAGACTCAAATAGCAAGTAAGCTAAATTTCCCTTTTTCAATGTATTTAGTTCTAATCCTCTATTGTCTATCTTTTGAACAAACTCCACTTTGACTTTTAGTCTTCTGCCACTTATTTGGACACAGAGCTAAGGAACAGTGTATAGCAAGTTAAACTAAATGATTTACCCCCAAACTACATTTCAGAAACAATCTACCTAAATATCTAAAATTACCTCAAATCTAAACAGTAAGGAGGTTCCAAAAAAAAAAAAAAAAAAAAAAAAAAAAAAAAAAAATTTAAAGACAGAACTATCATATGATCCAGCAACCCCACTTCTGGTATTTATCTTAAGAAACCCAAAACACTAATTCAAAAAGATATACGCATTCCTATGTTCACTGCAGCATTATTTACATATAGTAGCCAAGGTATGGAACCAACCCAAATGCCCATCAACAGACAAGTGGATAAAAAAAGCTGTGGATAGAGCGTCGGCCCATGGTCAGGTTCGATTCTGGTCAAGGGCATGTACCTCAGTACAGGCTCCATCCCTGGCCCCAGTCAGGGCGCATATGGGAGGCAACCAATCGATGTGTCTTTCTCACATCAATATTCCTCTCTCTCTGTCTCTCCCTCCTACCTTTCACTCTCCCTCTAAAAAAAAAAAAAAAAAATGAATGGAAAAATGTCCTCGAGTGAGGATTAACAACAAAAAACTGGTACATAGGGGGGAGGTTGGGGGTTAATGGGGGGGATGAGGACACATTTGTAATACCTTAACTAATAAAAAAACCAAAAATAAATAATAATTCAAAAAAAACAAACAAAAAAAACCCTGGTACATATATACTTGACCATGAAAAAGAACAAAACCTTAATATAGATGGATCTAGGATATTATGCTAAATGAAATAAGTCAGACAGAGAAAGGCAAATGGCATATGATTTCACTTATATGGGGAAATCTAAAAAAAAATAAATAAAAATGAACAAACAAAACAAATATATTCAAAGAGAACAAACTGACAGTCACCAGATGGAATGGGGACCGGTGAAAAAGGGCAAGTAATTAACAAGTACAAATGACAGTTACATTTAAAATGATCTGAAACCTGTGGCTGAATTAGGACTTAACATTCCCCTTTTTGACCTCAACCTTCTCTTTCCCACAAAACATATTGCTCTTCATACCTTTTTCACTTCATCTTCAAAACCTTTCTCCAGGTATTTGTAGCGCCTGATTAACTTGTTAAAAACCTATTAAGAATAGTAAAGGAATAAATTAAGTTCAATGATAAATTCATATATACAGATGCCAGGTTCCCAAAAAGATCTAGGTCAGGGCACCTGAGATCTCAGTGATAGTATCTCTAGAACAGCAAAGAAGTGAACCGTCCACTAGATACGTTTATAAGCTGTTTAAACCTGCTTGGGAAGAGTCTGTCAACTCCCAAACACTGCAATGTTCCAATGCAATGCTGTTAACTTTAACATTAACCCACAATAAATCTTTATTGCCAAATATTAAAGCAAAGACTAACTGTTGCTCATATATGTCATTTACCTATTTGTAGGATATACTAAATATAGTTCTACTTTCCTAATGACACAGATAACAAAATCGGTTAGATACACTTGAATTCTTGGCTTATAGTAATGCAAGCATAAATAACTATGTATGAAACATTCAAATGAGATTTTGATTGTTAGGCTAATCTGCCTGTAACTCATTCACTTTTTAAAAACTCATACACAGGCCGAAGCCAGTTTGGCTCAGTGGATAGAGCGTCGGCCTGCGGACTGAAAGGTCCCAGGTTCGATTCCGGTCAAGGGCATGTACCTTGGTTGTGGGCACATCCCCAGTAGGAGATGTGCAGGAGGCAGCTGATCGATGTTTCTCTCTCAACAATGTTTCTAACTCTCTATCTCTCTCCCTTCCTCTCTGTAAAAAATCAATAAAATATATTAAATAAATAAATAAAAACTCATACACAGAATAACACAATGATAGAAATCATGACAGGGAACTGATTTCCCTTTTCATTTTCACATTTTTTCTTAAAAATGGATTCATTTCAGGACAAACAGGAAAAGAAGGGCTAATTCAATCTTTTCCTACTTTGTTTGCCTCAACACATTTTGAAGTTTCTAATTCATCATATTTCACAAGAAAATTCACTTTAAACCTTCAATTCAAATTCCTTCAATCTTCTACTGCAACCTCTTAAAAGTTTTATTTACCTGAGCAAATGCTTGCATGGTCTCTAGGTCTTCTTGTGCTGCAAACACACAGACATCTGTACGCATCATGTCATCTGCCAGTGTACCACCTGGGGCTAAGGAACAAAAAATTTGCAGTGACCTTCATTTAAAATGAGTACCATTTCAATTTTACTTTTTGTGAGGATTCTCATCTCTATATATAAAAGGCTAAGTGACCGGCCATACGTCTGTCCTACCAGCCGGTACATATGACGCGCACTGGCAATTTAAAAATAAAGGTTGACCTGAGCATGCACGATATGTATAAAGCTCTCAGAATGGATATTATTAAAATCCCCCATGAAATGATTTGTAACAATCATTATTGAAGCTACCTTTGGAAATAGTATATCTATACATTATATCTAAACGTGATTCTTTGTTCTAAAAATGAGCACGTTCATAAATTAAATGAGGAAATTTTGGATATACTCAATGGAGATTTTCACACCTATTTGAGTGATTCAGTGGATGATGCCAAAAACAAAAATTTTTCCATCGAATTTCTTTAATAGTACTCCTTCGGGAATGCCATGTCATAAAATTAAAATCGCAAGTAGGTGCAATCATCATGCTACTGAGAAATCTTAATAGCAAATGGGGTCTTTGTAATGGTACTAGATTTATTATCAAAAGATTGAGACCTAACATAATTGAAGCTGAAATATTAACAGGATCTGGGGAAGGAGAGGTTGTTCTGATTCCAAGAATTGATTTGTCCCCATCTGACACTGGCCTCCCATTTAAATTAATTTGAAGACAGTTTCCCACGATGCCACAATGACTATTAATAAATCACAAGGACAAACTCTAGACAGAGTAGGAATATTCCTACCTGAACCCGTTTTGGACATGGTCAGTTATATGTTGTTTTCTCTCGAGTTTAAAGAGCATGTGACATTAAAGTTAAAGTTGTAAATACTTCATTATAAAGGAAATTAGTCAAGCATTCTGGAAGTGTTCTTCCTCTTATGTGGTATACAGGGAGATATTAGAGTAAGTTTAATCAATTTATCAGTCATTGTTTTTATATCATGTTTTTGTTGTTTTTATATGTCTTTGTTATTTTATTAATCAATTTATATATTATTTTCACATATATTTTACTAATTTTCTTTCATAGAGAAAGGGCGAATAGCAATATTAAAATATTTCTTCTAGCCCTGACTGGTTTGGCTCAGTAGATAGAGCACCGGCCTGCGGACTCAAGGGTCCTAGGTTCGATTCTAGTCAAGGGCATGTACCTGGGTTGCAGGAACATCCCCAGTGGGGAGTGTGCAGGAGGCAGCTGATCGATGTTTCTCTCTCATCGATGTTTCGTTTCTTTTTTTAAAAAATATATTTTATTGATTTTTTACAGAGAGGAAGGGAGAGGGATAGAGTTAGAAACATCAATGAGAGAGAAACATTGATTCAGCTGCCTCCTGCACGCCCCCTACTGGGGATGTGCCCGCAACCCAGGTACATGCCCTGACCGGAATTGAACCTGGGACCCTTTAGTCTGCAGGCCGATGCTCTATCTGCTGAGCCAAACCGGTCAGGGCTCATCGATGTTTCTAACTCCCTATCCCTCTCCCTTCCTCTCTGTAAAAAATCAATGAAATATATATTTTTTTAAAGAAATATTTCTCCTAACTAATTTCCTTTCAGTGTGCACAAATCTGTGCACTGGGCCACTAGTTATAAAATAAAATGATGAAAGTTCTAACATGATTTAAAAGCAAGTCAACTTCTCAGCAGGAACATGGCTAAGTTGGTTCAGTATGTGTGAATAAAGTGAAGCAGTTTACAGAAATAGCCCACTTTAGGAACTCAACGAAACCCGCTGCATTAATCAATAGAGTCAAATCTGTCACTCTAAGTGGAGACGTTCAAAGGTGGTTTAGATATGTAATTTTACATAAATTCACAAGTTAGAAACTTTATTTTTCAGATACATTTGTAAGCATTTATGGATAAAATGATGTCTGTATACTTAAAAATATGGGGGAGGAGGGATGAAATTGGCATAAACAGAGTAAGACTGCTAATAATTTCTGAATTAGAAGTTCATACTATTCTCTCTAGGATATGTTTGAAAATTTTCTTGGTACATGTTTTAAAAATAATTCTATAAACAGGCTTCTTGATAGCAATATTATGAATGGTAAATAGATGTATTTCATATTTCTTACTACAAGCTGGTAATACAATGAAAGAAATATTCATCTGACTAGGCACAAGAATATATTAATGTTAGGTTTCTGTTCCACCAATGAGCAATTGTTTGACTGCATATAAGTCACCGAAGCCTTTCTAAGCATCCATTCTGCATGTATACAAATGGAGTTCTGATTCTGTCAGCTTGCCCCTGAGGGTCAATGCCATTATTACCATGAAAACATTCTGAAATACATTAAAGAGCTATGAAATGAAATTACCATCATCATTTGAAGATATGTAATTAAGTAGCACAATCTGTTAAGGTACCCTGAGCTGTTGAGGGGGGATGTAGAAGTTAAAGCAGCACTGTGCAACAAAAATATGTGAGCCACATAATGTAATTTCACATCTTCTACTAGCTATATTAAAAAGGGTGAAATTAATTTTAATACACTTTAACCCAGCATGTCAAAATAGTTTTGAACATCTCAGTATTCAAATTATTATTGAAATCTAAGCCTTTAAAATCCAATGTCTATTTGACACTTTTAGCACATCTCACTTTGGACAAGCCACATATACTTTGTAGCTAATATACTGAAGCATACAGGACTAGAGGCTTTTAAATATAGAAGTATTTCATAAGCTAGATCAAGAGGGAAGGGTTTTCCAACCTGTTCAAGCACATATGAGGGAGGAGAGAATCACTGATTGGGGGGTTTTGTAGGGGTTTGTATTATCAGAAAAGTTATCCCCAAATGTTATAATTCTGTAACACACTTTAAATATAAAGCTAGATAAAGCAAGGCAATCTGCTAACTTGCTATGGTCTGGGAGTTAAAAGTGGAAAAATCCTAAGGGGGTTAAAAAAACCAAAGCCAACCCAATTTCATGGGCCTGTCAAACGGTTTATATTCTGGATTCTAACAAACTTCTCCATACAGCACACTTTCCACAAAACCCAGACTCTTACCCAGCATTCCCCCGGCCACCAGAATGTCGAAGAGTGTTTCTGCATATCGGCGGTAATCAAGTTTTGCTCCAGAAGCATCAAGAAACTTTGCTACTGCTTCCAAATCAGTACCAGTTTCACTTAAGCCTTGAATAATACAGTCTTGAAACTGAGTAGGGTCAAACCTCTCTTTTTCATCTAAGGAGAAAGAAAACCCCATTTAGCTTTAAAAGGCTTATCAAAATGCCATGAAATCACCACCTTAGGAAGTTATAACCACTGAATAAGTTAGTCACATTCATCACTATGTCATTTATTTCAACAACTGGAAAAAAACTAACATAAGCTGGATTACCCAAGACCTGGAACGCTAGCAAATAAACAGACTGAACACACACCCCGTGCAAGTTTCCCCTCTGCTAGTCCAAGGCAGGTGCCTAGGCACAGAATTGTGTAGCTTTTCTTCCACTATTTTTCACATGAGTCGCAGTTAAGTAAGCTAAATAAGGTAGCGTGTTTCTACTGCCAGGGAACAACTTCTATCTGAGATGTTCTTCCATTGCCCCTGGGCCTTTCTGAAATTTAGGGCATCCTCTAAAAATTTCCTGAGTGAAGTTTTGTCCAAACACTGGAGCTGTTAATTCTTTTTTTTAAATGCCCATAATACTTTATATGCTTTTTAAAAAACTCACTCCTTTGGTACTTAAGATCCAATGTATGACAGAAACTACACTAGCTCCCTTGCTTCATCCTTACAACAACCTGGTGAGGAAGATCTTTTTGTTCCAACTATTCAGAAGGACAACTGAAGCCCAGAGGAATTAAAGACCAGTAGCTAAGAGCAAGGACTCTTGAGTCAAACGGCCTGATACAAATCCTGACCATCATTAACTGTCTGAGCAACTAGTCTCATTCTTTAGGTGCAAATTTTCCTATTGTAAAAAGTAATGAAGAGTAGTGCCTATCTCAGAAAGCGGTGTGAATATTAAATTGTATTAAGATAGAAAGCAACCAGAACAATGCCCTGGTACATACCTAGCTTTCACTGAATTGTTATCACTCTCCATGACAGGGTTTGATCTCTGTCTAGGTGAGAAGCTACCTTAACTTTCACACAGCATGAGGGTGACCAACTCCTTGTTTGCCCAAGACCCAATCATTGAGAATTAGGAGAGCACCAGTGCTCTCAATCTGGAAGCGGGAAGTGACATCTCTTCCTGTTACCAATAAAATTATTTATATAAAGGTGAATGCCAGGAATCCACTCACTCTTCCCTATTAGTGCTAAGTTGCTCTGGTTTCCAACTTCCGTTCCCTCTCTTGAGAAAACCTACTGAGTTAAATGTAAATGCATCGGCAAAGACTAGAATCAAATCACTCTTTGATCTCCCCAATACAAGGGGACAAACTATAACTACAGATTTACAAAGCATTCAGAATATGGATCTCAAAGTGTCTCTATTCAGAGTAGAAAAACAATTATTAACCAGTAGTTGACCCAGTTCTCCCTTTTCTCAAAATGTACTATAAAATAAGGTTGACATGTGCTTTTGAGCAATAATGAAGTTTGGGGGGGAAATACTAAGCCCAGTATAAAATATACCTGAGATCACATCTCATTTAACTTTGCATCAGCAGTATATAACAATGCTTTGCTACAAAATTCAATATTCATCTAAGTGCCCACTAATATAAAGTAGTAGTTTGTATAATTTTAGTACTTTTCTTAGTAAGTCTGTGAGAAATATTTAAAAAAAAAAAATTTACAATGTTAAAAAAAATTACAATGTTAATAATTAATTATGTTCCATAATTAACTTCCATGGGCCAAGTCTGATTTTGGCTCTCACCAATCTTCACAACCTTTGGGTGAAATTAGTGATCACAGCAGGAGCTCTCTTTTTATAAATGAACCTTTCCCCTCAAACAAAAATGTGCTTAAATGAAATTTACCATTAAAAATGCAGCCCATACTTTTCTAAACAAACAAACAAACAAACAAACAAACTACTTAGAAACATGAAGGGTACCTGAAACAGTCAACTAGAAATTCACGTTCCTTTCTGTATTTTCTCTTATGATTTTAGTACTGAGCCAACTGTCACCCAGAGGAACCAAGGTAAAGAAGTTATTCTGGAGGCCTCCAGAAAGATACTTCTAAAACACAAATTATTTACCTCTTTTTCTGGTTTTAAAACGCTGGCCTGATAGCGTTGGCTTTTGCTGCTTTTGATTATTCATAAAAGACACCCTAGGAGAAGAAAAATAAGGCCGTAAAAATCAGTGCCATAACATCCATTTAAAAAACAAAGCACTAAACCGAGGTCTAGTCTCAAGTAAAACAAATGGAGCGCTCACTTTCGGTCTTGACAACACACCTGGTCAATAATTACCTTCGCTTTAAGGAACTATAACCTCAAAACGTGCCCTTCTCCCGCAAGAAGCCCCCGAAGGCTGGAGCGAGCACTTCCAGGCGACGACAGTGCGGTGATTGGTGGCAAGTCACCCGCAGACACAACGCTCTGGTGTCGTCCTCGCTCCTCTAAACCCGCCGACACCGCCCGCCAACTAACAGGTGCCCAACTGGTCCGTCAACGCGCAGGACCCGGTCAAGGGGCGACTCCCCGCGAGGAACCTGCCCTCCCGCCGCACCAGCGACCGCACCGCTCCCGCCGCAAGACTAACCGACAGCGGGCCGAGCCGCCCCTGCCCCCGCCCCCGATCCCAGCCTCCTCGAGGGCACGTGTCTCCCGCCCACGCCCTTCCCGCGCCAACCGCGACCCGCCACCCCGCCCAGGGTGCCCTGGGTCTCGGCGGGGCGCCGTCGGGGCCGCTCCGCGTCCCGCCGCCCCGTCTCCACTGACCCCGCCGCCGGCGCGGACGGCCGCCGCGACGAGCGGACCGCAGGCGCCGAGGCGCTTCGCGCCGGGGGCCCCGCCGCCCCGTACATCCGCCCGCCCTCCAGCGAAAGCAGCTGCGGGGGAGGCGGCCGCAGTGGTGGTGGCGGCGCCCCCGCCCCGCCCGCCGGAACCCCCCACGCGTACATCACCCAACAGAGGCCGCGGCGGCTTTGTTACCCAGGCCGGGCCGGGCGGAGGGGGCTGTCTCGGCCCCGGCCTCCGCCTCGGGCGCCGCGACGCCCTCTCCGGGGTCCCCGTTCCGGCCCGGCCGCCCCTCGGCCTCCCCGGTGAGACGGCGGCCCGGGCCCTCGAACACTGGCTCCCGCCCGGCCTCATGTGGCGGCCTCCGCCCGGGCCCCTCCGAGCCGGGCCGCATGGCGCCCGCCGCCGCCGCCCTCGCTCTCTACCCGCCGCCCAGGGGCCGCCACTCGAGCCCGGGGCGGGAGGGCGCCGAGCCTCACCGAATTTAAGGCGGAGAGAAAAGGGCCAGAAACTCCAGAGGTGGCGACAACTGCGGCGGTCCGGCGGTCTTTCCTCGGCGACCGGAACTAACGCGAGGAGGAGGAGGCAGCGGCGCCGCCCCCGCCCACCGCTCTCCTGTCGCGAGATTTCGTCGCGCGCCTCGCCCCGCCCCTCTCTTGCGTGGAGCCCCGGCCTTTTCCACATCCGGGAGCTCGGGATGGGAGACGAGGAGAGGGGAGAGTGGAGGGTTTCCAAGCCATTTTTTAACTTTGCCCTTGAGTTCCAGGTTTCCCGGACACTCACCCTGGACTAGCCTGCCCTTCTCCCACCGCGTCGCTCTCCGGCCTCTTAGCACCTGGAGGGGTTGGAGGAATAAAAGGTCCCCCATCCCTCCCGACAGGCTCGAGGAAGGTGGGCTCCGGCGCCCGCGTCCCTTCCTCCTCGGCCCGCTCCTCTAGCCGGAAGTGGAAGCGGGAGGGCGGGCCAGGGTGGGGGTCCGGGGTTTGAACGGGTGGGCGCTGAGGTTGGTTAGAGGGACCCGCCCGCCCTGGTTTCCGCTGGGGCTGTTTGAGTCCTCAGCGCCCGGCTTGCCCGGGGGTGCTGGTCGGGGGGGCGTGCACTCCCCCCAGAGCGAGGAGGCCCCGCCGAGGGTCCAGGAGGAAGCCCTGCCCCGGGACTGTCGTCACCGCCGGGCAGAGGTCTCTGCGTTTCCTCCGGGGAGCGGTCGGGGTGGGGACTGGGAGGGAGAGCATCCACCCCCGGAGGACGTTAAAAAGCACAGATTGAAGACAACCAGAACTTGGCTGGAGTTCCTGGCTAGAGATCCTGGCTAGGCTGCTGATCAACTGAAAATAAAATAAAATAAAATAAAATTAAATAAAAGCATGTAAACTTAAAAAAAAAAAAAAAAAAAGCACAGGTTGTCGGCCTCCCCGAGGAGACCTGGCGTGGGACTCCAGAACGTGCCTGTCCAGCAAGTTTCCGGGGCTGCTGACCTGGGGCCACACTTCCGAGAGCCCGTGATGGCGAACTTTTTGGGCTCGGCGTGTCAGCATTTTGAAAAACGCTAACTTAACTCTGGTGCCGTGTCACATACAGAAATGTTTTGACATTTGCAACCATAGTAAAACAAAGATTTATGTTTTTGATATTTATTTTATATATTTAAATGCCATTTAACAAAGGAAAATCAACCAAAAAATGAGTTCTCGTGTCACCTCTGACACTTGTGTCAGAGGTTCGCCATCGCTGGGTTAGAGGGTGTGTGGTCAGAGCCGGGGCCTGGAGACGGTGCGTGTGAGCAGCAGTGCAGGCGTCATAACAGTGCAAGCAGGAATGCAGGGCGCATCCAGGGCCTCGCCTCACCTTCCGTTCCGTTTGTACCTTAGTTGTTTGCCTCGCCATTGCTTCCTTACTCTCCGATCAGAGAAACCCCCAAAGCAGGGTTTGTCCCTAAAATCACCTTCTCTGGATCTTGCTTCTCTTCATCAATCATTTTGGTAAATTGGTCTAACTTGGCTTCCTTAACTCAGTACCCTCTGCTCCCCCTACCCCGCCCCACGTCAGGGAATGTTTCTGAGTTCTTTTCTGAAGTTATTGCCAAACGCAGACATTCCTTCAGTGCTCCCCTTTGGGCCGCCTCGGAGCATCTCAGGCGTTGTTACCCATGGCCTTAAAATGTCACTCCACTGTCCTTGTTACCTCCCCCAATACTTCGTATTTGCTGGGCTCCTCTTTCCTGTATGCACGCCTTTTATTTTGTGTCATGCTTTCTTACATGTGCAATGGACTGTGGACGAAAGGGGCCACACGCTGACCTGACCAGCTCAGGGGAGGCCTGCGTGGCGGTCTTGCAAACTCAGAAACCTAAAGAAACCACAAAGGATCGTCTGAAATTAAACTTTAAAAGCCGTTACGGTGGGCAGTTACGTCCTAGGCCGGTATCTTCACTGACAAGGTCAACCTTTACCTTAACTGAGCCTATCTGTCTTTTTGCATCTGTGATAACATACCCTTGAAATGTCCGGGTAACTTGTAACTTCCCTTTTTCTGGAGCCTCTGGGGCACCACCAAATGTGCTGGGCGCCAGGACAGATACTACAAATTCCTTCATTGTCATGTTAATTGATCCTGCACCCACCTAAGTATGTGTCCATCATTTTACTTTTTATCCAATCCCAGGGGTTTCCCCTGCTTTGCTTTATCCCTCCTCCTTCATGTATCACCAATGGATTTCATGTAACCACCTACGTCCCCCCTCTGATTGCAATGTATAAATACAAATGTAACCCCGCCATTCTCCGGAGCATTATCTCAATTCGTTGAGGTTCTGCTTCCCGGCATATGTCGACAGTTTGGCTCAAATAAACTCACAAAAATTCTTTATAGGTTTCAATGGTTTGTTTTTTTTTTTACGTCGGGTCCTCAAACTTTTTAAACAGGGGGCCAGTTCACTGTCCCTCAGACCGTTGGAGGGCCGGACTATAGTTTAAAAAAAAACTACGAACAAATTCCTATTCACACTGCACATATCTTATTTCGAAGTAAAAAAACGGGAACAAATACAATATTTGTATTTGCATGTGGCCCGCGGGCCGTAGTTTGAGGACCCCTGCTTTACGTTAACAGGACATAAGAAATGCCCAAACCTTCAGAGAATTTTTATAAGGGTTGGTGTGAGCCAAACTGACGCCATATGTTGGGAAGCAAGATCTCAAGTCTCATCCCAGAGAATGACAGCTGTTTTTTTTTTAACCTAACATGTTATCTTCTTTTTTTCTTTGCATCTCATTATCTTATTATTTTTACGTTTATTGTTGAAAGTATTACATATGTCCCCTCTTTTCCCCCATTGACCCTTTCTAGCCTGACCCTGCTGCCCCAGGCCTTCACCACCCTATTGTCTATGTCCATGGTTGTGCAGATAAGCATGCAAGTTCTTTGGTAATTCTCTCCCCTCCCTCCAGTTTTAAAGTTTCTTTTATACATTTGGAATTAAGGAGGCGATGACAGGAAGATGACATGAAAGTAGGAAAAAGAAAGGTGGGGATTGGGTTACAGGAAAGTTAACAAAATTATGTGCTTTCTTGAGGATGGTTACTCCTTGAGGGGCCTGGAAAAGAGGATTACTTCTGGCATTTCAAGGTGTGTTAACCTAGATGCACAAGAACAATGAGTAGGGCTGGCTTAACCTTTTACTAACGAAGTTATAGGCAGGCTTGGGCCATGACTACCCAGCACACCTGGCAGTCTCATACATTTCCAGGTATTTAGTTTAATCTCCATTTAAAAGAGTTCCAAATTCAAATATCGAATTATTAAATATTTACTGAGTCCAGACTCTGTGCCCTTCCAGGCTGAGTAAACAGCAGTGTGAAGGGCCTGACCTGTTAGACCAAAGGAGGCTAGTGTGACAGATGAGACAGATGGGAGATGAGATGGATGTGAGAAGCAGAGGGAAGTGCCAAGAGTCAGACCTCTATGTCTAGCGTTTTCCCCAAACTCCCAATCCACCTTATCTGGTATCTCCTCTGAACACCAAACTAAAAACTCTTAGTACTATTGATTACTCTTCTCCCCAAACTGTATTTCTCACTTCCACAGTCTGTTAAAGATACAATGTTTCACTAATGAAGATATTAGCTATTTTTATATAGCAGGCACATATGTCATGCATTCTTCTAAGGCTTAGATTAATAATCTAAGCACTAGAGGCCCGGTGCATGGATTTGTGCACATTGAAAGGAAATTAATTAGAAGGTGGCTGTTGGGGTGGGACTTGGCCAGATGGGCCAGACACGCCCTGGAGCCAACCTCCTGCTCCCTGGCCAGCCGCACCTGGGGTGGTGCTGGGGCTCGAAGGGCGTCTGCAGAGTGAGTGGGTCGGTCCACTCCAATCTTTATTATTTCCTTCCTGAAAAGATTGCCATAGACCCCTGTTTTTACCTAAAGTTTAGCAGTTTTTCATAAACACTTCTCTATTTGTTGGCTTTTGCTTGATATTTGGAGTCCTGAAATAGTAGTTTGGGACACTTGCCCAGTTTTATAGTATTTTTGGAGACAGATTTGCTGACCTCTTCACTTTGCCATTGCTGCAAGTTCCCCATGTAACTTTTGGATGTAAAATTTCAACCTATTTATTTATTTTTAAAACATATCTGTTTATTAATTTCAGAGAGGAAGGGAGAGAGATTGAAACATCAATGATGAGAGAGAATCACTGATCAGCTGCCTCCTGCAGGCCCCACACTGGGGATCAAGGCCGCAACTCGGGCATGTGCCCTGACCGGGAATTGAATCGTGACTTCCGTTTCCTAGATTGATGCTCAACCACTGAGTCACGCCAGCCCGGCAAATTTCAACCTATTTAGATGAAAGCTGCTAGGTGCTGCATGTGAACTTGTTACTATTTTTAACTTTGGTGGTGGAAATAGATAAATGCTTCCTTTTCAAGGGCAAGTAGCAATAGGTCTTTCTTCTAGCAACGAGGAAGATGCCAAGGGTCTGTTTTGAAAAGCACAGTGCTTCCCTTGGAAAATGATCTGGGAAAAGTATTTATGTTCCTCTATTTTGGATTAATGATTGTAGAACACCTTATGAACCTGGCTTTAAAAAAAAAATAATAAAAAAAATATATATATACACACACACATACACACTCATACACACATGTGCATGTTAGCATAAGTAGCTAGTTAAGAAGGGAGCCAATGGAATTGGACATTAAACCTGATTCACTAGGAAGCCACGCATTCACAGGCTTTCCAGGGGACAGTGCTCTCCACCCAGGGGCCTTCATTCCGGAAGTGGGCAGGAAGAATCAGCTCCAGTCTTTAGCTGTGATTACCAAGGGAGGAATAGAAACAGCAGTGGCAGTTCCTTTGCTGGGTGCATGTGGCAACTTACAGGGGTGGAGTCTAGCCTGGAAAACCTGGGGGAAAGATTGGAGGGGACGGGGAGGATGCAGCACCAGCCCACAGGAGATAGGACAGAGATTGGCTAGTTTGAAAGAAAGCCTGCTCTCTCCCAAGTCCAGAGTCTATAACCAGATCGTAACAAAGAGCTGTCTCGGCAGCACGCTTCTGCCTGCGCGTTCACTCGTGTGCTCTCTCTGTAGTAGCTGTGTGAGCCAAAGTGCTCCAACCCACTGGGCAACCCGGCCAAGGCTTCACTTACGTTTTCAAAACATCTTTAAAAAAAGAAGTAAATCTTTTTAAAATATGATTTTTATTTATTTTAGAGAGAGAGGGAAAGAGAGAGAAACACTAATTGCCTCCTACATGCCCCAACCGGGAATTGAACCCATAAACTGGAGGTATGTGCCCTGACTGGGAATAAATCCAGTGAACTTTTGGTGCATGGGATGATGCTCAACCAACTGAGCCGCTGTGGCCAGGGCTAAAACATCTTTTTACTTCAACTTATTTCACCCCGGCTGCTCCCACTAAGTTCCCCAACTCTTCTGCTCATGTGTTCAAAAATCGTTCGTAAATTTTGTCCTGCCCATGACCCCTCTGCTCCCGACTCCTTTCTCCTTGTGCTCCTGTCCCACTTTCTCCCCTGGACTCCTGTGCCCTAGTGGAGCCTCCAAAGTCAGCGGATGGGCCTGTGAACAGCTGTGTCCCAGTCCCTTCAATCACATGGGCTCAGTGCCTCCCCTGACCTTCAACCTCCTCCAGGCTGTAAGGCATGTCTAATGTTTACCTTCTCTCACCAACCACCAAACGCTCTCAGCTCGGCCTATCCTTCATTCGCTTCAAGGAGTCACTGTAGTGGAAGGCTTGGTGAGCCTGATCATATGAATTCTGGTTGATAGAATGTCAGTTTACCCCCTGACTTTCTGGTCAAATACGGAATAATTCATTTGCTGGTTTCTCCTTCTCTGAAGGCCTCTAAAATCGAGGAATAAAATTTGGTGGACCCTGCATGTTTCCAACTTCAACATAGGGTGATTACAATTTAGAATTTTTTTTGCTCTGTGTTACCCACTTCAATATATGGGAAATGGAGCAATGAAGTTTTCCTGAAACTCTGATACCAGATCAGGTGTTTTTTTTTTATAAACAGATTTAAGAAGTAAAAGGGTTTTATGATACTACATTGAAAACATTTTTTACAATGCTTTTGCCTTCCAAATTCCAAAAGAATATCAACCAGTTGAATAACTCATCTACAATGAGGAAAATACAACTGCTTTGCTGTCAAATGCACATACACGGACCCATAGCTAATCCACAGTAAAAACAAAATAAAATCAAACCTTGTAGAACTCTGTGGTGTCCCTAACTGTGGCCACTGAATCAAACACATCCCTGGGGAAAGTAATCACATGCTTATCTACTGCGAAGTGTCTTTCATTCTAGGATTGTAGCCTGCATTACAGTCCAATGATATTGGATAAACACAAAGGAAAGATTTGCTTTTACAGCAATATTGACATGATGCTGTCAGAAACAACTTAGCATTAAGATTGATTGCTGTGTGTGACTATCCCAGTGGTTGTCTGGTGGCCTCTAGGCCAGAAAGTCTAAATTAATGATTCGTAAATAATGATTCATCTTGTCAAGGTAATCAGACTTGAATAATGTTTCTAAGTTTTGTGTCATTTTTTCTTCTTCATATCACTATAAGAATATCAGTGTGGAGTCCAGTTAGGATTAACAAGCCATCTTTTCACTTGTAGAAAACTGAAGCACCTGAAAAAAAAAGAATAATTATAAAAGTGTGTAAATCCCTCGACTTGGTGTGAGAGAAGAACAATAAATAGTTGAAAAATTGAACTGGTAAGGTTTATGGCTATGAATAAATACATTGAGGTAGTTATTTATTCTCCCTTGGCCCCCACATCTTCATTTATAAAATAAGAAGCTAGATGAGCCCTGGCCGGGTAGCTCAGTTGGTTGGAGCATGGTCCCGATACACCACGGTTGCAGGTTCTATCCCCAGTCAGGGCATATACAAATATCAACCAACGAATGCATAAATAAATGGAACAACAAATCAATGTTTCTCTCTCTCTCCCTCTCTTTTCCTCTCTCTGAAATCAACAAAAACATTTTAAACAAATAAAAAAAAAGAAACTGGACTTACACACTTGTGTCATCATAAATTTCCATAGAACACAAAGGACTGGATCAGTTTTTCTGAGTAATTATCTTTCAGCTTACTGATCTTACCTTTCAGAAAAGTGACAGCAGTGCTATGCTATAGGGATAGACCAAGGTCTAAATGTCTTAGGGTCATCTCTTGGGATCTAAGAAAGAAAGCAAAATCAAAACAATATCATAAGACCACTGCATATATTTCACCAGGAAAATTATATCAAATCTGTAGATTTGGGGAAATTTTTCTGATGGGAGGAGGTAGCTTTTCCTGGGGAATACCCTTTCTTTCCAGGGTCAACTCTGAAGAGACAGGGGGTCTGGTATTGTGATATCTGCTGCTCTTCTCGTTGTTAAGTAAGAAGACACTCTATTAGTTATCTATCCTTTTTACTTCCAAGATGTGAATCTCACAGAGAATTATATTTCCTATGAACGCATTTGCAGGGTTAGGGAGGGTGGAAAGGGGAGTGGTTAGGTTGAGAGTTGTTTGTGTTGGAGCCTAGGGACCAGGACTCCTGTGCCATAATTTGAGAGCAGCTCTGTCTACACCTTCAGCCAAATGGTTTTTGTCCAGAACCCTTGCCAGTTAAAACCCAGGCTCATTTCCCTATCCTGGCCTTCGAGCCCCAAGAACTTGACTCGTGAATCCTTCCTTCTTGTGGTCCTCAATTCCCGTTTCCTCTGGTGGGAATGCTCTCCCTTAGGTTTGGCCAAAAAAGCAGAAATTACATTCCTTGCCTCTGCTGTTATGCTTTTTTTTTGTCCAAAGAGTTGACTTTTAGTTACACAGGTGTAAAAGCACAAACCTCCCATAAATAACGAAAAGTTATGAGGGTTCCAAAAAGCTTTCCTCCTAATATTTATTGCATAAAAGTACAAAAAGAAGACAAAAAACCCCCCACAAAACAAACAAAAAAACCCAAAACAACCATCCAACTCCTATCAGGATAACTTAACAAATTCTACTCTTCCTGTTTGCTCTTAATCTGTAATGAAATATGAATGGAGGGCTAGGTTCGCCCTTCACAGAGAGACGTCCCTGATTCTCTACTTAGCTGCTGCAACGGGTACCTTATTTACAATCAGCCTGTGGCACCTGCGCTGGGCGGGCTGGACGCTGGACAAAGCTCCTCAGTCTAGTCTGAGGTCGATTCAGGTCAACTCTCCTGCTAAAGGTGATGGCAATTTTTAGTCTCTTCCAAAACCTGCCTCCTGCACTTTCCACCAGACCTGTGTTCCTGAGGTACCCTTGGCTTTGGGACCCAGATCAACACTCATTATCTTGCTACCTCGGCCTTCTTGGGTCTTACCTCCTCCCTACCTCCTTGAATGAGGACATAACTTGCTTTTTTTTGTTTGTTCGTTTCAGAGACCCAGACCTGGGACTTAAGCTGCTCTTCCTTGGCCTTTGGTGACCTTCCCTTTATCTTCTCTCTTGCTTGGTGCCATTGACCCCTTCCTCCCTCCTCCTCTTCCTCCCTGGTTGGTTCTTGATAGCTAGAATGAAGGCAATATGTTCACAATGGCCATCAAGATGGAGTCCACTTTTAGTTAAATCTCAGCTTCTGAGATAGGTCTGTATCCGGTCTCATTGGTGTCAAGGCCCAGTGTCAGTGGTAGCTGCCATCCATCCAGAATTCCTCCTCATCATCTTCATCATCATTATTGTGTAGTAAAGGATTAACTCAGCAGGCTTGAGTTGTCCAACCTCTGCACATTCCAAAGAAAGAGACTTCGACCAGCCCCAGGGAGATAACACCTAAATAAACCCTTGAAGGATCCTGCCTGATTAGAGTGTCTTTGTCTACCTGAGGCGTTGGGTCAGTGGGCATCACCTGGCCTCTGGAAGGGCTGGACACAGTAACTCAGGTCAGTGATGCAGGTGACCTGTGCTCCATCACTGATCCCTAGTGAGAACCCAGAACGCCAGACTCAGGTGAGCTTCCCAGGTGATGGACACTTTGTGTTCCTTCTCCCACCTTGTTGCTGGGAGAATGCAGTGCTGTCGGTGTAGCTCCACCAGGAGAGGCCACTGGAAGCTCCTACCCAGTCTCTCCTGGACTTTGCCCTATCTGCCTTTGCCTCATCTGTATCCTCTCATGGAAGAAACCAAAACCGGGACTACAACAGCATTCTAAGTCCTGTGAGTCCATCCAAAACAGCGGTTCTCAACCTGTGGGTCGCGACCCCTTTTGGGGTCGAACATCCCTTTCACAGGGGTCGCCTACGACCATCGGAAAACATATATAATTACATATTGTTTTTGTGATTAATCACTATGCTTTAATTATGTTCAATTTGTAACAATGAAATTGGGGGTCGCCACAACATGAGGAACTGTATTAAAGGGTTGCGGCATTAGGAAGGTTGAGAACCACTGATCTAGCAAGTCTCTGAAACTGATGGTGCTCCTGGGGACTTCAGACTCCATCATCATCATCGTTATCATCATCATCATCAATGTATATTGACCACTACCTATGTAAGGTCCACTGCTAAATGCTTTCCACATATTATCTACTTAAACCTTACAACAACCCTGTGTGGGAATTATAATTATCCTCTCCACACGCCTCCTCCCCCATTTTATAGATGAGGATACGGAGTGATCAGAAGAGTAAGTAAATCCCGAAAGGGAGAGCTGAGATGCCAGCCTGTCCTCCGGCTCCAGGCCGTGTCCTCACTGAGTTAAAGCAGTGCCTGTTACGCCTTTCCCTCCCGAGATAAGACCTCTTTCTGTCTCACATCCTGCCTTCCTCCCTCCCTCTCTTAATCTCAGGGAATTCAGCTTTGCCTTCTTCCCCCTCTCTCTTCTGATTCTCCCGCCTGAAGGAGTAACCTTCCAGGGACCAGGTAGGAGAGCTTTTAGGTACAAACATATACATTTAACGACAGCATCCGATAAGATAAGCTACCCTCGGTGGTCGGAAAGGCCCCTGCAGGGAGGAGGTGGGTCCGAGCATGGAGGGGAGCAGTCAGTCCCTGCCTCCTGGGACAGGCATGCCCCACGTGGCACCAGTTTCACAGCCTGTGAGAGCGCCGGTGACCCCCGCCAGGGCAGCGCGAGAGGCAGGGGAGAGTGTGGAGTGTGTGTGTGTGTGTGAGTGTGTGTGTGTGTGTGCGTGTGTGTGTGCATGTCGCACTGGAAGGGCGTGGGCGCAGCACCCGAGGAAGGGAGGCACCGCGGGGCGTCTCCGCTCTGAGCGGCCCCTGAGTCATTCGGTCTCCCCGAGTCCACGTGGCCGGCGTGTTTGTGCCGCTGGACGGCCCTGCCCGTGACTGCGGCGTAGCCTTCAGCAGAGCAGCCGGGACACTGCGCGTTTCCACGTGCCGTGGGGTTGGTCGCAGAACCACAGGAAATGGGAGCAGTCCCTGGGACAGGCTGCTCGCCTCTCCCTCTCAGAGAACGGAGGCTGTGCATGGGGCTGGGCGGGGGGGGGGGAGGGGGGGGAGGGTGGGGGCGGTTTGCATGGCGAGGCTGTGCGTGGGGTGAGGAGGGGGTAGGGGGAGCGGCTATGCATGGGGCGGGGGGGGGGGGCTGCTGTGCATGGGGGAGGGGCCGGCTGTGCATGCGGGGCGCGCGGGGGGGGGGGGGTGGGGGTGGGGTGGGGTGGCCGGCTGTGCATGGGGGGGCTGTGCATGGAGGGAGCGGCTGTGCAGGGGGAAGGGGGAGCGCAGGGGAGCAGGCTGCCTGCCCCTGGGACAGCCTCATCCACATCTGGCAGGAAGGGCTGCCCGTACCAAAGTAAACAGGTGGCACGTTTAAGCAAAAAACGCTCCGGCCTTCTTACTAAGGCGGGCTTTTTGCTGAAGCTTGAAGCTAATTATCCGTGAAAATGTGGCTGCTCATCTTGAGCTGTTTTCTGCCCTGGCCAGGTCCACCTGATTGAATGTGGACGCTCTTCAGCCTTGGGGAGGGGCGCATCTGGAAGAAGGTCTTTGACAGTGACGAGTCCTTGATGGAGACTTCTCTCTAATATGTACAGTGACTTGTATTTACACAGCGTTTTTACGAGCATTTAAATGCATATGTTATTTAATTCCAAGAGGAAAAGTAACTACTGTGTCAGACCGTCATTTCTATGTAAGAAATAGGCTGTTATTTACCTTACGGTCATAAGGAGCTTATTAAAAGAGGACTTTCCAGTGCTCATGTTCTAGTCACAGACATTCTACCCTCTCATCTTCTCACCTGTCAGAACAAACTATGTTTTTTAAAAGTTATATTTTTATTGATATCAGAGATGAAGGGGGAGTGAGAGAGAGAGAGAGGAACATGTATGATGAGAGAGAATCCTTCATTGCCTGCCTCCTGCACACCCCACACTGGGGATTGAACCCACAACCCAGGCATGTGCCCTGACTGGGAATTGAACTGTGACTTCTTGGTTCCTAGGTCAACACTCAACCACTGAGCCATCCTGGCTGGGCAGATCAAACTGTGTTTTGACAACAGCATTCAAAGGCCCAAATGCAAAGAATGTTAATGTCTACGCTTCTTTAAAACATTTTTTTTGGTATAGTACAATACTGTATGGCAGTGAGAATCATTATATATTTCAACTTATGAACCATGATGTAGCTGGATCAAATGTAAGTTCTGATGCAGCCTCAGATGTGTTCCAAGATGCCTTAAGGAGACTGGTCTGTAAGGGGGCCTGGAGGCTGCTGTGTGAGCGAACATATTTCTAAAGATCTGAAGAACAGAGCTGGATGGTGACAGAGGCAAGTTGCCAGGAAATCTGTGGACTGGAAGGACTGTCCAGGCTTCACCCTGCTGGTGCGAAGATAAGGGGTGCAGCCACCGACTTTGGTTTCTTTTATCTCTCTGCCAGTGGGAACGATTACAGCCTTTCAGCTACGCATTTTTCCACCCGAGAAGCAAGATCAGAGGCTTAAGAAGATTATTTATTTTTGAGGGCTCCTTAGTCCCAGCCGACTTTAAATCCATTACAACTGCCCCAGGGCCTTTGCACTAGCTGTTCTCTGCCTTGACCTTGCCATCACCAGCTTTTTGTTTGCTCCTTCTCTTCATTCAGGCCTCAGTTTAAATGTGAACACCCAGAGAAAACTTCTCAATAAACTCTATAAAAAATTCTATAATAACTCTCTCCATTGCATTCTAGCCCCTTACTCTTCTATTTTGCCTCCTCTGAAATTATATTGTGTGTTTGTTTACTATCTGGTTTCCCCAGTAAAATGTAAACTCCATGCGGGTGAAGATTCACTGGCTCACTATTTCTTTAGTTCCCCCCTGGTGCCTGGCACATGGAAGGGGCTGAATAGGTGTTAGATGAATGAATGATTACACGCTGAGTGATTAAAGCTGGAGCCACACCCATACCTCCTTTGACTTTAAGAAACGGTTAGGGCTAAGTGAGAACAGATTGCTCCATTGACTCACAGGGATAACCCAGAATCAGCCGAGCACTTATAACTGACAGCAGTGTTTTCCTTTCTCCTCTGCTCCACCGTCAGCTCCTTGAGAGCGGGGACCTGCGTCCGGTTCACCACTACACTCCTGCTACCTCACACTATGCAAGAACAAAGTACCCAACTCATCTCTTGAATATGATTAAAATATGAAAGGTGAGTAGGTTAGCCAGGTGAGGAAAGGAAAGAAGATGGTTCCCAGCAGAGGGAGGAACACGGCGGAGGTCTCTGTCCTTGATACAAGGATCAGCCTGAAGAAGCGAGTGTGGCTGGGATGGAGAGAGAAGGCAGGGTGGGGACCACGTGTGGCTGTAGAGGTGGGGGGCGGGGGTCTGCCACACTGGATTTTACAGGTTTCTGGACGTGGCAGGGAAAATAAAAAAGTTTTATCTTTAACCCAAGAATAATGGGGATCATAGCTGTCACACCACAAATCTCTGGCTGCCGTGGGTGTCGGGAGACTGTTAGGCGGCCGCTCTGACCCAGACTAGAGAGTTGGGGGTTGGACTGAGAGTCTCTAGAGAGTAAGTGGAGACAGATCTCTTTCATTGCCAGCACCCAGCATGCCTGGCACCTATTCGTTTCTCAACAAATGTTTGTTTAAGAGTGGTTGGATGGAGGAACAGAGTGGTGCAGGAGGTTGCTAGGGGTTGAAATGAACAGGACATGGTGAAGGACTGGCTACTGAGAGAGAAAGGGAGAAATGTCAGGCCAGCTCCTAGGTTTCTGGTTTTGTGTTACTACCTGGATGGAGGAGTATTGCCATTTCCCGTGACAGGAAGAAGCAGAAGCATCTGTATTTTGTGTGTCTCTGGTTCTCTGTTAAACCAAGAGTCAGCTCAATGGTTAGCGTCAACCTATGAACCAGGAGGTCAGGGTTTGATTCCCAGTTGGGGCGCATGCCCAGGTTGTGGACTCCATTCCCAGTAGGGAGCATGCAGGAGGCAGCCGATCAATGATTCTCTCTCAACATTGATGCTTCTATCTCTCTCTTCCTCTCCCTTCCTCTCTAAAGTCTCTTTCTCTCTCTATATATATTTTAAACAACAGTCAGGGCTTCCTTTCCACCTCCCTCAGGCTCCACTCAAGGCGGCTTCTGCTCACCCACTTGCTGGTGTCCAGCGGGGGGAGCGGTCTGGAGGCCAGAGCAGAGGAACTCTTGAACCTCCGAAGACTCCCAAGGACTTGAAGGGTTTATATTCTCATATATGAGGTCAGTGGACTGCGAGGAAGATTGCGGGTCAGGATAAGATGAGGGGTAAATGGTCGCTCTCAACATGGTCTAAGCAGCCTCAATAACAAGGGGCTTGTTATTGCGAAGCTAGACATTCTGCCCTGCCCTCGTCTCCAAAACCTGGGCCAGTGGCTCTAAATAAAGACGATGAGTTTGTGGGATACATGAGTTTGGTCATTTATTTTCTTTATGGGTTTAGGCAGCTAGTTTTTGAGTGATCTTTCATGGGAAAAAGTATCTTCTCAATCCAGATGTGAGTGAAGGCTCGCTGAGTCACTCCCAATTACACTGCTCAGACCTTTTCAAATGTTCATGTCAGGGATGCCCTGATTTTGTATAAATAAGGTCTATTTTACGTGTAAACATAGATGAATTAAAAGATGGGTGGAGGGAGGGTGGTCAGACTGGTGACAGATCCAGTGTAAGATTGTGTATCTGTATGTAAATAATTTATCCAAAGGAAAGACGGTTGAAAATGTGTGTGTGTGTGCGTGTGTGTGTGTGTGTGAGAGAGAGAGAGAGAGAGAGAGATATGGTGATTTCTGGTTAGTGGGATTGTGACTGATTTTAACTTTCATCTTTTAATTTGATTAGATACAGATTAGATTACACATTTACCTAAGAGTTATGAGAAGGAGGAAAAGAAAAATCCCCTCCTAGGAAAGTAAACAACTCCTACCATCTCTGTGAACCGGTCTGCACAGGCCATCCGGACCCACTCAGGGGTTGCTGGGCTCTCCACTGTGAAGTCTTCGGCTATGTCTCTCTCTCTGCGTGCGGCGGCCACAGCATCAGTGATGGCAAAGAATACAGATGACCCCAGGAACATTCCGGACTCCCCCAGGCCCTGCAAGAGAGCACATTTGTTTTAGAAGCTTCTATACCAAACTATACGTTGATAGAAGTCAGGGGGGATTATGGGGAAATAGAGATACCCATGTCCTGTCTAAAGGAGGCTGCTGTTCTTCGGTTCTAGCTAACTGCTGCCTTCCAGAAACGCAGCCCAAACGATCAGATCATCCCATTTTTCAAGAGAATTTCAATATTTGTATTTTCATGTAAAATTCCCTGACTTGCCCAGCCAGCGTGGCTCAGTGGTTGAGTGTCGACCTATGAACTGGGAGGTCACGGTTAGATTCTCGGTCAGAGCACATGCCTGGGTTGCAAGCTCAATGCCCTGTGTAGGGTGTGCAGGAGGCAGCCAGTCATCATTGATGTTTCTATCTCTCTCTTTCCCTCTCCCTTCCTCTCTGAAATCAAGAAAAATACATTAAAAATAAATAAATAGCCGAAACCGGTTTGGCTCAGTGGATAGAGCGTCGGCCTGTGGACTGAAAGGTCCCAGGTTCGATTCTGGTCAAGGGCATGTACCTGGGTTGCGGGCACATCCCCAGTGGGAGATGTGCAGGAGGCAGCTGATCGATGTTTCTCGCTCATCAATGTTTCTGACTATCTCTCTCCCTTCCTCTCTGTGAAAAATCAATAAAATATATTAAAAAAAAATAAATAAAATTTCATGACTTTAAAAAGCACTGCATAGGACAAGGAAAACACATCTGCAGGCTAGATTTGGCCAATGGCCCCATTTGCAACCCCTGAGCTAGAGAAACTGAATCGGAGTCCCTTTCCCTTTATCAGTGAGATGCAGGCAATGACACGTACCTTTCAGGGTGTGGTGGCATTCAGGTAGCACAAAAGCACAGCACCTGGTACCTGGTAGGTCCCTGCTGTTAGTACACTTCCCGGCACACGCGCAAACCCATCACTGCCCTACAGGTCTGCCTGTGCGGGGCTGGCCACAACCACAGGAACCAAGGGTCCTGCTTGCCCTGAGAGCTGCTCTCTGTGGGGTCTGAGCATCCTTTTGCCTTTCCCCCTCAGAGTGATTTCCAGCCCAAAGAGAATCCAAAGGCCTGGTGATTGGCCTTCCTTTCAAAATTGCCCCTCCCTTGTGCCGTTCTCCCCCTCATCACCCTATGTCCCCAGAAAGCTCCTGGGCGGCAAGAGGGCTCCATTTTGGAAATGATGCAATTCCAGCAGATGGATATGGACTCCTGGACTTATTGATTTTGGTACTACTTTGCCGCCTCTCATGAGAAGTCTCCCAAAAGAGTTTAAAGACATTTTTAATACTGCATCTCAAACCTAAAGGGAGTTGCAACTGCGAGGGTAGCTCTCCTGGAACCTGCACACAGCAATGCACACACACGCTGACCTTTATTTTAATTTGCAATTTCCTGACGTTAGCAATTGCTGAGGGTTGGTGTCTTTGCTTCCTGACACAGCTGACATCGGGGCCCGATGATTCGTTGCCGTGGACAGCTGTCTTGTGCACTGAAGGCTGTTTAGCAGCATCCCTGGCCTCTACCCACTAGAAGCAGCATCTTCCTCCATGGTTGTGACAACCAGAAACGTCTCCAGGCACTGCCAAATGTTCCCTGAGGGGCGACCCCCCCTTCCTGTCCCATTGAGAAACGTTGCTTTAGATTATTTCTGGGGAGGGAGGAGGCTCCTGAGCCCCTCGGAGCTGAGTGATTTGCCTAGTATCACAGAGTTTGGCTCGGGCAGGAACGCAGGTTTCCTGAGGCCTGGCCCAGGGTTCTGTTCACGCTGCCGCTGGTTTTTAAGGTTTCAGTAGCATTGAAATCTTATTCCCACTCCCATTTAAAATTTTAGTCTTCAGGTTCTTAAGTGAAAATGTTATTCTATCCAATCAAAGCTTTGGCTGAATATTAGAGTTCTCGCTGAAAGAGGATTTAATAAATCAAATCCTTGGCCAGGATGGCCACTGGGTGGATCATTCGTCTTCCCCGAATTTCCCTTTGCTCGAGGTGATTCATCTCCAAATTCTAACAGTCTGTCTCGATTTGGTCTTGATAAGAGTTGACATCTATTTTTTATTTTGTCCACCTGCTTTCGTTTATTATGCTGCCTGACACAGCACACTGCACAGTGGCTGGTGTGGGTGCTTACCTTGGAGGAATAGATGTTTACTGGGGTTTGGGATGCCGGCAACAAGGAGACATTGAACTCCTCTGGGACGTCTGTGATGGTTGGAATTTTGTAGTCATCTGGGCCTCGTGAGTACAGGACACCTTCCGGGGAATATTTCAGCTCTTCAGTGGTGTAAAGGCCCATGCCCTGGATAAACGCACCTTCGACCTGAAGTGGGGAAATGCCAAGCTCTGTGAGACTGTGTGCTTTTCAGAAGGCGTTTACCTACCCACCATGGCTCCCAGGAAGCAGCACCCAGCTAAGTGGGCCAGGACCTACCTGCCCGATATCAATGGCTGGGTTCAGGCTGCAACACGCATCCATGACAATGTCTGTTCTGATTTTCTGCCAAAAATTAAAATGACCTCAAGTGTGAAAACCTGAATTAAAAATAGTACTTAAAGATTTATTCACATGGTCCCAAATGATTCCCAAACTCCTGCTAGTTAATTAAGACTGCATTGAACTCCATCAGCATTAGAGGGGGTAAGACATCTGCTATCTCTTTGGATTTAGTGCGGAGACTATCAGTGGCCCCAGAAGGTCTTTTGCATTCATGGCTTTGACTCAATGAGATGGCAAACACAAAGTTATTGTCACAGCCCTCCCCTTCTCTCCCAACCCCAATCTATTTCTTTAGAGGCAGGAGCACCTTGGGATAACCCACTCTGAAGAAACAGTATCACATTGCTGTGTGCTTTCAAAATGCTTACTCAGGACAATTTGCTAAATTACCTATTTCTTCAGATGAGATAACTTGACCTTTCTTTAGAAACAGAACACCCCCCCCCCCTTTTGTTTTCCACACAACTTTGGAAAGTGATTTTGATGTCTGAATTAAAATAAGAAACGATGCATTTTAGGCTGTCATGAGCAATGCCTCCTGACTACTTCTTTCTAAGTGCAAATTCATGATAAAGCTGGATCTCTAGACATTCCCACGGGATTGAAAGGGTCTTCTTCCTACAGTATACAAGTATGACACAGAGAACTCAGGGCTGTTCATGTGCAACGCAGTTTTGTTCTTGTGTTAACTCACCAAGAAGAAAGCTTTATTACCTTGTGGGCTCCTGTCAGGCAGTCGATTTCCACCTCAGAGCAGGCTGCTCCGTAGACATAGTAAGGAAACGGGTCTCCCTCCCCCTTCTCCCAGTCCATGAAGGCCTTGTAGCCCCTGATGGGAGAAATAAAGCCCTTTAGCTGGGGGTGTGCATGTGTGTGCATGCATGTGTGTGTGTCTGTGTGCGTGCGTGTGTGCAAGCAATGTTGATTCATTTAAAAAATTTCTAAAGTTATGATAGCATTTAATTTGACTGCTGTTTATTTCAACTGCCCTTTTCCACTCCTTTAAACTGCAGCCTGTATTCACATCCCCGCTGGTTGTGGCAACACGAATCTTCGCCTCCACTTTAAAGAGGATGCTCTGTGCTGCAGTCAGGAGGTCAGAAACGGAGAGAAGCCAATGGACCATTTCGGTTCGGCTCTCCAGGTCTGTATTTTGATGGTTTAGGCTTGTGGTTTAGCTCTGCACATTGAGAACTTCAGCTGATTTTACCGGCATTCCCAGTGAGTCCCCCTAGCTGGTAAAAAGAGGGCCAGTACTTCAATGCATTAACTTATAATGGAAAAGTACCCAGCTGGAGGCTGATTCGCTCTCTTCTTGGTAACTGAACTCAGGAATTTAGAACTCACAGTGTACAGGGCATTGGGCATGGCTATTCCCTCCTTTTTTCTTCTTAATGAGATCTCTCTCTCTCTCTCTCTCTCTCTCTCTCTCTCTCTCTCTCTCTCTCTCTCTTTCTCGTTTGGTGGTTTGCTCCATTAGATTGTTACACTAATGTCATGCACTTCCAGAATTTGACAATCAGCTCTCCTCTCTGTGCTTCCTTCAATCAACCCACCTTTTCCAAGGGCCTCCACTGAGGGGTCCTGCACCAGTGATGACTGGTGACCTCCCGCCCACCTCCCCTGTCTACCAAGGGGCCTCCGCACAGAGAGATTTTATGGTATCGGGAGGAAGATTTGTAAACTTGATATGCAAGTTACTTCTTTTTACAATTCACACTAAAGAATATTATTATTCTTTCTTTTCCACAATAAAGAAAAGTAAATAATGATTAGATGTTATAAGTCATGTTTAACTTTCCAATAGGGGTATTTTTGTTATTTAATATTTCTTTGGACATAGCTCAAAGGCCTATGTGAAGTCGTAGAATTTGGGGCCCAGAAAGGACCTCAGAGATCACACGATGAAAACTTGTTTTACAAACGAGGGATGGAGGCCCTGAGTGCGTGGTTGCCTCCCATTTTCTTGGCTAAGTCAAGCTGTTACCGTTGCCATTTTTACCTGAAGTATCCTGTGGCCGAGAGACTGATTCTTTGTTCAAAAGCAGCTTCTATCTGCAGGATGAGCATAATCAGTTAAAATAAAATAAATATACCATCTAATAGGTGAAAATAAAAATATTCAAAATAAAACTGTGTGTCAAAATTGACATATGATCATTGTTGGTGCTTTGTTACCAATAAAAGGACTAACTCATCATAATTTATATTTTTTCCTCTCAGCTGGTACACTAACAATTTCCTTCTGATTTGAGTTCAGGGGTCTGAATTAAAGAAATAAAATGGAATCCTGCTGCCCATCCATGATGTACAGGCTTAGTTTACAAGGTATTAGTGCTTCATATCTAAATGTCAGCACTCTAGTAGTGTATGTGCAAATGTGAGATAATTGTGCTAAAGAAATAGTATATAGGGTATTGTAAAGTTGGATTAAACAAATCATTTCCTGTGAGACTTATTCAATAACAATACTCCATATCGGGTGTGTGTGTGTGTGTGTGTGTGTGTGTGTGCATGTGTGTCTGAGGAAGGCTCAGTCTGGGTCAGGCCTTCTGGGTACTCTTTATACACTTCCATTCCTCTTCTCAGGGATGCTGTTCCCCGGGCGCTCTCTCCATACATACCTGGTAAACATCACGGAACAGCGTCTCAGCCTTTGGGGCTCTTGCCCTTGGGTATAAACCAACTCAGAAGAACTGTCGCTACGAGCTCCAGCTGTGTGCTGCCATGGTGCTCTGGGCACTGGTGTGGGTTTCCTCATTTGTAGTAATGGAGTGGAACACTTACCCAGTTTTCCCAGGAACCTTCTGGATTTTTCTTAATGATGGGCTCAAGGCGTTTCAGAAGGATCTGACAAGCGTTCTTGGAGGAGTAAAGAAGGGCATTCCCATTAGAGAAGAACCCGGGGTCAGGACTTGCGTGGAAGGAGATGAATGGATAACTGATTAGGTCAGCGAATACTATGGAGTGCCTGATACGGGCACATTGGGGACACAGAGCCGGTACCAACACAGCCCCTGACTTTGAGAGGAGCGTCCGTTACTGGAGGGCCTTTCCCTTCCTGCTTCACTTCCTGTGAGAACACAGGCTCAGCTGAGCTTCTCCTCTCAGGTCCCCTTTCTAAATATATCCATGTGCTTAATTCCTGCTTCTCTTTTTCTACATTTTTGACTTGTACCTTCTTTTGTATCTTCTAGCCATTAAAATAAACGAAACATCTTATTTTCATTCAAATTTGTGCTTTCCAATCTCCAACAATGACACGCCAATATCCGCCTGGGTCTGAAACATTATTCAACTCTCTGTCCATCCCTCTGCCTGATCACCCATCCACATCAAAGTACTGCAATGGCGGCCTTTCCTTTGGGTGTGAAGTGAAAAAATAATTGAGTTTGTTTTTTATAATAACCTGATCTACAAAGTTTCTGATACTCAGAACTGAAACCTAAAACTCAGCATCCTAGAACAGCGATTTTCACCCTATTTTATCTCCTGGCACACATACTCTAATTACTAAAATTCTGCAGTACACCCCCAATTTTTTTTTCTGCAATGACAAAAACAATAGGTATAATTTTGATTCATTCACACCAGATGGCTATTGTTGTGTTGTCATTTTTTTAATTTGACAAGCTAAGGGAAAAGAGGTCAGTGTCTCTAAATGTCAGGTATTTCATGTTTTTCGAAATCTTGCGGCCCAGCAGTTGAAAATCGCTGTCCTAGATGAATTAACACTGAGTTTGGGCTGACAACTTCCATACACATTGAGCTATTCCTAACTTGTGTTTGATTCTACCCAAAATTGGATCTCATGAATTTGAGGTTTCCCACACATTTGTTCTGAGTAAAAATCTCTGGTTTTTGAGCCCCTCTCAGGGTGTCCTCACAGAGATAAAATGGATTGAAAAGTGGTTCATCTTGGTAGCTTAAGTGCAGTGTCCTGGCACTGAGGGAATATGCCTTCCCACAACATTCCAATAGAAAAAGGGGACAGTTTATAACAGGAACATGACAGAAGGACAGGCAACCAGATATTTGAATGAAGGAATGTGAAGTCATGGTTCCATTCAGAAAAATCAAAAATTATACACCCGTTAGAAAGCAAGTACAAACAAAAAGGATGAGTACTCTGGTAGGACTCCACTGATGTAGACGCTTTAATTGTACCCTGTCTACCTGGCTGGAGTCCTTTCTGCCTCCCTGCCCACAAGACCTTATTGGTGCCAGGGGAAACGTGCACAGTTCCGCACGACTTGGCTCCCAGATTTCTTCTTTCTGTGTCTTCGAAGGACAGAGACTGCCTCTGCACCAGAACGCAGGCTCCCCTTCTTCCATAGTTGCTGGGCGTGTGGTTTCCCACTGCTCTACCTTCTCCCACCTCCCCTGCAGTGAGCTGTGGCCTGAGGCTGGTTCTACTAATGGATGGCGAGTGGAAGTGACTTGCATGGCTGCCAGATCTGGCCTCCACGCTCTCCCTCCCTGGCTCATTGGCTGATGACGCTCAGGGCAGCCTTGAAAGTCACATGTTGGAGATGGAGGAATTGCCATCAATCTGGGTGCTTGAATGAGTGAACACTCCCCCTGACTCTTCAGCGTACAAGAAAGGGACATTGTTATGTTTCAGCCATTATGTTCTGGGTCTATCTGTCACCGCCATTTAGCCTACTCCAACTAACACACTCTCTGACACTGGTTAGCCTGAGCCTGAGTTTAGTGACACAAATGGCTTCTCTGAAGTCAGCCACTTGTGCCTGTATCCAGCTAAGAAAACTGGAGATGTGGTACAAGTACCCAAGGAAAGACAGACAGACAGACAGACAGACAGACAGACAGCAGCAGCAAGCACCTGCACGGCTCTGCCATTGACATCTGAACCGATGGAGGCAGCTGTAGCAATTGTATTAGGCACCGTAGCTGTACTTGTCTCACAGATGTGCATGTAAGACATAGGTATTTTTAATTCACGGCTGGCCACCTATGAGAAAAAGACATATTTTCAAGTTCAGCAAGGAGTTCTATGAAGATTTGAGTCATCATTTTTCTTAATAAAAATGACTATTTTTAATATGTTCGTGATATCCTTTAAAGCATAAATCTCATGACATGTGGCTACAGGGCTGGACAGCGACAGGACAGGCAACTGCTGGGCTGGACAATACCATGACAGGTAGCCACCCCGCCAGGCATTTTCTCGAGAGGCAGCCAGTATCGCGAGAGGCAGCAATGGGGGGCCGAACTACGTTGTGACTGCCCGTCTTGACGTACATGATAGGTAATAATAATAAGGGAGAGAATACAATATGGTTTCGAATGGGAGGATTTAAAGGAGCCTCCAGACCACACTCAGGTCAGTGGGTGTCAACTGACCAACCACCAACTGGAACAAGACTTAGAAATTGCAGCTCTTCCTTGGAACCCTGTCAGAGCCTCACTGTTCATGGCCCTCACCCACGTCTTGTCTCACCTCTCCTCCCTTCCCTTGATGACAAAAAAGATGCCTGAATGCTGGGCTCTCTTAAGATGAATTTGCAGAAGAAGAAAAAAAAACAAAAAGGAAAAGAAAAAAAAGACAGATTTGCAGAAGCTGTAAGGCACCCCCATCTTCTTGAGTGGGGCCTTCTCGATCAATACACATTTCTTTACTTAAAACTCTGATGTTTTATTGACTTGTTTTTTTAAACACCCTGGCACATGCATCTTGTACCAGTAACAGGAGGGGGATGGGGCTGAAAGCCACCAGAATTGAGGAGTCCTTCAATTGGAATGTGGGAGGTGTATTCCAAAGTAGCTAAGGGGATGGATAGTCAAAAGCTGCAGATATGCACTCCAACAATCTAATGTATTTGTCATACAGTTAAGTTTATTTAAAGAATTAATTTTTTCTCCTGGGGTCACATCTTCCTATTTTGTATGTAGGCATGTGTGTGTTAAAGTATTCTTTAAAAATGATAGGAAAATAACATTGATGAAATACTTATCCTTACTTGTCAAAACAATATCCTAATATTGTTGTCCAAACTTCAAAACTTATGCATGCTGGTCTCAAACAGGAAAAGCAAGAAACTCCTACTCTACGAAGCCTGCATGGCACACCCAGCGCAACGATCCAGGGGCTCAACGGCTCCATCCATGAGCCCTGGCCAAGCTTCAGGAGAATTTGCACGTGTGTGTGTGTGTGATTTCCACCACCTCAGCCATTTTATTTGATATGTAAGAAGTTTTTCAACTAAATAGTCAAGATCTTAGGGTTTGAGTTCAGGGAGTTGTCCCTTACCCTAAAATTAGTGCCAAATGTCAGTCATATCAACAATGAATGAGATCAATGACTTCAGTTTATTGATCTTACCTGTAGCATTTTGGTGTGAATACCTTGTCCCAGTTCGTTGCCTCCGTGTGTGACCAATACAGACCCGTCTGTGTAGATATGAACCAGTGCAGCTGCCTAGAAAAACAATCCGAAGACACAGCTCAGGGCCAGTTTAGTGAGGCTCAATAGAAGAAATGGGGTAGAGAAACGCCAGTCTCGCGCAGTGGGGGGGGTCAGAGGCAAGCTCTCCTGGTGGGGTTCAGAGGCCTAGTTCTGTTTTGTGCAAAAGTCACCTGGAAAGACAGTCTTAGTTAGGAACCTGGTTTTAGTAGGAGCCCCTTGGGATACTCAGGAGTTGTGGGCATTGTTTGAAAGTCACTCTCCTGCTTAAAATCTCTGGCAAACCACTCAACTGGTGAATTAAACATTTGTAAGTACACGCACGTGTTCTGTGCTTGCTCTAGATATATAACCATGAATAAGATGTGCTTCTTCCTCAGGTAGCTCAGTGCAGTGGGGGGGGGGGGGGGAGGGCAGGCTGGAAAGCAGGTCATTAGAATGCAGAATGAGTTGTGAGATAAATGGTGTGCCTTGGGGCCCCAGAGACCTGGGAGGACAGACCCAGCTGCTTCTGCAGAGCCAGGGAAGGGTTCCCCACAGTGACACTGAATGGAATCATGAAAGGGAGAACAGTTTGCCCCTTGGGCAAGGTGGGCAAAAACTCCCCATTGTCTGCAAGGGAGAGCCCTGCACCTGCTCCTTGTTATTATATGAGGCCCTTTGGGATTCGGTCTCTGATGCTTTTCCCACTTCATCCCTGTCTTTTCCTACCTTTCCTCTAAGCCTGACATTACCCCTGTTCCTGCCTGACTTGCACTGTTCTCTTCCTGGTTTGCTCCCCAGCCTTCAACACCCTCCACCCCTGTGGTCTCTATTTTGTTAGAACTTCTGTGAACACTCCTCTTTCCTCTCCAGGAAGGATCCGTTACTCCCTTCTCTGCACCTACTCTTATAGGGGTGTACTGAGTTGAGTAGCGTCCCCTGTAAATCCCTGTCCCTTTAGGACACCAGAAAGCAACCTTATTTGTAAGTAGTCTTTGCAGATGCAATTAGATGAGATGAGGCACGGCAGGCTTCTTCCCCGGGGCCTCCCGAAGGAGCATGGCACTGCCAACATCTGGATTTTTAACATCTAGCCTCCAGAACCGTGAGAGAATGCGTGTGTTGTTTGAAGCCACTCAGTTTGTGGTACTTTGTTATTGAGGCCACAGGAAACGAATACCGGGGTGACAGGGAGTCTCAGTGAGGAGGGGCACCTCGTCTTTTTCATCTTTGTGTCCTGAAGGGAACTCTGAGTAGATCTGAGTCACAGAGACACTAAAAAAGTGTTTGTTAAACTGGATGGATGGCGATGTGGTATTTTTCCTTTGAGGAGAAGAGGGAGGGGGAGGGGGAGGAGGAGGAAGTAGGACTTCTGTCTATTCTGTCTGGAGATGCCTGGGGCCCGGATGGCTTGGAGGGATTCCAGGCATCAAGGCTTGTAGGTTCTAATAATAGTATTTCTTCAGCGTGGCCTCCTGACCCCCTGCGAGGACATGCTACTCCTGCCTGGTTTAGGGATTAGGTGTCCAGCTTTCTGAGTCATCAGCTGACCTGGAATGACACACCTCAGGTCCTAGCCTGGTGTGCCTTGAGCACATCAATTTGGAACTCTGTGGGGAAGCTGGAGGTCTTGCAAAGGGACACTTTGCTGGATTTAAAACATTTTTTTTTTTTTTGTGGTGAGATGAGAAGTTGGCAGAAATTAGGCTGTGGTTTAGGTGAGGGGCAGCCATAAAGGTGAGGGGAGCTGTGGTATTATACAAACAAATATGTGGTCGTTGCCCCTGGTTTTTGACACAGTTCCTAAAACCCATGGAATTTACTGTGCTTTGTATGCTAATGAGATGACTCTTGGAGGGCAACCTATCTAGCTGGGGCGGGGGAGGCAGGATGGTTGCCAGAGAAACCAACCACTGGGAGAGTCACATCTCTCAGCCCCACTCCCTGACCTCCAGAGTAGTGTGAGACTAGAGATTGATTTCAATCCCCGATGGCCGATGATTTACTCAAGTGTATCCAGGTAACGAGATTTCTGGGAGATTCCGGGTCGGAGAACACATCCACGACCAGGTGGGCCCCATGGTGGAGGGAGAGGACATGACAGCCTCACACCTCCTCTTCCATGCGTCTCTTCCATTCGTCTGTTTTTGGGTTGTATCACTTAGAATAAATTCGGAGTAATCATAAGCAAAGTGCTTTCCTGAGTCCTGTGAGTTGATCTAGTGAATTATCAAACCTGAGGGGGTGGGTAGAGGAAACCCCCAAATTTGTAGTTGGGTGGGCGGAAGTGCCGGTAGCCTGAGCACCCCATTGGGCTGGTGTATGAAATTGGGGCGGTCTTGAGGGGCTCGGCCTTTGACCTATGCACTAAGTCTGGGTAGTCAGTGTCAGAATGGAAATGGATTGTTGGACACCCAGCTGATGTTGGAGAATTGCTGTAGAAAAGACGCATTTGGCTGCACATGTGATATCCAGGATCTCTTATGCCTTAGCTGTTGATTCAGTCAGGCTTGCAGACAATTAACCTTCATGCACCTCTGTATAGAATGGGCACCTCAGATCTGAACAGGACTGTGACCAGCAGTCGGGGGGTCTCACCCTACAACAGAGGAGCCGCAGGCCTGAGAGGTGTGTCAGATCTCCTGGGTGTGGGGCGGACTGTCCTGATAACTACACGGTGCTCCAGGAACCCTGCCGATGCCGTGCAGCCATTATCTCATTGAACTCTCATCGACCCTGAGAGAAAGGATTATTGTTCTCAGCTTATAATTGAGGAAGCGGAGGCCCAGAGAGGTTGAACATCACACAGCCAGTAAGTGGCAGGGCCAGCGGTTTCTGGGGTCTGCCTGATTCAAGTTGATCAGGGGTTTGGGGTACTTGGTTTATTACCTAAGAAAGACTTTCTTTGACAGGGAAGCTTTTGTAGTGTGTGTGTGTGTGTGTGTGTGTGTGTGTGTGTGTGTATGTGTGTGTGTGTGTATTGGCTGCCAATAGTTGGGTGTAAGTGGAAGAATGTTTTCAATGGTATATACATAAGGGAGATCTACTGCATTTTTAGATTTATATTTAGACATAATGTGTGTAAGATTTTTCTGCTTTTGATGGACAATCCCGAGATGCAAGTCTTTCCCAGTTTTCTAAACAGCTTTCCTGTATGTGGCCCACTGGGCTTGCTGGGAAGACTCAGTACCAGGCCTCGTGCTATTTAATAGACTCACCTATGTGCCGCCCTTCCCCCTCCCTTCTGGAGAGGGCCTCTGAATGACTTGCCTTTTCCTTTTGCAAACCGATCTGGGAGGATTGGGCCCCACCCCCCTTTCCCCATCAGAATTGACCTGTTCCTGGGAGAGGAGGCTTGAAACAAATAGCTGGTCAGGGCAACGTGGAATGACTTCCCTGCCTAAGACTTAGGGTGCACCAGGAATGCTGTGGGGGCTGGGGTGCAGGCCAGGAGCAGCCCCATTCCTGCCCAAGCCTGTGACCCTTGAGCTTAGAAAGCACAGCCCCCCCACCCCCCTCAAAAAAAGAGAAAAAAAAGCCGAAACCGGTTTGGCTCAGTGGATAGAGCGTCGGTCTGAGGACTGAAAGGTCCCAGGTTCGATTCCGGTCAAGGGCATGTACCTTGGTTGCGGGCACATCCCCAGTAGGAGATATGCAGGAGGCAGCTGATCGATGTTTCTCTCTCATCAATGTTTCTAACTCTCTATCCCTCTCCCTTCCTCTCTGTAAAAAATCAATAAAATATATTAAAAAAAAAGAAAAAAGAAAGCACAGCCCCGCAGGCCCTGTGGGCTCCTGCTCCCTTTTTGAATAGGGGTTCAGTGGGTCAGTCAGGACTCCATCTTGGCAGTCCCCCAGCTGCAGGTCTCATGCTTGCCAATGCTGCTATCTGCTGTGGAGGCGCTTCTCTACTGCACTGCGGAGCAAGTGCTTGCAGATGGGTGCTGCTCAGGCGAGGGGCTCAGCGCCCTGGGAAAGGTGACACTCCGGCAAAGTCAGCACAAGCTGATCGATCGGGCAAGGAGCGTGTCTGACACAGGTAGGACCTTACCTGATGGTAGCTAGTGGCACCAAAGCCGACTGAAAACTTCATGGGGATAATGGCAAGTCCTTTCTTCTTCCAGTAATTCTTCTTATTAAATGCTTCCACTTGCTTTCTTCTGCTGCCAAAGGAAGACTTGTCCAGACATTCGTCCCAACATCGTATCAGGTTCTCGGGGCTGAAGGCTTGTTTGTAGATGGTTTTATCCACAGTTTTGTACATGTTTTTCTCCCTAACCTGACGTGGGAGGAAAATGGAATCGATAGTTATGGCAAGTCGGAAACTGACTACAGCATATATTGAGGAAACGAGATTGAAATGTAAAAAGCAGGCTGGGGTCTGATGGGGTATATGAAGAGCAGAAAGTGTTATCAACTCTAACCTCAACTGCCAGGAGCTGCCCCTGTCTGACTAGCATGTTGTATATACTGTGCGCCTAGGATATTGCGCAAAATAATGTTTTCGGCGAGCATCCTTTTGGCGGTATCTCTCAAGAGTTTTCAAGTGTGCTGGCAATTTCACTTCTGTAAATTTACCCTCTACCTAGGAGGGCAAAGATATACCCCCGAGACATCTGCACCAAGATGTGTATAGCAACAGCATTTTAATAGCCAAGGATGGGTAACGAGCTGAACGTGCACCAGTAGTGGAATGGCTAAGCAAATGACGGCACATCCCTGTTACATAGCACTATTCAGTCTTGAAAAAGAAGGAAGGTCATTCTATTGCTACAGGAAGATGGCCACAGCCTATTGTCAAGGAGAAAAAAGCAGAGTGCAGAATAATGTGTTTATTATGGCCCCATTTTGGTAAATCACTGTATATGTGCATGTATAAACACAGGGCAATGATGATGTGTGTATGTATGAATACAGATGGGTGGATACCCATAGAGAAAGGGCTAGGACAATAAATATGGAAATGCTGACCATGGTTACTCTTAACCAACAGGGACGGAGGGATAAAAAAGGGTACGTTCACTTTTTACTTAATGACTGCAGTGGGGTTTAAAGGTTAAGAAGAGTAATTATCTTTGCACAAGTTTTAAAAAGAAGGAAAAAGAGAAATCTTTGTACAAGAAGGATGAAAGATAAGAGCAGGGAGGTGAATTATTTTAGGTAGCCCTGAATATATTTTGAATTTTGAGCCAGAGCTAATTTGAGTGGTTCTAGGGTATTTCCCTAGGTAGCTGGTTCCCTCCTCATCTGATTCTTCAGCAACCTTGGCTGTGACCTTGATCAAAACCTTACCTTCTCTGGCAGAAGGCCACATTTGGCTGCCACAGCTGTGATGCAAGATTCTGTTACCAGGGTTCCTTGTGGGAAGCCGTATCCGCGAAAGGCCGTGTTGGATGGTAAGTTGGTCATACAGGCACGGCCCCGGAACCTGAGGTTTCGGATTTTATATGCATTTTCCAGCTTTAGTACAAGGAATTCTGTTACCTAAAATAATAGAAGGTATTCACATATATTGGATAACATTTTCCTCTTTTCTCTAAAAGTCAAGAACACAGAGTCGAGCTGCTGTGGAACCTGGTTAAGTACTTGAGGAAGCGCGTTCAGTAAAGACTCATCTAGAAGTTCTGGGTTCTACTCACGACCAAGGTCACTGGTGTGTGATGCACGCACCTGCTCCGAGTCGTCCAGTGTGCACCCTCCGTTAATGAAGCACTCAATGTCTAGAGCTTTGATCCGCCCGTTGTTCATGAATCCCACCTGTCAGCAAATGATGGACATTTTACATGATTAATGTCCATGCCAACTTGGAGCCACAGCCCAGCTCCCCTGTTGGGCAGGACTGAAGACAGACTCTGCTCGCGTTTGCTCTGTGGTGTCCCCACCTGGCTATCCCCCTGGCTTTCAGCACTTGGCTGACAAAGGCCTCCTCTGACCTGAATTTTGCTGAGCCCTTTCCTTTCAACCTGCAATTTTCTGGCTTCACCGTCATCGTGGAATTCTAAAGTTTTTGCTGATCTCCAGACATGTAATTGCTACCCTCTTCTTCCTTATTCTTGGAAGATTCTCCTTCACTTTTTACTGGCATTCCTTCTGAGTTAGCCCGTGGTTTCCGCCCCGTGGAAAAGTTTCTGGAATTTCAGAGTTCGATGGGATGAATGGCAGTGCATCTCGTCGCAGGAAAGCGTCAAAAGCCAGGGCTGGAAATGGTCCCTGGCCTGACGGCGGTTGTGCTGAGCTGTGGAGCGCTTTGCAACTGGTTACATAACAAATGTGAGCTCGTACTGCTGTGCTTCCTGGGTGGGACTCACAGAGGCACCTGGTGTTTTCCTGAGGTCACCACTCCACTCCCACCACGGGACCAGTCTGTCTGTAGAGCCCAGATTGAAAAGAGAAATTCCCACGCCCTGCTGTAGTTCTACCAAAAAGACTGGCTCTGGTTGGTGTCTGTCTTCTGAAGACCCGGGGACAAATACAAGTGATGAAACGTGCAACTATCTGACTATTATCATCTACTCCAAGGGAAGTGTTGGATAATAAACCAGAGCAGTAAGGACATGTGGGAAAACCCGCCAATTCAGAATTTATGGCAATTTTGACAAAGGCTAGGCTGCAGCGTACCTTTAACTTTTCCTGAAGAAAGCATTGCCAAGCAAAGGTAGCAGAGAGAATTCTTCAGCTTTTAAATAAACTTTTGAAGAATTTTGAAAGAATCCCTCACACATAGGTATCTGCTCTACTAATTTACTAGTAGTTCCAAGTAAACAAGCAAACCTTTGTTAGCTAAGTTTAATGAGGATATATACATACATGTATACGCATATGCACATATTATTATATTGGAAGTACAATTATATTTCTTTAAAAATAAAATAAAATTTGGATTTTTAAAATAGTCTAATGATTTCCCTCTTTTATATTATGTTTTATGTTATTATAAATGCGAAAATATTTGCTGTCTAAATCCTCTTAATAGGCAGTAGTACTAAAAGTGTCTCACAACTAATATAAATAAATTCTGATTTATAATTCAGGCCAAAACCAAAGGACTCAGCAACTACCATAATACTAATTGCCACAATCCCAGAATGTGTCTCTACCTTGCTCTTGGTACTAGAAGATAATATCTGTATTAATTTCTGTGCATTTGAAGGCAAATACAAAGTTTAACTGCCAACTATGGTTTATTTCTCTCTAATTTTATAAGTTACTAATGCCAATGGAAGAGATAAAATTGTGAAAAGCCATTGTTTTAGTAATGACAAAAAAATATAACAATTTAGTAATCTCAGGCAATGACAAAATTAGATATGAAATTTAACTATATGTACGCTATGAGTAATTGCCAAATAAAGCATATTTGATAGGGAAATATTACATTAGAACTGTCCAAAGAACTCAAGCACAAATTTGAAAAGTAGTATTGATGTTAATAAGTATTTTTAATAGTGTTTATGCTACAGTTTCATAGAAATGCAATGAATGTGGTTTGAAACAATTTAAATTTATTTCACTTGCTAGTGAATTATTTTTTCCTATTTGCAAATAATTTTTATGACACTTTCATAACCACTTAGTGGAAACACTTGTAAAGTGAAGTTTAGTATAACAATGTTTGTAGCTTCTTTCAGGTTTTTGTCACTGAGGAAACATTAGCATTTTTAATCATGTATTTTTATTATTCAACTTCATAATTCTACACTAGATTTATTAGAAGTTCCTCCCAAAAATGTTATGAGTATTCAAATATACAGCATCCTCACTTAATATTTTAGATACTAAGATTATTGCTTTTAGAATTCAACAAAATCAAAACAATAGAAGAGAATAAAACCATTCAAATAGAATGAGGTATTTTAATAATTTCATCTTTAATACTCACTTTATATTTTCCAAATAATGGGTGTCTTCCCCCAGTTATTAACATGTCATCTTCACGATCAAGAACAAGACGAACAGGGTGACCAGTTCTAAAGGACAACAAATCTTCGTCACAGTCTGCATCCCACCCATCCATCCACCATCTACTCACCTAGTATCCATCCACCTATTTATCCATCCCCTCGTTTATCTATCTACCCACCCATCCTCTATCTACCTTTCTACCCATCCATCCTCTACCTGCCCTCCAATCCATCTTATCCAAACATTCATTTAACCATCCATCCATTCCATATATATTCATTGAGTGCATACACTGTGTGAAGCATTGAGCTAATGTACAACTAAATTACTATCGTCTCCGTGGTCTATAATTAAGATCTAGCTAAAGTGATTAATGTCACATGGCTGTTCACTTGTGTTGTTATGGCTTTAAATTTGACAATCATCCACATCCAGTCATTTTTGCATATCCCCACCACTAGTAATAAAGGAGAAAGAGTGTGAACAGATAAATGCAAACTTAACAACACAACTGCAAGCAAAGACCAACACTTGTCTTAGGATGTGTCAGGATTTGGATCTTCATTTTCTTTCTTTCTTTTTTTAAATATACCTTTATCGATTTCAGAGAGGAAGGAAGAGGGAAAGAGAGATAGAAACATCAATGATGAGAGAGAATCATTGATTGGCTGCCTCCTGTACATCTTCCCACTGGGGATAAAGCCCGCAACGCAGGCATGTGCCCTTGGCTGGAATCAAACCTGGGACCCTTCAGTCCGCAGGCTGACATTCTATCCACTGAGCCAAACCAGCCAGGGCTGGATCTTCATTTTCACTGGGACTGCCCTGATGTTGGCCAAGTTGTACCTTTGGGTAGCTAGGAGCTTCAGCCTTTCTGTGTCTCAGGGGCAGAAGCTCCCAGACTTTGGAGTGTAGAAGAATCCTCTGGAGTGCTGGTGAAATGCAGATTCCTGAGCCTTAGCACTTCAGCAATAGGTTGGGGAGGGGCCCTAGAATCTGCATTTCCCTCAGCGATTTTGATGCAGTGTCTTTAGGTACATGTTGAAAACCATAATTCTAGTGTAGGGTTTCCTTGTCTTTTTTAATGGTGAGGACCACCTGGAGCATCAGTTAAATGTTCAGTTTCTGGGTTCAATTCCTGGTGATTTTGATTCTGTGGGTCTGGGATAGGGAGGCAGAAATTGCTATGAGCTGAGGAAAATCTTATTACCAGCAATTTGGGAGCACTCCTCTGGGGACCACTTAACACAAGGCAGTAGTATGCTAAGGCAGGGTTGTTTAAGATAGTGTTTCCCACAGTTGGCAGTAGAACCACTGGGAAGGCTTTCAAAAAGTGTTTTTATTGACGAGAGAGAGAGAGAGAGAGAGAGAGAGAGAGAGAGAGAGAGAGATACATCAATGGCTTGCCTCCCATATGCACCCTGACCTATGGGATTAAACCTGTAACCTGAGTATGTGCCGTGACCAGGAATTGAACCCACAACCTTTTGGTGTATGGGACAATGCTCCAACCAACGGAACCACCCAGCCAGGGAGGAAAGTTTAAAAAAAAAATAATAATGCCGAAACCGGTTTGGCTCAGTGGATAGAGCGTCGGCCTGCGGACTGAAAGGTCCCAGGTTCGATTCCGGTCTAGGGCATGTACCTGGGTTGCGGGCATATCCCCAGTAGGAGATGTGCAGGAGGCAGCTGATCGATGTTTCTCTCTCATCGATGTTTCTAACTCTCTATCTCTCTCCCTTCCTCTCTGTAAAAAATCAATAAGATATATTAAAAAAATATATATAATAATGGTTGGGTCAGTATGGGGCATCCTAGGCAATTGGATTTAAATATTCCCAAGATGAGTCTAATGTGCAATTATGCTTGAGAAGCCTTAAAGGCACAAAGCCTGGTGGGAATACAACAAATTGATTCTCCCTTGCTGGGTCCCTGGTGGATGTGAATAGAGAGAGGTTCATTATGGAAAGAAGTGGAGGTGAGATTCAGATCCTGTTTTTTCCTACCTCTCATCACGGAAGGAGACACATACTGAGTGTCTTGGTTCCTAGCTCTGAACTATACAGAAGCTGCTAAAGGACATTTACAGGCTGATTGGAGCTCTGACAAAGTACAAAAAAAAAGTAAAAGAAAAAAAGAACACGAACTAGAAAAGCCAACACCATGAACAGCATGAACAGTGAGCCTTCCATTGAGGTGAGCCCGGGAGCTCTCTTTGAGGATGTCATCTGTCCACTGAACACACATTGAAAAGCCAGCTCTCCCCAGGTGCAGGGAGGAGGCAAAGGGTGGGGTCTTTCCTCCCTCACCCCGCCTGTCTGCAGCTGAGAGTAGGAAGGAAAAGTGAGGGAGCATTCTCCCACTTGGCACTCTACTTGGGTAGTTACTTGCCCCACCTCTAAATGGGTCACCTTCTCTGAAGCTCAGGGTCAGGACAACCCTCGCCCTGGAGATGTTCAACTAGTAATGCTACTTTTCCTTTTTATAGGAAATTAGCATAGTCAAAGTCCTATCTACATATGACTTTTCTATTAACTCCAAGAGGGTGGGCATTGTATCTGCAATTAAAAAGAAAAAGAGACAGGAGGCTGAGCTGCCCAAGGGTGGCAGGTGGTTATGACAGCAGCCCAAGCGCCTCTCAGGCCACTGATCGGCCCTCAGCTCTGACATTTTACACCCTTCTGTACCCCCAAATGCACTTACTTGATGGCACCCACAGCTGCAATAGCTCCGAACACAGCTGATTTTCCTACTTTCCCGCCAAAACCTCCACCCACTCGTTTCACATGACAGGTGATCCTGTTGCTTGGGATGTTTAAAGTAGAAGACACTGTTTTCTGTAAAAGTTAGATATTGGGAAAGTTTTACAAGAATGAAATGGTAAGGAGGACTTTGAGTTCCTGAAACACAACATCACTGCAAAATCCATCCACATCTGCTCTGTAAAAAAAAAAAAAGAAAAGAAAAAAGACTGACAGTCTGAATGTGTCTTGTGTAGCCCCATTGAGGTCATAAACATGGGCCATTACCACAGAACACAGCCTTTCCAGTAGAAAAATCGCATTTTCCAGAAGGGAAACTGTCAGAAGAAACCATCCTGGGTTCCTGTCAGAAGCTGAACTCCGAGACAAATGCCTTAACTCCGTGGTAGGCAAACTGTGGCTGGCGAGCCACATGCAGCTCTTTGGCCCCTTGAGTGTGGCTCTTCCACAAAATACCACATGTGGGTGCACGTACAGTGCTATTGAAACTTCGTGGCCCATGCGCAGAAGTCGGTTTTTGGCCTGGACTAGTCTATTTTGAAGAAGTACTGTTGATATTTGACTCTGTTGACTAATGAGTTTGCCGACCACTGCCTTAACTCAGTGTCCCAACAAGGTGAGAAACAGCAAACTCTAGACAACCTCCTGAACAAGAAGCATTTGCAGCTAAAACTTGCTGAGTACTTTATGGCTGGGGAAATGAAAACGTGCTATAAAGTGAAGAGTTTACTCCACAGGTTAACTGTAATAATTATCTTAGAGAAAAACCAAGTATAGCTATAACTTAGTGTTGTCATCCAATCACAAAGTTCATTTAAGCATACTGCCACTGAATGTCTTCTCTAAATCTAAATAATACAACGAATGACTTCACAAGACCAGGAGAAAAGGGGGTTCTGGGGCCTTAGTTCTCCATTGCTGTCCAATGCTTGTATTCTAAGTAAATGCCTGCCAACTCCGAGGCAGAGGGGGGTGAGGCGGAAGTTGCAGAGGTGGGGGGCGGTCCTGGCCCTCACCTGCACGTGGGCTGGATCCTGGGTTGAGACATAGATGTCCAGTTCGTTGTCCTCAGTCTTTGGAATAACAAGCACTCTTTGTGTTTCCATGTAAAAGTGTTCCTGTCCTCCAACATGGACCTCTCCTGTTAGGTGCAAGCACAGGGAAATTCCTGAAGGTGCAGGCTGGTTGGAAATGGTCATGTTGGGGAATTCAAAAGCAAGCAAGATGTGGTGAACTGGCCAGCCTGGATTTGTCCTGACCGAGGAACTGATGGGTTAGGCATTTGTCCTGTGTCAACTGAGAGCAATCTTTCAGAGATTACAGTTCTGGATAACAAGTTTTGATTCCATTCCTCACCCTGCCCTTGACGCATCAAAATCTTAGGAGTTTTTCTTCTATTTCTTCTGCTGCTCCCTACCTCCCACCCTCAAAACCAACAGACACACACACACCCACACTATTTGGAAAGAAGAGATCTAAGAGAAATTTGGCAAAGCACCAAGAGGAAATCACAGGCTGTCAATGTCTGCTTTAGAGTAGAATCCCCCAAAGATCCCATCAAATATCCTGAGTCTCTTACCTTCAACAATTTGATCGACTTTTTCAAATGCTTCCTCAATGTTTCCTTGTTCAAGTTTCTTCTCAGGGCATAGGAATGAGTTGTGTTTTATGGCATCCTAAGTGACAGGAGAAAAACACAAAGCCAATTCTTTGTAAGTTTCTTCCACTGGCAGTGTTTTTCTTAATAAAAAGCCAGCAAACTCCCCAAATTGCCATCTGCTAGGACACATCAAAGGAGTCCTGCAAGCAGGGAAGTACTAGAGCAGTGAACGCACTGCAGAGATGGGATGTTGGAGAGATTGTCTTCTAGATTGCAGAGGAAACCAATAAGGGTTAGAGAAACGTTAAGAACTGAGATCTGGAGGCACTTTGATGGTCCAGGATGATCACTACACTTTTCTCATTTTTAATGTGGATCTCCAGGGAACAGGTGATAGGTCTACATCAGGGGTCCTCAAACTACGGCCCACGGGCCACATGCAAATACAAATATTGTATTTGTTCCCGTTCTGTTTTTTTACTTCAAATTAAGATATGTGCAGTGTGCATAGGAATTTGTTCATAGTTTTTTTTAAAAACTATAGTCCGGCCCTCCAACGGTCTGAGGGACAGTGAACTGGCCCCCTGTTTAAAAAGTTTGAGGACCCCTGGTCTACATGTAGTATGGGTGAGGTTCTGGGCCTTCCCTTTTTACCTTTTCCACGAAGAAAAAACACTGGTGTAAGACTTAGGTAGCTCATGTACAAGAACCTCTAACTCAGAGATCTGAAAGAACAGGCCGTGTTGAGGGAGAAGACTCAAGTCCTAATGCATTTCTGGGTAAGAAAGCCCAATAGATGTTGTAGGAAGTTTTTTCATTTCTTTGAGATTTGACATATCTCACAGGGCTTCTCTAGTTCTTTGTTTTCTTTCTGATAATAACATGAACGAACTCACACAAGAAGACTGGGAGCCATTCTGAGGTTCTGTCAGACCCAAGGTCGTTTTCGATACTTCAGAAGGCACCTGTCTTTTGCATTCTTACTCTCCCATAGCTTTAAAGCTATTGCCTTTTTTGCTAAGGATGATATTAAGATATTTACAAAAGTACTTTTAATCTGTAACCTTATGGGAGAGACCAGTCAGCTTACCTCGATGGTGACGATTACGGGCTCCAGATCTTCATAGGTGATCTTTATCTCTTCAATTGCACGTTTCGCCTGTACATCTGTCTCTGCAGCCACAGCACAGATGATTTGACCCACACAAAGTACCTGTGGAAAGTACATGCATGAAGCAGGTAGAAAATTCTGGGTAGGAGTAGCTTTAAGCTCAACTTTACCAGTGGCATCTTAGTTGTCATCATTGAGAAATAATAACCACTTTGAAGTCACATTCAACTGTATGTGCTTGGTTAACACATTAACATTTTTTTGAATTAAAAAATAATTTAAATAATACAGATGTTTCCATTGGCCATTTTACTCAATGCATGTAAGCTCCAGAGTGAATGTGAGATTGGCTGTGACCTGAATCTGCTCTGTCCTGTCAAGTTAGGGTCATATGTATCGCCTTTGTGGTGTCATTTTAGAGTTTAAAAATAAGGACAGTATTTTTTTGTAGAACATGGACTCCACCCCCATTCATGTGTTGAAGCCCTAACCCCTCAATATGAGTGTATGGGAGATAGGGCCTTTAAAGAGATAATTAAGGTTAAATGAGGTCATAAGGGTGGAGCTCTAAACCAATAGGACTGATGTCCTTACAAGAAGAGGAGGAGAAGCCAGGGAGGTTCATGCACAACAAAAGGCCATGTGAGGATGCTGGGAGAAGATGACCATCACAAGTCAGGAAGAGAGCCTCAGGAGAAACAAACCTGCTGACACCTTGAACATGGACTTTTCAGCCTCCAGAACTGTGAGAAAATAAATTTCTGTTTTTTGAAGCCACTCAGTCTGTAGTATTTTGTATGTCAGCCCTAATAGATAATACAGGTCCTCAGTGACAGCCAACTTCACCTGGAGTTCAACCAAAAGAACAGTGATTCATGCCAAGGCTGCAGGAGACAGTCTGTATGGGACTCACTGAGATGTGGCAATAACAGCTAACACTGAGATCCTTCACGTGCCAAGCACTGTGGTAAGCACTTCACATGCATTAACTCATGTAAATTTCACAGCAACACAGTGAGGCGGGTGCTATGACTATTCTCATCTTACAACTGATGCCACCCAAGGACACACAGTGAGTGAGAGGTAGAGCTGGGACATGAACCAAGGTAGTCTGGCTCCAGACACAAGAGCTCAGTGAATGATTGTTGAATTGGTTAAAGGTCAAAGATGGCAAGAGGAACTTTTTAAAAACTGGAGTGTGTGAGGTAAGTGGAAGGTGGAGGGGATGGGGTTGATCCAGGAAAGGAGGGAGTTCAGTGTAAATAACAGAGAGTGGCTGTGTTTTTTGTACTCTCCTTTCTACATTTTTCTATTCTATTCTGACACAGGTCAGTTCCTGCATTTTCCAGATGAGGATAAATTGACTCAAGAGCATGCCGGGGGGGGGGGGGGGAAACTAAGAGTTATTTTTCCATAATGACTTTACTTTACTTTTTATTATGTTATTTCCTGACTCCAGAAGTGTAGGTTTGTCTGAATAAAGATGTTAGGGGTAGAAAGAAGCTGGGAGAACTGGCACCTCTACCCCCATTGGCAGAGAGGGCAGGGAGGCCATGGGAAGTCGGCTTGGAGAGGGTGCCTTGGTGATTATCTGCACAACTCATGGAAAGGCATATTCTGTACCTCATCTACAGCCAACAATTTCTCATCTTCAGTACCATTGGTGCCTGGAATGTCTTCAGCTGTTATCACATCAACCACCCCAGGCAGTTCAAGGGCCTTTGACAAGTCAATTGATCTGGAAAAAAAAAAAAGGGAAATATTTAAGAGATAGAAATCAACAAGCTTTGAGGGTCCCAAACCTGAAGGAGGGATAGAGCATGGTTGGAAATAAAAGTATAGAACGACTGGTCCAGCTTAGGCCCTGATCAAGACGTCCCCTGCTGGGCCGGAGGTAACATTTTCGCTGCTGGGAGGGGAGCTGTCAGATGGGCCAGTGTGCCTGTTGCAAGGGGCCTCCTTAGGAAGCGTAGGATATGGCCATTTACCATTCAGTAATGAAGTATTTCAGTATTTTATCACCAGTTGAATATCAGCTCTACTTATTTATTTGAGCCTTGCCTGGGGCTGCAGCAGGGAGATGGGGCACTGTGAGGTTAGAATGGAATCAAGAAACCCATAGCTATAATTTTTGTCTTTTCCATGTGGTCATTTCCAGATACTTTATCTTCCTCCTCTGGGGGCTGGTGACCTTTCCTTTTTCTTTTTTTGTGTGTGATCTTTACTTTACTCTTTCTATTTTAGGTCCTTTGGGTTTAGGACATTGCAGAAGAATTGGCACATTTCTCCGAGGAAATCCTCAGCTCTTGGCTCTTCTGGGAGAGCAGTAAAATGGGAAGGCTCTGTGTGTGTCCCTAAAACTCATCATGTGTGTGTAAAAGGCTTTTTGAAAGCTTTTCACTTACATAATTTTTGCATGGGCTCTGGTACTGGTCACCAAGGCCATGAAAAGTTCCTTTTCCACCCTGGGGATGTCATCACAAAACATGGCTTCACCTGTGGCATGTTTGAGACCTGATAGGTGCATGATGGGACGTCCCACCGGATCTTGGAGGGGTTGGCGAGAGTCCACACTCTACAGAGGAAGACAAGAGTTGCTCTTCAGAAGTGGCCTGGACAATTCTCAACTCGCCTGAATCAGGATTGAGAACACACAGTCACCCTTGGGCAACAAACCCTGGAGTGGGTCCGATAGAGAGCATGACAACGTAATGATGCAACTACACTGGGAAACGGTCATTTCAGTTATGTGGCAATACCTTTGACAGGGCCAACTTTTTGGCAAAATTGTGAAACAGGTGAAGGGGCACCCCCGTTTCTCATTTTGGCATCTTCTTTTTCTAAGCAGTATCCCTGTACCCCTTTCTTCTGGAATTCAGGGGTCTGTCTCCCTGTCTTGCTTTCTGATTTTCCCAGTAATCAACCTGTTCACATGTAAAGGGATCATGATGATGAAGGCTAAAGTGATGTAATTCCTGAGGGTGAGGGACCAAAATCTAAGCCCAAAGCAGACCTCTGGTGGGGGAGGGGGTAGCAAATGGCCATGGGGCCCACCCAGATCCGGACTAAGTGCCTTGGCTGCCCTCCAAGGGGCGTAGAAACATCCCTGGGCACGTAAGGCAATGGAGCAAATGTTCGCTCTAGAACTCTTCTCCAGGAAGAGTGGTGTGTGGTGCGTGGAGACGGGGTTGGGGGAGGTGTTGTGCTCTAGATAACTGTAGACATTTTCCAAGTTGTCTTGCAAGGACGGGGGGTTCTGTTACTTGCAGGGCTCTTGTTTTGCTGACGAGATGAAAGGTTTTGCAATCAGGGCGGGAGGCTGAGCCTTGCTCCTCTCCCGTGCTGTCCTTCCCCCACACCAGGCTCAGCCGCTCTTCAAACCAATGTGCAAAGGACGTCATTGGACAGTGTGAAGAGATCGTCAGTTACTAGATGGTCAAACTGTTCCGGGTCGGTTCAGCCTCAGATAAACCAATTGATCTGCATTGATTTGGTGGCTCAGGCCTGAGCTCAGATCCAGCCTCTCCCTGACTCGGCCTAAACAAAGGGCCAGTGTGCAGCAAAAACACAGCGTCAGGACTAAAATCGCCACTCTGAACAGCTTGCTTGTTCGCACGGCTACAGCTTATCTCTTGGTGTCTAAGTTTCTGTTAAATTAAACTCACTGACCTGGTACCTCTGGACTCCCTGGGGCACCGTGACGGACAAATCTTCCAGCCCGCTAAGGAACGGGTCTGAGACGTCAGGATATCGAAGGCCGTCCTGGGTGAAGTTTCAAAACAAACTGATTAGTCCGTGTTTAAGCTGGGCTTTGATTTATGCAAACATGACTTGGCTACAATACCCACAAAACTGCACGGTCAGTGTAGGGAGGTAACCCAAATCCCCATCGCCTCCAGGATTTTACTTTTGATGAAAGCTTCTTGCCCTCCCTCTCCTTCCCTATAAGGAGGAACTGGACTGACTGGTTTGAAGCTGATCCTCAGGTCACCCTGAGAAGGAAGAGAGGGTGAGCTGGCCTGCAGGGAGAGAAGCAAGAAAACTGGGGCTACGTAAGCCATCCAGAAGGAGCTGGCATTCACTGTACACACGAGAGCCCATAGCCTATTGCTTTTCTCAGCTACTCGGCTTTCTGGGAGAGAAGTAAAATGGGAGGCCCTCTGTGTGTCACTAAGCACATCAAGTGTCTTAATTCAGAAATTAAATTCCTGGGGAATGTGGCTGGTGAGGGTCTGAGTAAATGAGAACCAGACACTTCAGGAACGCTGAGCTGCTGGGATGGAGTTGTGGGGAGGGGGCATAAGGTAGGGAGAGAGTTGTGATCATAGTCAGGAGAGGAAAGAGAGAGGAAGGGAGGGAGGAAGAGAATGTTTTGTTTTGCTTAATTATTCCAGAAATTTACAATCAGAAAATCTAGCAAGAAGCTACTTCAGTATCAGCATGTAAATAAATTTTAGTATTTTAGAAAATTAAAATTTTATTTTACACTCCATATTGAAGCTGGAATATGGGCAGGGTGGGAGGGTTGACAGTAAAGGGACAAAAGGGTACATTTTGGGGAAATGGAAATGCCCTGTATCTTGTTTGAGGTGGTGGCTCCGTGGGTTGACACATTGGTCAAAACTCACTGTATTTAAACAGGTGCATTTCATTACGTGCGATTATACTTTCCAAAGTGATATTGGAAGAAAAATAATCGCACACGAGGCAGGAGCGCCATAACCTTTCACTGCACAGGGCACGCGGTCAGCATCTGTGGCTTGAAGGCAGCCTGGCGCCCGGAGCCCCAGGAATCTGGGAGGTGGGATGGCTGGGGACGGACTGGCTGGGACCCAGAACAGGCGGCAGGCCATGGCCCAGGCCCCACGGGACAGCTGGCAGAAGTAGTGGGCACGCTGGGAGCTAAAGGCTGCGAGGAGCCTGGGCAAGCGCGAGCACTTACAGGCGCAGAGGGCCGCTCTGCCAGCGGCTTCAGTGTCTGCAGCACTTGCAGGTAGAACTTGAAGAGGAAGCTGACCACCAGAGTCCTCTTGAACTCCACCCTCCCCCCCGGAGCCGAGCCTGGGAGGGAGACTTCGTCCAGGAGCAGCCGGCAGGCCTCGTCCAGCATCAGCTCGTTCCAGCGCCTGGTGGGATGGAGGCAGCAGGGGACCAGTCAGAGTGCGTGACAGGTGCTCGAGGTTGCTTGGTGATCACTTAGAGACTCCGGAGTCCTATTTATTTATTTATTTATTTATTTATTTATTTATTAATTATTATTTTTTGTTAATCCTCACCTGGGAATGGATGGAGATATACATATATATTTCAGAGAGGAAAGGAGAGGGAGAGAGAAATTGAAATATCGATGATGAGAGAGGATCATCAATCAGCTGCCTCCGGCAGGCCCCACACTGGGGTTGGGGGGATTGAGCCTGTAACCCTGGCATGTGCCCTGACTGGGAATCGAACCATGACCACCTAGTTCTGGTTCATAGGTCGATGGTCAACCACTGAGCCACATTGGCTAGGCTGGGGATACTTTTTCCATTGATTTTTTTTAGAGACAGTAGAAGGGAGGGAGACAGAAAGAAAGAAAAAAGAAGGAGCAGGAGGGAGAGAAAGAGAGAGAAAGAGAGAAAGAGAAACATTGAAGTGAGACACATCAATTGGTTGCCTCCTGCAGGCCAGGGATCCAACCTGCTACCCAGGTACATGCCCTTGACCTGGAATGGAACCGGCAACCCTTCAGTGTGGGCTCATGCTCTAACCACGGAGAAAACGGGCCAGGGCTTTATCGAGCTGGAAGGGAGTGTAGAAATCACCTAACAAGCCCTTCAGGAGAACTGAGGGCACAGCAGGCTGGAACCTGGCATTCAACAAACAGACCACGAGGGCCAGTTCCACAGTGACCTGGACGAGACTCAGACTCGGACGTGGCTTTCACCGAGGAAGAGGCAGCTGGCACCTGAGCAGAGGGTGCAGGTGCCACGCGGACGCTGCCGGGTGTGCGTTTGCTGGAGTATTGGTGTCACAAGAGACTGGGCTGGAGGAGTCCTCGCCATTTCAGTTGTTGTATTCCTCGCCCAAAAAGTGCCACCTACTTAATCATCGTCAAGAAAGGTCTGATTCATTTAGCAAAACTATGGAAAGAACAAGCAGTGCCTCCACACAGAGGCGTTTCCATTTTCTCAGGCTTTGCCAACACTCGCCTGAGCCAAATTTCCACCTTTTTTTTTTTTTTGACGTCGATTCACCCTCAGGCACAGGGCTCACTGCTTACCTCCCTCGGAGCTGCTGGCAGGATTGGCGGGCGCTGACGGTGGCCGCCCCGAGCCCCCCGAAGGCGATGCTCAGGTCCTCGATGGTGTCGGTGCCCTCCTTGAGGAGGACCCGCATGCCCGCGTTCACGTGGGCCCAGGCGTTGTGCTGGCACTGCGCCTGTCGGAAGGCCGACACCAACTCCCCCTGCGGAGGCAAATGCCGTCGGGAGCTGCTCCATGGGTCAACCTCAGAGCACGGTTTCTGCTTCTCGGCGCCACTGATTAATCTCTTGGACCCAACAGAAAGGGACACCAAGGACACTTGGCACCATTTGAGGGCAACTCGGCTGCCTTCTCGTTCAAACTGAGGAGTGTCCTGCGCAAGGCCCCTCCCCCGCCCCCCTGCCCGGTCCCCTCCAGGAACGGGGTCACTGCACCCTTTTCCTGTGAGGCCAGGACAGAACGGCTGGCTCCTTTCCATGTGTCATCTTTCCAGGTGCCTTTCCCCGTAGTCTTCAGGCCCCGTGTCCCCTGCGAGGATGGAGGACCCTCCCAACACCAGTGCTTTTCTTTTCTTTTCTTTTAATATATATGTATTTATATTTTTACTTTTTATTGGTTTCAGAGAGGGAGGGAGGGAAAGGGAGAGAGAGACAGAAACACCAATGATGAGAGAGAATCATGGATCGGCTGCCTCCTGCATGCCCCAACTGGGGACACAGCCCGCAACCCAGACATGTGCCCTGACTGGGAACCAAACTGCAACCTCCTGGTTCATAGGTCGAAACTCAACCACTCTGTGGATGGGGCTCAACACCAGTACTTTTCGATATGATCTGCCCAACATGCAAAAGAGCTCGACCGCATTTCTTGGTTTGCAGAAACCATCACCTTCCATTGTGCAGGGCTCATAAGAGAGTCGAAATGAACTTTCCCACGGTGGGCTAGGGACCCCTGTGCCAGGGGCAAGTCAGGAGGGTGATGCTGCCCCGCTGCCCTCTCGGCACCGGGACCCCTGACATGGGGTCACTGGAGATGGCCGAGCCCCCAGTGTGTTTCCAGCTGTGTGGCTCCGAGGGTGCGGTGTTTATCTGCGAGGTTTCCTGCCTGGGGCCTTTACACAGAGGCACGTTTGACTGGGAACACATTTCAGAGTTCATGCCACAGGAAACATAAATGGAGGTCATGCATGGCTGACAGCATGCCTTACTCTAAGACTTCCTGCACAACCCAGCAGACACCTGGCTTCTGATCAGTGTGTGTGTGTGTGTGTGTGTGTGTGTGTGTGAGTGTGAGTGTGTGAGAGTGTGTGAATGTGTGTGAGTGTGTGTATGAGTGTGAGTATGTGAGTGTGTGTGTGAGTGTGTTTGAATATGAGTTTGTGAGTGTGAGTGTGTGTGAGTGTGTGTGTGTGTTTGAATATGAATGTGTGAGTGTGTGAGTGTGAGTGTGTGAGTATGTGAGTGTGTGTGTGTTTGAATATGAGTGTGTGAGTGTGTGAGTGTGAGTGTGTGAGTGTGAGTGTGTGAGTATGTGAGTGTGTGTGTGTGTTTGAATATGAGTGTGTGAGTGTGTGAGTGTGAGTGTGTGTGTGTGAGTGTGTGAGTGTGTGTGAGTGTGTGTGAGTGTGTGTGTTTGAATATGAGTGTGTGAGTGTGTGAGTGTGAGTGTGTGAGAGTGTGTGTGTGAGTGTGAGTGTGTGAGTGTGTGTATGTGAGTGTGTGAGTGTGTATGAGTGTGAGTGTGTGAGTATGTGAGTGTGTGTGTGTGTTTGAATATGAGTGTGTGAGTGTGTGAGTGTGAGTGTGTGTGTGTGAGTGTGTGAGTGTGTGTGAGTGTGTGTGAGTGTGTGTGTTTGAATATGAGTGTGTGAGTGTGTGTGTGAGTGTGTGTGAGTGTGTGTGTTTGAATATGAGTGTGTGAGTGTGTGAGTGTGTGTGTGTGAGTGTGAGTGTGTGTGAGTGTGTGTGTTTGAATATGAGTGTGTGAGTGTGTGAGTGTGTGTGTGTGAGTGTGAGTGTGTGTGAGTGTGTGTGTTTGAATATGAGTGTGTGAGTGTGTGAGTGTGAGTGTGTGAGAGTGTGTGTGTGAGTGTGTGTGAGTGTGTGTGTTTGAATATGAGTGTGTGAGTGTGTGTGTGAGTGTGTGTGAGTGTGTGTGTTTGAATATGAGTGTGTGAGTGTGTGAGTGTGTGAGTGTGTGTGTGTGAGTGTGAGTGTGTGTGAGTGTGTGTGTTTGAATATGAGTGTGTGAGTGTGAGTGTGTGAGAGTGTGTGTGTGAGTGTGTGTGAGTGTGTGAGTGTGTGTGTGTGTGAATGTGTGTGAGTGTGTGTGTGTGTGTGTGGGGGGGGTGGTTTTGCCTCTCTCTGGGAAGACTGTCCTCTGGGATTCAGACACAGTTTGGGGGAGAGGCACAGGGGACAGAGAATGAGGACAGAGGCCCCGCCATAGCTGGGGGGTGGCCGCATCAACCCCAGGGTGCTGTGCTGGCAGGTGTCTGGAGGCCTCACCTTCTGTGAACTGTGGGGTTGGCTGGAGCGGGAGTTGGAGGCCCGCCCAGCCTCCATGTGCTGTGGGTCCGACAGAGAAGCTCATTCCCAGCCGGGGAGGGTCCCCTCCCGGAGTCGGTCAGAGAGCAGGAGGAAGCAGGACCGACTGACCGCAGGCCTCAGCAGCCGCACCCACAGCTGAAACAACACCCTACACCCACCCCGGGCTGCCTGCCAGGGGCTGAGGCCTGGAGCTGCCGTCCAGGGAACAGGAAGTCATGACTCTGGCAGACATCCTCTCTCCTCCGCTTCAGTGTAAAGACGCCGGGTTCGTGCCGAAGAGCGAGAAGCAGCTCCCAGGAGCGGCCGGCGCGTCTTACCTTTTGAGAGTGAGGGATGTGCACAGATTCCAGAACCTCCTCCGGCCTGAGGTCTGCACTTGCCAACCCGGCAAGAAAGTGCTCGCTTAGCGGAACCTGCCGGGCGCCTCCTGCTGAAGAAGACGACGTTTCTGCACAGGCAACAGGGAGCGCGAGGCGTTCTGTGCGCTTCATTGTCAGCGCCAAAGAGGGGGTCACCCGGCTCAGCACCAAGTGACGAGGGGCAGAGCGTGTGACAGTCAGGACTCTTTTGTGCCTCCAACGGGGAGGGAAGATGGGGTGGTGGTGGCAGCTTCAGGACATTTCCCCCCTCGCAGCCAGTCTCCTCCCGGCCAGGCCTGTGCGGGTTTTCACTGTCCAGCAGAGGCCGGTTAACTCTCTGTGATCAAGGGAAGGGCGCAACCTATGCTGGGACAGGGTTTGTTCGCACGGTGAACAGAGCTCAAACCCCTGGTTTTGCCTTTTGTTCTTGCTGCTGCTCTGGGCTCCTAACCAGACATCTATGCTTTTAATGCACAAAACCTCCTTTCAGCCCCATTGCTATCACTGCACGGTCCCGGTCCCCTCTGGCTTTAAAAGGGGGGTTTGTGGAGCCACAGGAGACGTATGGAGAAGATCACCCTATAGCCTAGAGACCCTGACGGGTCGTGTTCCCGGCACAAGCAGCACCATGCCAGCTGGAACAGGTGTGGGAGGAGGCAGAGCGCCCAGGATCCCCGCTGAGCTCTGGCCCTCCGGGGTCTGGTCAGCGAGCCCACGGCCTGGCTTCTGGAGCTGGGCAGTGCTCCGGGGTGGCTGCTTCGCAGAGCTGGGAGGACAGAGACCTGAAGCGGGGTAACGACCAAGCAACAGCCCAGGAGAAGTTACCCTTCCACTCCTGCGGCTGGTGCAGGAGGCCGGCTGCTGCGGGCCCGGCTGTCCTTTCTATCCTGACGCCCCGGAGTCTTGTCTCTTCTCTCCTGGTCTTTGGGGGATAACTGGGGTCGTCCTGGACCACAGGCTGGAGGACTCAGCCAAAGGGCTGAGGGCTGTCAGGGGTGAAGCCCCTCCGCGGACCCCATGCAAAGCTGATGGGGACCGGAGAGCTGTTCCCCTGCCCCCAAGGCTCTCCCTACACTCTGGGTTCCCACCGACCAGGGATGGGGCCTGGGATAGGACTCCTGGTCGGACACACCCCTGAAGTTCACATGGGGCAGCTGGATTGCTCCCCGACTCCCAGCGCCTGGGCCCGTGTCAGCCCACGGAGGGGTAAATAATGGATGGACTGAGCGGGGTGGACAGGCGGAGTGGGGATGTGATGGGCTGTGCGTGAAGGAGCAGAGAAGGGATGGGAGGGGGACGTAGAGGCCCTGGGAGCAGCCTGAGGGAGAAGAGGCGAGTGCACCCCTTTGGCAATCAGACAGGCTGGGTTCCAGGGCGGGTGTCTGTGCATGTGGGGTAGGGCCTTCCTGCAGGCGCCTGCGCTTCCTGTGCTGCACTGAGAGCCAGGACACGGGCTCCGACTTAAAGAGGAGCCTTTAAAAAAGGACAGAGAATCCTTAGGTGCTGTTGGGAGTGCTCTGGGGTAGCTCACCTGCGGATATCAGATTGAGGGTAGCGTTGCCCACAGCCAGGATTGGGTTCAGATCCGAGTAGCAGTGCCGACTGATGATATGTCCTCCTAAGGACTGAGGAGAGAGAGTTACAGCCTGGGCCAGTCCATCTGCATGCCCTCTGCCCGCAGGCACCTGCTTATGCGAAAGGGCCCAGGGGGCGCTCCGTTCACACTGCCTGGGAGTCCACGCTGCCTGGAGAGGAATGGATGGTAACCCACACTCCCGGAGCTTTTGGTGTGTCCACCTGCTGTCCTCCTTTCCACACACATCTACTCATCCTCACAACAGTCCAATGAGATGGATGTCGTTCCTACAGATTCATTCTACAGATGAAGACACTGGGCACAGAGAACTTGTGAAGTCTGACCGAGGTCTCCCAGCTAGAAGGGGGCCGGAGTGGGATTCAAACCCCAGCAGCGAGGCTCAGTGGCCAGTTCTGAAACCACCCCCTCCCCCCAACCCAGCCATGGCCACCTTGCAGAATTCATGCGAGCATGCCCAGGTGCGGGGCACCCATACCACCGACAGTGGGTGCCTTTCCCCCCTTTTGGAAGACTCCACGCAGAGTGGGTTGAGCCTGTAGCGTCTCAGAACTTGGGAGGGCACTGACTGGCCATTCAACTCAGTACCCTCCGCCCCTCCTAGTGACGGAGTCCACAGTGACCACCCGCGTGGCTGCGGTTTGGGCGGTAATGCTGGTGAGGACAGGGAACCCCAATTCCTCTGTGGACAGCTTGATTTTCAAGTTTTCGCTTCCACTGAGTTGAAATCGGCCTCCTGTCGGTCATACTTCTATCCTCTTGATCATAGGAAGTGAACCCATCGCCCTCTGGAGCCCATAAATATTTGAAAGCAGCTCTCATGGTCCCTCCGACGGTCCCACCCGCACCACCCTCTTCCTGAGGCGATGGCCAGCCCCTCTCTCTCCTGCACCATCTCCTCGCCAGGCTCCAGAGTGTCAGGGTTCTTGACTGGGATTTTGAAATCACTTGAAGAGCTTTTTCAAAGGAAACAGGTGCTCCTTCCCCAATTCTCCATGCCCCGAGGGTTTCTGACACACCGTTTGGGGTATGTAGGAGAGGGAGCATGCAGTGCTCTCTCCTGTGGTCATAAAGAACCTGACCTTAAGCTGTGTTGCCCAGGTCTGAGCATTACACTCCAGCTGTGGTCTAACAGTCTGGAGCAGAGCAGGCCGCCCTCCTTATTTTAGGCACCATCCTTCCGTTAATGCAGCCTGAGGCGGAATTGGGTTCTTTGACAGTCTTCTCATAAAATCAGCAAAACCACGAAGTCCTTTTCCTACCCACCGTGCAACTAGGCCATTTGACTCAAGCTGACTTAGAACCCTCCTTTACATGTTATTAAGGAATGTTTGTTAACTACGTATCTGTTCATCGTGCCTGTCGTTTCACCTGCCGAGACCCTTCTGCATACAGGTTCTGCCAATGCCGATTTCAGCATTTCAGTGGGATTGAGCAGAGGTGCCGTGTGCCCGATGGTGGGGCCGGAGGACTTACCGCCATGTTCCGGATCTGCTGGCCCGCCAGGCTCTTCAGGTGCTTCAGGAGGGCTCGGTAGGTCTGCGTTTTCTCCTCTGGGAGCTCGGACACCCTCTCAGCCAAGATGTCCTTCACCTGGGCCAGGCTGCAGCCGGCGCCTATGGTGAGTCCTGGAAAGCAAGTTGTTTTCACAGGGGACCTGGGAGGAGCCCCTAAATGGTCAGCATGACGCCAGGGCCTGAGTGCTCGTCTAGCACACGGCTCTCCACGCTGGCTGCACAGAGAATCACCGGGAACTCGAAAACAGCACAGGTGCCCCTTCTAGAGCAACTTCATTAGAATCTCTGGGCCTGGGGCTTTTTCAAAGGCTCCGAGGTACTTCTCCTGTGCACCAGGGTTAGGACATCTCAGCTGGTGTATATTCTTTTTAAAGAAAATATACTTTTACTTATTTCAGAGAGGAAGGGAGGGAGAGAGAGAGAGAGAGAAACATGAGTGATGAGAGAGAATCATTGATTGGCTACTTCCTGCACGCCCCCTACTGGGGATCGAGCCAGCAATCAGGGCCTGTGCCCTTGACTGGAATAGAGACCAGGACCCTTCAGTCTGCAGGCCAACGCTCTAGCCACTGAGCCAAACCAGCGAGGGCTGGTCTACATTCTTGTTTGAACAAATGCAAGGGACTAGAACAGGGGTGGGCAAACTCGAGGGCCACAATGGGTTCTTAAACTGGACCGGAGGGCTGGAACAAAAGCATGGATGGAGTGTTTGTGTGAACTAATATAAATTCAAAGTAAGCATCATTACGTAAAAGGGTACGGTCTTTTTTTTTTCAATAGTTTTATTCATTTCAAACGGGCCGGATCCGGCCCACAGGCCGTAGTTTGCCCACGGCTGGTAGAAGCTAGTCACTAGAAGCTAGAGAGAAGGAATGACGGGAACATCTAGCAGGTAGCAGACCCTACTAGAGCTCTCCATGACCTCCTCCTGAGTAACTGCAGTGAAGCTATAGAAAGATGTTTTGTAATTAAGGGGGGCACATCTGATGGCATTGCAGGGCCAGACAATCCACAGGGACTTTTTGTTTGGCCATTTCCATTGCTCACACCCCCCACTACTTTGTGCTAAGCAAGACATCACTATACGGGGAGAATTCTCTTTACTGTACTTATATTCATGCTGCATTCCATCTTTGGTCACAAAACCTAGCTTGTATTTCAGTGGAGTTGAAGAGCTTTAACTTGGTTTTAATCTCAGGATGTGGGTTTTATTTTAACTCATGCTTCTCGGAGTTCCTGTGTCTATGGGATAAAGATGCGGTGACTTTCTGGAGCACTTACTGTGCTAAAGATTTTGAGGGGGAAAAGGTATAGTGAGTGAAACATGCACATGATATAGGGTAGCATGCAACATTGGAGCAAACATATGCCGTCACAGGAATTTATTTTCTGGGGTGCTGGTGGGGTGGGGGAGCGCATGTGGCTACCCCTGCCCCCCACCGGTGTCCTTCACTCTTGGGCCTTAGGAAAAGGTTGAGAATCCTCGGAAACATCCCTGGAGGGCACTAGAGGGCACTCACACTTTAATTTTAAGAGGCCCCTAGGAAGGCGTGGGTTTGTTTCTCAGATTGCAGAATCTGGCTCTAATTTATGGACAGGATCCAAACTGAGTGGTCTGGTCCATTCCAATAGCCAACCGCACAGGCCATGGGGTGGGCCTTGAGGGAGGAGAACGGCAGGAACAAAGGAGCTCTGATTTGGAAGCAGGAGACTGTGGCTTGGCCACCAGCCAGTTTAGAGACCTTGGTCAAGGGCACTTTCCCTTTGCTTCTCAGCTTCCTCATCTATCAAAGGAGGGCCTGGAGTTACACTGAGGATTGGGAGTTGTGCCCTGAAGAGCCCCCTCCGGGGCAGGTATAAGGGGCTCAGTGATAAGGTATAAGGATGCGGGAAAGCTTCTCCCTTTTGCAAACAGCAGCTTCTTTTCAGGTACTTATTCTAAGATCTGTTTGGGGTCAGGGTTGTGGTGCTAAAGAGCAGTTGGGAAAATGTGGGTGCCTGGGGTGAAGACTAGGAAAGGGCTTTCCATCTGAACCTTGTGCTTAAATTAGTTGTCAAACTCCCAACCCACCCATTTTACTATTTTCTCTTCCTCCACTTTCTGTGAGAGCTAAAAAAATTGAATACTTTTCCTCCCATCTTCTAACTTTCCGTAGGCTGGGCTAATAATTAAATTAACAGAGAGATTAACAGGAGAAAATCAAGTTTTAATATATGCATAGGGAGAATTCACATAGGCAAAAAATTCCAAAGATGGCGAGGCTCCATGGGGTATATAAGACATGTGGACAAAGGAGAAAAGGGGGAGAATGAGGTGTTAGATTTCAGAAATGAGAATGGGTGATTTACAGGTGGTTGAGGGAGAGCTGAACACACATGGCAGGAGAATTCTTGCTAGGCGACTCAGAAAAAAATGAACACAGCAGGTATCTGGCTACCAGGCCCCTGTCTGAAGACCTCTATTCACCACAGTTAATTCAGCCCAAGGCGACCTCCTAAGCTCTCCTTTCTCTGTCTGAATCTCTTGGGCAGGAAAGGGGGGTGGGTCAAAGGTTCCCTCTGAATCTGGTTTCTTAATAAACAACTTAAAACCAATATCTGGAAAAAAACAAAGCCAGCTTCAGGGTGGCGACTGGTTCCCTTCATCTCCCTCTCCAAGTGGCATGCAGGTGTGCTGCCTGAGTCGTCCATGGCTGACGCTGGGAAGCTCTGGTGCTGAGCAAAACCAGGAAGGGTCCCTTCCCTTGCACATGGTTGGGGTGAGGCTGGGGAAGGTGGGCTTGCTGGCCTGCAGCACAGTCTAAGCTTGGCTGACGATGGTTAGAGGCCAGGAAGCTAGGCCTCCTGGATGGAGGTGAAAAGGCCAAGGCAGGTCTCCTCCACCACCCACACTGACCCCCACAAACACGCAGTGGCCTGCTTCCAGTTCAGCCAACCTCCTTGCTGCTGAAGTTGAGGAAGTTATCATTTCCTCTGCATCCCAAATTCAAGTTCCTGACCAATTCATTCATTTGTGTGTGTGTTTTCCCCCCATTAAGTCAATGACTGAGCACCTATATGCATGTACAGTATTCATATGCATATACTATATAGGCTAGAACCTCTGGGGGATGCAGAAAAGAGTAAAATAAAGTTCCTTTTGTCAAAGGATTGCTATGCATCTTGAGGGCAACGTCTTGCATGTTTCCTTCCTGTGCTGTGAGAGCCACCTCGCCTGATGATATCTGCACACAGTGGGCTCTTAAGGATGTTTTAGGGACCGGGATGCGTGCCCAGGCGGGTCTTTGTCCCACTTGGCCTCTTGCCATTGTCCCCAGGAGACAAAATAGCATTTGAGTGCCAGACAACATTTCTCCTGCTTTCACTCTGCAAATATTCCCAGTCCCTGGAACTGACCATTCAGCCAACTGATGGGTAACAGCCGTTCTCTCTTGCTGTCCTCCCATCCAAGTGACACTGCAAATGTATTGTCTCTAGGTCACCATGGCATCTACCAGGCAAGAGTCCTGCAGGAGACTACAAGGTATTGAGTGATGTCATCTGAATACCTCATAGTCTGTGCAAAGGTTTTGATAGTAAAGTTTCATGATAGGATGTACAGCACACCAGAAAAATAATAAAGAGTTGGAAATAGGCCAGACAAGACAAGTGTATGAAGAGTTTCCAAACTATTTGGCAAGTGGAAATTAAGTGCAGGGGTTGGATCACTGATGTTTTACAAGAACACCAGGAACTCACCCTCACTTGTTGTAGACACCATACTCAGCTCTGAAATCCTCACAGGAGAGAGGAGAATTGGGTGAACATGTCCTTGAGATTTCATTGCAGGTCCTGAAAAGTAAATATATATATTATAGAGAGAGTTAGGAAAGAGAAAATGCCTTTTTATGGGCATTGGACGTTTTTCATAAAAATGTTCAGATACTAATTTAAAAATTGACAATATATGTATGTAGATGTGAAAGCAGTGGGCATACACCCAGCCAAGTAAATTTATAGCACATATGCTCCCAGTATATGTTTATATTTATGCACTCACTGCATGGTTATATAAAAATGGGAAGTAAAATGAATGAGAGGTTTTTAGAAAACTCTTGCATGTGGGCGCCAGGAGACATATATTAGAATATCTGTAATATTCAAAGCTATTGTTGGAAAGCACTCCATGTCCTTCAACAATAGAATGAATGAGTCAATTGTGCTATAGTCATACCATGAAATCTAGCACAGTTACACGCAACAATGTGGGCGAATCTCAGCTCAATGAACAAACCAAACTGCAGAAGCATAATACTGTGTCAATGTAATTATATGAAGTTCAAAAAGCACATAAAACCAAATGACGTCTTGCTTTGGGATTGAAGTTTATGTGGTAAACCTGTAAAAACATGGAAGGGACTGACCAGCACCACATTCCAGCTGATGAGTACCTCAGAGGAGAGGGAAGGGAAGGGAAGGGAAGGGAAGGGAAGGGAAGGGAAGGGAAGGGAAGGGAAGGGGAGGGGAGGGGAGGGGAGGGGAGGGGAGGGGAGGGGAGGGGAGGGGAGGGGAGGGGTTAGGGAGGGCCCACAGGGCCTTCAAAGTTCGTGGTCAAGTTCTTGTTCTTAAACTGGGTGTGGATGATAACTGGGTGCACATTGTTAATATACCCATACATACTTAATAAAATTCTGCTATATCTACTGACTATTTGCAAAAATAATATAAAAAAGAACAAAATAGAGTAAATGATAAAAAAAAAACAACAACCTCAAAACGCTAATACTTTTCCCCCCGACAGCTCAAGGGGTTACCCTGTATACTCCTAGAGTCTTCAACTTTGGAGACCATTAGGATATGATATGATATAATATGTTTGTATTATACTTTTATATTATTGCTATAATATATATAATTCATATATAATTACTAGAGGCCCAAAGCACGAAGTTCGTGCAAGAGTAGGCCTTCCTTCCCCCGGCTGCCAGCACCGGCTTCCCTCTGGCACTTGGGACTCGGGCTTCCCTCACAGCCTCAGCTTCATCTGGAAGGTCATCCAGTCTAATTAGCATATTGTGCTTTTATTATTATTGATATGAATAATCATATGTAAGTATTACATTATTTATATATAATGGTATAGTATATTTTGTGATATATTATTAACATATACTATTTTTATTTTAAAGGATGAGGCTTTTCTCCTAAAAAGGCAGCGCCTGGAGATGAGAGCAGAGTAGGGATGTAAGTGCAGCTTGGCATTAATGGCGGCATGAGAACCATTGCGCTTGCTTACCCAGTGAGGTGTTGCCCAGGACGAGAGGCGCTTCTGGGTGCTTCACTTTCAGCTCCAGGAGATCCTTGAGGGTCCCAGGGGAGATCCAGGTAACCCTTTCTCCATGAAAGGTCAGGGTTCTTTCTTCTGGGTTCTCTGCCAGTCTCTACGTGCAAATGACAATGTGTGTGCACACCTATCTTCATGGGTTAGGCAAGATCCCGGGTGGAGGCATGTTCCTCTAGGAGATTCCAGGAGTCCTGAGGTCCACTCGACCAAAAAGATACTCCCGACACCTGTTGGCTAATGCCTGAATTTCCATCACTAGAGATTTACTCCTTTAGCTTAACACTGTTTTCATGTAGCTCCTCAGAGACAAGTGACAGTATGAACGGGCACCTGTCATTGACCCTTCAGTATAGAGTAATTTAACATAATTTAGTATCGTGGTCTTAAAAATCACAACTATACTAATGCTCTTAAGTTAATATATTCAGCCTGGACTTTTCCTCCAAAATCCAGACTCATATACCTAAAGGAGTACTCAGTGTCCGCTCTTAGATGTGTAATAGGCATCTCAAATTCAACATGTTCACACCAAGATCCTCATATTCCATCCCCTTCCGAGGCCCAAAAGGAATCCCCCCAAAGAAAAAAACTCTGCTCCCCAGGAGGTCTCCTTCCCCGTAAATGGCTGCTTTCCAGCTGCCCAAAGCCTCGTCTCCTCTGTCCCACACCCACATCACATCCACCAGCAAATCCTGTCTGCTCTTCTTCCAAAGTATCTCCAGACGCCACTTGCTGCTCACCACCTGCACCCTGGCAGTGGTCCATCACCCCCATCAGCACCCTGACTGGGCTCCCTGCTTCTCTCCCCTGGCCTCTCCACAGGCTACTCCCATCCCAGCAGCCAGCATGACCTCACATCCCGTGACAACATTGATAGGAGATACCCCTCCTCTGTCCAGCCTCCCTGATAGCTTCTCATTTCACAGGGAGTAAAAGCCGTAAGTGGGGTATGGTCTGTGCCCCCTGCCCTGCCCCCCACCGCAGCCCTGCCCCCGTCCCCGCAGCCATGCTGGTCCCTGCTCTGTCCCTTCATCAGGAGGGCGCTCTCCTATCTTTCACACCTTTACACTTGCTGTCCCCACTGTTTGGTTTGCTCTTCCCCCATGTATCTTCGTGGCTGGCTCCTCCCTTCCTTTAGGACTTTCTTCAAATGTTACCTCTCAGAGGTCTTCCGTTCACCGAGTATTTAAAATTGCAACCCCTTGCATCCTAGTCCTCTTTTCTGTTTTATTCTTCTTTCTTCTCACTTGTATCTCTTATCTTGCTAATTGCCTGTCTCTCCCACCAGATCATAAACTCCTCCAGGTCTTTGTGTACTTCTGTTTCCTACTGCACATTCAGTACCTAGAGCAGTGCCTGGCCCGTGGCTGAAGGATAAATAGTTGTTCAATGCATGGATCAATGCACCAGAACCCCTTCAGAATTAGGTATTTTGTAGAACTGCACCAGATAGAGATGCTGCTAGACCAGTGGTTCTCAACCTTCTGGCCCTTTCAATACAGTTCCTCATGTGGTGACCCAACCATAAAATTATTTTCGTTGCTACTTCATAACTGTAATGTTGCTACTGTTATGAATCGTAATGTAAATATCTGATATGCAGGGTGGTCTTAGGCGACCCCTGCGAAAGGGTCGTTCGACAGCCAAAGGGGTTGCGACCCACAGGTTGAGAACCGCTGTGCTAGAGGATGAGGAAAGGGTGTGGGTGGCTGAAAGTGATTCTTAGGATTAACGTACTGGAGGGGCCAGAAAGACCAAGTGAGAGGTTGAGCAAAGCTGTATGGCGTGGGACAGTCAACAGGGACACATACGATGATGTCACTTAAAAAATAGCCTCAGCTGAGGCTTTGGGGAGTGTGTCCAGGGCAAGAGCAGGGCTTGGTGAGCTGAGCAGGGAGAAGCATGTTGATCTGATCAAACATTCCCATGATTTGACAAATTTCACAGGAAGAAAAGGGTAATTTGAGCAACTGAGTTTATAACCAGTGACATTTAAACAAGTACATAGAACACCCGGTTCATCTTACCAAGAGTTCTGGGGGGAATATGAGCTCCTGAGTAGGGTCCAAGGGCTGGAACTCATCTTTCGCAAATAACTCTGTGGAAATCTTTATAAAGGGCAGAAGAAGAGGGCTTGGTCAGCCCAGCTCAACTGGAAACAGCACCCCAGTGATTTACATCAATCAATCAGGCAATATGAACTTAGTAATAACTTTCCTACTCTTCTTATACAGGGAAATGGTTCGAACCAATTTGTGTTAAGTAAGAATTTTATTGTAAGAGAGAGATATTGATTAGCCACTAGTAGGATACTGAAGAAAAGGGTGTTCTATGAGATACCTCAAACAGTACCCTGTGGAACATCAACAGAGTCTATGAAAAATTATCAGAGGTTAAGTAGTTTGGGATTCAAACCACTATCCTCTCACCTGTCAAGTCAGGATTCAAAATGCTGAAAGCTCCGAGAAGTCCTGTAGCTTAAGAAAAAAATGACTCTACACCTACATGCCCCTGTGTAAACACACATGCACACCCCACTAATTTTAACAATAATAGTTAAAATTGTTGGAGTGCTTTTTTCCCAAGTGCCTTACATGTTAGTCATTTATTTAATCCTCCCAACAACTGTGCAAAGAAGGTAAATTATCATCTCCATTTTAACGTTTAGGAAACAAAACCTCAACAAAAAGTTACCCAAACTGCAATCTTGTCTAAATAAAAAATGTTTTAGCTTTGGAAACACTTATTCACAGAAAACATTCCTGAGGAGGTGAGGGGAATTGGGGAAGCATTGTGGGGGCAGGGCTAGAGGTCTGAGTAATACGGTAGAGCATGGAGAGAAGTTGGGGGCAGACAGCTCTGGGTTCATTCTCAGCTCTGCCATGACTCCAACCCTCCCTCTGGAAAGGTTCTTCCTTTTAAAGACTAAATGGAAATAACGCATATCTTGAAGGGTAATTGTGACACTTAGGTAAAATGGCCTGACATTTATCTCACACTGTCCATTTTTTTTTTCTGTCTCTGAGGTCTTCTCAGGATCTAGAAAGAAAACATGCCATTGTTCCTTGTAAAGGTTCTGAGTAGGACCCAGATTGAAGCATAACAGGCCAGCATCTGAAGGATCAGTTTTTGTGTTAGTTGGGTTTAGAAGTGTAGGCAGTACGTAGGAGCAATGATGTGGTGTATCTCTAAAACCTAGAAATAAGACTGCATCTGAGAATTAAAGTGCAAAACAAACATAATGAAGAATTAAAAGGTCCCCCTCACAGGTGCTGGACCAAGACCTAACAGTTACTCAGTGGAAAATATTAACAGCTCCCAGAGAAGAGCGGGTCTGTGCAGACGTCTGGTCTACCCTGGTGGAAGAGGGGGTCTTCTATAATGTTACCCTTATGATGATTCAACTGCCCTGCACCCAAGCTCACCAAGCAAGCCTCTCAAATTGTGGCTCCCTGGGTGTGCTTTCTGCAGGGAAGGGACATGGGGCTCAGTGACCATAAGGTCCACTTCATACCTGTGTTTCTCTTTATAACGGAACATCAGGGCCCACCATGTTCTTTTGAGTTGGTTAAAGTACGTCAGGTGGTTTCCAGAGCCCAGGTTGAATTCCCAAGGCCACCAGATCGAGAATCAGACTTTCGAATGTACTGATCCCTGCAAGGCACTAATTTTCTGTGAAATGCTCATGGGGTTGGGGGCGGGGTGCAGCCATTGTCCTTTGCAACACCCTTCTGTTTATTGCACGCCTTCTTCAGACCAAAATGCAGGGACAGTGGGAGGCCAAGAATGGGAATAAGGTAGGTCCGCGGGACTCAGTTTCCTCTGAGGCTGACTCTGTTCTCTTGGATTCCCTCATCTACAGGAGCCAACTCTAGCCTGTATTCTGGCTTCACTAAATAATTCATTTAAGAAGTTGAGTCTTTTTGGAAACCAGTATCTCTGAGAGGACAAAACCAGGGACTGGGATGTCTCAGGCTGGCCTTCCAGCCCTGGGGCCATGACCTCACCACGACTCCGGATGGGCTCCTTCCCCTTCCCAGAGGCTGCAGTGCCCTCCATACACAAAAGGGGACACAGCAATAGAGGACCACTGCCAGCCAAAAACCAGGCACAGAGACTCACCTCCCCCCAGTGGGACTCATCATTGAGGTCATTGCTGGGGCGGGTCTGTCTTCTCTGGCCTGAGCGGGCTTTTGTTTAGTTTCAGGCTCCCCGAGAGCCAAGAGGACAGTCAGATCACAGACTTTGAATCACCCCCTAACCTGCCTCCCAAATAACAAGTGCTTTATCTGTGCAGGCACTTGGGAAACTTGGAACAAAGCAGAGAATGAGCATCAGAACTAATGAGCACACTGTCAACACTGGGCCGGCGTGGAGCAGTGCTCTCAGGGAGAGAACAAATCAAACACAGGGACTCACGTCGGTGCTCCTGCAGAGTGAGGAAGAATCCTCTTCTCCCTGAGCCAAGCAGCATCCTCCTGCTCCCTTCTGCTGACAGCCATTCGACTCCTACGAAGGTGAAATGCCTTGAGATGAGAAACTTTCTTTTATAGGTAAATGGGTGTGTGCCTTGAGCGGTTTGGCAATTTAAACGAGACAACATTGTTCGTCACTTTTGGTAATTTCTATTGGAAAAGGCATCATCAGAAGATCTTTCTCCTTTCTACTTTATTTTTAAAGTAAAATGATACATATGGAATATATAAAACTTATATGTAAGATATACCAAGTATCTAATCTATATACATAAAAGCCTAAGCAACTGTCCAACCATCTGACCGTCCGACCAGTAGCTATGACACACAATGACCACCAGGGGGCAGACACTTCAACCAGTAGCTATGACATGCACTGACCATCAGGGGGCAGACGCTCAATGAAAGAGCTGTTGAGCTGCAGTGACTTGGCAGCTGCGGTTCTCAGGTGATGCACCCGGAACCAGAGAGGAGGGAGCCCCATTCTGGGGTGCATCACCCAAGAACTGCCCTCTTGCAATCCGGGACCCCTCAGGGGACGTGAGAGAGCCGGTTTTGGTCCCAACCCCGTAGGCCAGGCTGAGGGACCCCACTGGTGCATGAATCTGTGCACCGGGCCTCTAGTTATAGTATAAAACAATAATATAGAATATAGAGAAGCATAAAAGAAATAAACTATTATTACCCTATTTCACTGGCAATATTTTTACATAATATATAATGGTACTATATTTTAATACAACATACTTTTCATTTTGTCTTTTTGTTAATCTTTTTTTTGCCTATTGTTTCATTTATTTACTTACCTATTTGTTTAGTTACCTAGAGTAATTTTCCATGTCATTAAAATATAATTTTGCTGATTGCATAATAATCAATCTTCTGGATTTATACTTGTAAAATTTGCTATTGACATATACTTAGGTTTTGCCTACATTTTCTAATTATAAATAACATTATAATAAACATTTCTGTCTATTGCTTGTACAATTTTGTGTACATCTCTGAATTTTTTCTTAGATGAAATCCTAGTGCTAGAATTAATTGGTAAGATGTCTTTCAGGGCAATAACTATCCATTCTCTAGCATATATAAGACTCAACAACATTGAATGCTATCATTTATATAAGGACCTTGAAAAAAGAAAAGAAAAACATGAAGAAAGATGAGTAAAGAAAACCGCTTTGGTAACCAGACGTTTGGGATCTGCATGGGGCTCATTGAGAATGAATGGACAGTCAATGGATTTTAAAGCAGGTTTCCATTTGCCGGCTCTTTATTTCCCATTTTCCCCTAACTCACCTCTTGTATCCTCTTCCTTAAATAATTTTCCCTAAGTATTTAAGGAAATACTTCCAGATACCCCAGTTCTCTGTTTCTGCTCAACTGTCTCAGGCTGCCAGCTTCCTGATTCCGCTCACAATGCTCCCTCATTTACTCAGTCCTCCGACAGCTCCCTGGAGGGGCCATGGGTCAATGATGACAGAACAAGCCAGTCTTCCTGGCCTATTAGCTAGGAACCTCAAGTAGCCCCACTAGGACTCTGTTCCTTTCACCCCCCCCTTTTTTTTTTAATTAAATCTTTATTGTTCAGATTATTACATTTGTTCCTCTTTTTTTTCCCCCCATAACTCCCCTCCTCCCAGTTCCCGCCCCACCCTCCGCCCTCACTCCCCACCCACTGTCCTCATCCATAGGTGCACAATTTTTGTCCAGTCTCTTCCCGAATCTCCCACACCCCTTTCCCCCCCAGGAATAGTCAGTCCATTCCCTTTCTATGTCCCTGATTCTATTATAATCAACAGTTCATTCTGTTCATCAGATTATTTATTCACTTGATTCTTAGATTCACTTGTTGATAGATGCATATTTGTTGTTCATAATTTGTATCTTTACCTTTTTCTTCCTCTTCCTCTTCTTAAAGGATACCTTTCAGCATTTCATATAATCCTGGTTTGGTGGTGATGAACTCCTTTAGCTTTTCCTTTTCTGTGAAGCTCTTTATCTGACCTTCAATTCTGAATGATAGCTTTGCTGGATAAAGTAATCTTGGTTGTAGGTTCTTGGTATTCATCACTTTGAATATTTCTTGCCACTCCCTTCTGGCCTGCAAAGTTTCTGTTGAGAAATCAGCTGACAGTCGTATGGGTATTCCCTTGTAGGTAACTGAGTTTCTTTCTCTTGCTGCTCTTAAGAGTCTCTCTTTATCTTTTGCTCTTGGCATTTTAATGATGATGTGTCTTGGTGTGGTCCTCTTTGGATTCCTTTTGTTTGGGGTTCTCCGCGCTTCTTGGACCTGTAAGTCCATTTCTTTCACCAGGTGGGGGAAGTTTTCTGTCATTATTTCTTCAAATAGGTTTTCAATATCTTGCTCTCTCTCATCTTCTGGCACCCCTATAATTCTGATGTTGGTACGCTTGAAGCTGTCCCAGAGGCTCCTTACACTATCCTCGCATTTTTGGATTCTTTTTTCATTCCGCCCCTCCGGTTGGGTGTTTTTTGCTTCCTCGCATTTCAAATCATTGACTTGATTCTTGCGCTCCTCTGGTCTGCTGTCGGGAGTCTGTATAATATTCGTTATTTCAGTCCATGTATGCTTAATTTCTAGTTGGTTCCCCAATATAAGATCGAGGGTCTCATTAGTTTTCTTGTAGATCTCATTAAGTTTATCGGCGGCTTCTAAACAGTTCTTGAGAGACCTTAAAAGTGTGGTTCTGAACTCTATATCTTCCATTGACAATTTTGTCCTGTTTCTTTGTCTCCGCATTTTGTTATGCTTCCTTGGTGCACCCCCTAGTGGTCTTTGTTCGCAGTCTTATAGTTAAATCTTGATTGTTGTAGCTAATTCCAGGGAGGGTTTGACCTCCAGGCCAAGTGGCTTTGAGAATCAGCTGTGTCAGCAGTGAGAGAACTTCTGTCCTCTAGGGAGGTGCTAATCTAGCCTTTGCCTGAGGCTATCCGGCAAATGCCTGTGTGCAGGGCTTGGGCGGGGTGGGTCGCACAGGATCAGCAGGGTGGGCCGGAGAGAGCAGTTATGGCGGCTCTCAGTCCTGTCCCCAGGGGCTCTGCCTCTCTGAGTCCCAGCACCCGCTGCAAAGCTCGGAGAGAAAGATGCACTCGCTCTGACCGAAGCCAGACAGTCCCGCTGCTCCCGTTTGAGTCTGGGTCCCTAAAGACTCGCCCGGTTCTGGAGCTCAGAGTCTGCGACTCCCTCCCGATTGAAAACGCCAACCGTGCCCTCTGCCGCCAGCCCGCTGCGCGCACTCCGCACCTCAGAATTTGACTTCAGCACTGCGCCTCCTCTGAGTGTCCGTATGCGTTTCTCTTTCCTCCTAGTTGTAGGACTTCCACTCAGCCGGCGTTCCTGTGGTTCTGGGTGCTGTCCCTTCTGTTTTTTGGTTTCACTTTTGAAGTAGTTGTTCAAAGCAGCAAACTCTGGCGTTAACCTATGCCGCCATCTTGGTTCTTCACCCCCCCTTTTTTTCTTTTTTTTTTTCTGGTAGCTGGGTTATGACTTTTTTTCTTTTTTTTAAATATATTTTTTATTGATTAAGATATTACATATGTGTCCTTGTCCCCACGTTACCCTCTACCCCCCACCCCCCACCCCGCTCATGCCCTCACCCCCCCGTTGTCCATGTCCATTGATTAGGCCTATATGCTTGCATATAAGTCCTTTGGTTGATCTTTCCCCCTTACCCCCACCCTCCCCTACCTTCCCTCCAAGGCCCGACAGTCCAATCAATGCCTCTCCGTCTCTGGATCAGTCCTTGTTCATCAGCTTATGTTGTTCATTATATTCCACAAATGAGTGAGATCATGTGGTATTTATCCGCTCTCCAGTTCCATCCATGCTGTGGCAAATGGTAAGAGTTCCTTTTTCTTCTTCCTCTTCTTAAAGAATACCTTTCAGCATTTCATATAATGCTGGTTTGGTGGTGATGAACTCCTTTAGCTTTTTCTTATCCGTGAAGCTCTTTATCTGACCTTCTATTCTGAATGATAGCTTTGCTGGATAAAGTAATCTTGGTTGCAGGTTCTTGCTATTCATCACTTTGAATATTTCTTGCCACTCTCTACTGGCCTGCATGGTTTCTGTTGAGAAATCAGCTGACAGTCGTATGGGTACTCCCTTGTAGGTAACTGACTGTCTTTCTCTTGCTGCTTTTAAGATTCTCTCTTTATCTTTTGCTCTTGGCATTTTAATTATGATGTGTCTTGGTGTGGTCCTCCTTGGATTCCTTTTGTTTGGGGTTCTCTGCGCTTCCTGGACTTGTAAGTCCATTTCTTTCACCAGGTAGGGGAAGTTTTCTGTCATTATTTCTTCAAAAAGGTTTTCAATATCTTGCCCTCTCTCTCCTTCTGGTACCCCTATAATTCTGATGTTGGTACGCTTGAAGTTGTCCCAGAGGTTCCTTACACTATCTTCATATTTTTGGAATCTCTTTTCTTTTTTCTTTTTCGGTTGGGTATTTTTTGTTTCTTTGTATTTCAAATCTTTGACTTGATTCTTGGGATCCTCTTTTCTGCTGCTGGATCTCTGTAAATTATTCTTTATTTCAGTCAGTGTATGCTTAATTTCTAGTTGGTCCTTTTTCATGTCCTCCATGGTCTCACTATACTTATTGAGGGATTCATTAAATTTATCGGCGGTTTCCATAAAATTCTTGAAAAACCTTATAAACGTGGCCTTGAACTCTATATCCAATCGTTTGCTTTCCTCCATTTCTGCCATTTGTGACCTGTTTCTTTGTCTCCGCATTTTGGCAGCTTCCCTGTGTTGATAGAGTAGCCCTGTGCACCAGGTGTCCTGTAGCTCAGCCTCCCCAGTTACCTGGGGTGGACACTCTTGGTGCACTCTTGGTGCCTTGGTTGTTGTAGAATCACTGGGAGGAATTGACCTCCAGGCCAATTGGCTGTGAGAATCAGCTGTGTCTAAAGTGGGAGAACTTCTGTGCTGAAGACACCCTTCTGGGGCAAGACTTGCTTCAGTGGGGCTTTGGTGCTCACTGAGTCTGCTCCCTGAGTGTGTCCCTTATGGATCTGAGGAGTTGCAGTCTGGATGGTCCCCCTCTGACCACTGGGTACAGTGGCTCCTGGATCTAAGGAGGTGCTAATTCAGCCTCTGCCTGAGGCCACACAGCAGGAGCCACGAAGAGGCTCAGCTGTGAAGCAATGCAAGCAGCTGCGGGGCCTTGGGCCTTCTCTTGGAAGTTCCGGGTCTGCCTGGTTCGGCTGCAGTTAGGTACATTCACATGCAAAAGCCTCTGCCGAAGCCTGGGTGGGGCGGGGTCTCAGGGAGTCAAAGGGCGGAGAAAGCAGCTATGGCCGATTCTCCGCCCGGAGTCGCGCGTCTCAGTGTCCCGGTAACGGCTGCAAGCACCTCTGAGGGAAAGCCGCCCTCAAGTTCGCCCGCTGCCGGACAGACCAGCCTCTCCCCGTATGAGTCCTGGGTCCCCAGAGACTTCCCGGAACCGGAGTTCAGAGCAGTGGGGAGCTTGTGATTCAAAAAGACAGCCGCGTCCTCAGGCGCCACCCCCTTTCCTCGTGCACGCGAGCCGCCGTACCTCTGCACTTCACCTCCGCAGCGCCTCTGGCTCTCAGCATGCTTTTCTTTCCTTCTAGTTGTAGAATTTACACTCAGCCAGCCTTCCTGTTGTTCTGGATGATGTTTGCTCAGTCCTTTGCGGTAATTTTCAATTGTTGTGTGAGGCGACAATTTCCCGGTGTTTACCTATGCCGCCATCTTAGTTTTCAATCCACCCCCTTTTTTTTAAAAAAAAAAAACTTTTTTATATATTTATTTATTGATTTCAGAGAGGAAGGGAGAAGGAGAGAGAGATGGAAACATCAATGATGAGAACCATTGATCGGCTGCCTCCTGCACGCCCCCTACTGGGGATCGAGCCTGCAACCCAGGCATGTGCCCTTGGTCGGAATCGAACCCGAGACCCCTCAGTCCACAGGCTGATGCTTCATCTGCTGAGCCAAGTCGGCTAGGGCCCTTTCACCCCTTAAAGTTTCTGGGGCCTGCTGGCTGCAAGGTGCGTCTCTGACTACACTTTTGCCTTTATTCCCATAGGGAGAGAGGTTTCCTTTAACCTGCTTTACAGTATTTGTGTTTCACAAATGCTTTTCCATTTACACTGGCAGTTTGATGAGTTTACAAGCTATTGATTTTCTCAGTTTGTCATCTTTGGCTCTCCATGTGGCAAAAGTCGAGGACAGGTGTGCAAGGGGGACTGGCCTGGCTCTGGGGACTGGGACATACTGCCAGGCCCACAACTACTGTTTGTGGAGCTGCAGCAGCAAGAGAACAAACAGAGGCCCCCGCACCCTTCTCTGCCCAGCCTGGCTTGGTTCTGCAGCGAGGGGCCTCAAACACCGCGTGAGCACCCAGCCTGACTGTCCACGCTCGGTCTATTCTCTCCAAAAACACCAGTTATTGGCCATCCTTCAGCCTAGGTGCACACACTGGCTGCTATGATCTGCTCTAGGAAGATGGACTTGGGAAGAGGCTGTGTCAGGCCTGGGAATGGGGTCAAGACCAAACCTGGATCCTGGTCTAGAAAAGAGGTGAAGGCTTCAGGTGAACAAGTCACCTTGGACCCAGGGCTTCCTGAGAGTGGCTGAAGGAGGACCAGTGAGGGGCCCTTCAATGTGTGGGGTCCTCCTTGCTTGGGTCGAAGGGTGGTACTGCCCACATCAATCCTGCCCTGAGGAGAGGGCCATCGGATGTGCCTGGCTGGTCTCCCCGTCAATCTCTATTCACAGTGGCAGCAATAACAGTAGTAAGTATTTGTTGAGCTCTTTTAAGTGCCAAGACTTTGCTACATGCTTGGCCATGACTTCTCACCTGAACTTCATAGCAGCCCAGGGAGGGATCCTCATTTTGTTGAGGAAGCTCCCTGTGCTTTTGTACCTGGGGTGAATTTTGGATTCTGCTCTGCGTATTTGGCTTCTTTATTTGCTCACACTCTCAGCTGGTCTGGATTCTTGGACTAAAGCTGGCCTCCCTAAAGCCAACTCCATGCCCTTGCTTGTTGTCTCTGGGCTCGCTGCAGCCCTCCGACCTGTCCTGCTCTAATGCTTTGCTTAACTATCATGGGAGATGCCTGGTTAGATCACCTGGCTTCCCTCTGTGGCGTGACATGGGACATCAAAGGAGGAGTAAGGTTTACCTTGTCCTCAACAGATAGCTAAAACTCCCCTGAGTCAGCTGGAGCTAACTCACTTTTCTCCCTTATAGTCTGTTTAGATGGTTTTAAAAAGTCAATTCCTAAATTCCCAGCCTTGACCAGAGGTCACTGGCATTCTTACTCTGTAAGGTGTCCCCATGGTCATCTACTCACCATGCAGAAGGTCTTTCCACTCTCGAGAATTGGCCGGTACCCAGTGCAGCGGCACAGATTGCCTGATAAAATAAGGGGCATGAGTATCAGTAGGCTTTATTTTTACTGGTTTCTTTGGAAAGCTAAAATAGACCCATTCTTCTCTCTGGGGTGAACTGCAGCTACTTTGGAAACAACGAAGGGGTCCTCAAGTGGGGCTGGGGTGACATAGTGGACGGGGTGGAGCAGCTGGAGGCATACTTCCCACCTGCTTTGGGGGTGGTGAGTATTCTCTATGTCAAACCTACCTCCCAGGGCTTCCATGAGCTGCTCCTCTGAGGGCTGTGGGTGGTTCCTGAGCAGTGTGTACATGGACATCACCATCCCAGGGGTGCAGAATCCACACTGGGTGCCGTGGCTCTTGGCGATCCTCTCCTGCAATGACACATACATGGGCACAGGACCTGCCTTCCTGATGCCACCACCTCTCACCAGGCTCCACATCCTGCATCTCCCTTGAGGGGAAGAGCTCATTCCCTAAGCAGTGCACTCCTCCCCTCCATCAGAGGTGGCCAGTGTCCCCTCTCCTCCTCTGCTCCAGGAAGAAGCGACTCAGAAGCCATTTGCTATCCCTACAATCATTTCTCAGGCTCAAATGTCCAGATCTTTCTCATTGGGAATTAGCAGCATGCAGCCTTCCTTGCCAGAGTGACAAGAATTTTCCCAGGCAGCACAGTCAATTCAGCATTAAAAAGATCAAGAAGTGAGAATGTTAACATATGCTCTTACCTGCACAGGGTGAAGCTTGGTTTTGATGCTTCCCACACCTTCCACAGTGGTGACAGCAGCTCCATAGAGAGAGCAGATGGGCACCAGGCATGCGGTGATGGAGAAGTGTCTTTGAATGAGAAATACAAGGAAAATCAAGGGGAATAACATGGTCCTGCCTCCTGGGGAACCCTGGGACCAATAAGGGCAGCAGGAACCCCCCTTCCCCAACCAGAGGCCTATTCAGCCTGGGAGATGGGGGACCGGACAGGGGACAGGTGGAAGAATTAGAGTCCCCTCTGCTGACTCAGTGCTATCTTCAAGAAGTGGGGATCCTCCAGGGAAAGATGGGCATTCTGAACTTCAGAAAACTTTCCAAGCCCAGAACAGACTACCTGGGTCTGGCCTCAATGGGAATGAACTTGTGTCACCAGGAGTAGTATTGGACCTCAATAGGTATTCCTTAGGACATTGACCCCATAACAGGCAAGAGGCACACCTGTGCCTTTTACCCATATTCATGAATTTATTTTGCTTGTTAATTTTAACTTCCCTGTATAAGGTCGCTCAAAAATGTTGGATGCTTTTGTTTTGAAGGCATTTCTTGGGCCAGTAGATTTGGGAACAGCCAAAGTTCTGGAATCTAGTCCTTAATTTAAGGATGGAATTATGGCCCAGGTCCCTGCTCTGCAGGGTTGGTCCAGCCCAACAGTAGGAATGGCATTAGTGTCAGCCAAAACAGGTGGGTTCAAGTCCTTTAACTTACTAGTTGCATGACCTTAAACAAGTCACTACATATTGTTGAGCCTTAGTTTCCTCATCTGTAAGATGAGTGGTTGACCTAAATTGGGGTTTCTTAACTTGGGATGCACACATGGGCTGTGGGAAATCCATGATCTCCCTGAAAGTGTGTGCAAAATGTAATTAATGAATGCATTTTCCGAGAAGACAGTTCACAGCTGTTATCAGATTTTTGGAAGGGCCTGAGATCCAGAGACAGTGAAATCACGAGGCTGGGAGGTCCGTGGAGATCTTCCTTAGCTGCGAGATGAGACTAGAAGCCTGGCAAAGAAACAAAACCCTCCCCTAGCTCTGGGTTTCTGGGCAGGATACCTTATCTTCTTGGACACAGGGTCACACTTGGACACCATCACGGTACAGGCGCCGCAGCTCCCTCTGCCGCAGGCGTACTTGGTTCCTGTGAGACCTACTGGAGGGAGGTGGTCAAGGAAAAGATGCCCAGGTGGACCTGTGGCCGCCATGATAGCTGCCTCCCTAGGGTGTGGCTAGCAAGGAAAGACAGGGATGCACGTCTGAGAAGTCACTCGCCTCCAGGTCTCAGTAAGGACCTCTCCGTACCGTGTCAGCTGTGGGACACATTCTATTAACCTCTCCCTGCCTGCTTTCTCATTTGCAAAGAGGGAACGTGATACCCACGTTATCTTCACCTGCTCACCATAAGCAGCTTGGAGGAGAGTGGATATAAAAGTAAAAGCCCTTTGAAAAAGTCTGTTTCATTAGAAGTACTCTTCTGGGTTCTAATCACGTCATTGGGAGAGACTTATTGTTAGCAGTTCAGAGTATCGCTAGTTTTGCCCAGCAGTTTGTATTGCATTTGAATGCCAGTGACTGAGCCTTTGGAGAAGACCCCTGCCCTTATTTTCATAAACTACCTTGAGTGTCCTGCTCCTGCTTGGTCCAGGTTCAAGTCCAGGACTAGACTCAGCCTCTGCTCCCTCTCTTTCGTCAGCCTTTTCCCTAATTGTGGCCCATTTCCACAAAATTTAGGGGATTGGATATACTTAACTACTGGCTAAGAAGAGTTTAGAGTCACTGACTTTTATTTTTTTTAAAGCCATAGGGCTTATTCATTTAAACAGTCATAACCTTAAATGCTTTTAAGGGAGGTTGTGTGAACCAGTGGAGTGGGTCGGGTATACCTGGAGAGCTCATGTCCCACTTTTCATAGGGGCCTGGGACAGTCCCCACTCACCTCTAAGCCAGACTGTAGCCACACAGGAATGACTAGCTTCCCATTTTTCATGAGAAGCTAAAAATCCTGTTTTTTAAAACCATGGGATTTCCTAATTTTCAAACATTGACAACTAATTAAATCCATGTGAGCTTTTAACCAACACTAGTTTAGGGGCTGATTCCCTCAATTTGCAATTTCTGTCTTTTTTTTTTTTTTTTTTTTTGGCTTCCCTGAGTGACCCATCAGACTTATCCGTTAAAATATATTTGCCATGATGATGGCCTAAATTTCAGAATATAAAATGGTGAGGGAAAATCGGCTGTAAGGAAACAGATGTAGATCTTTTTCTATGACACATGTTCTTCCTGAATCTGGAAAACTTGGTTTCTTTCCAGGGCAGGGTGCCTGAAACACAAGCCTCTATTACATAACTACCCTCCCAGGACCCGAAGGCCCTTAAGGGAGTAATTAGTGCTGAAGTAAAGAGCTTAGCTTCTGTTTCACTGCTGTGAGATCAAGACATGAGAAATTCTGGGGAAACTTCAGCCTCTGTAAATAGCCCAGTTAACTTAATATCCTTAAAACCATTGCCAAAGCAAAGAGAGAGCAAGGGCCAAGGTGCTGACTGTTTGGGGAAGGAGAGTTTGATTAGTTCTCATAATCACAGCAGGCCTGACTTTTAAGGCAAACACAGACATGGCCAAGACTTTGGTCAAAAGGATCCAGTTCTTTCGTAGGAAGGTCAGCAGAGTGACTTCTGGGTCCGCATTTCTCTCTATCACCTGCGGTGAAACCAGAAAAGAGATTATTATGGGGACTGAATCAATGACCTCGTGGTCGGCAAACTCATTAGTCCACAGAGCCAAGTATCAACAGTACAACGATAGAAATTTCTTTTGAGAGCCAAATTTGTTAAACTTAAACTATATAGGTAGGTACATTGTTATTAACTTAATTAGGGTACTCCTAAGGCTTAGGAAGAGCCACACTCAAGGGGCCAAAGAGCTGCGTGTGGCTTGCGAGCCGCAGTTTGCCGACCATGGATAGTGGAACGTCTGTCGTGGCCAGCTGTATTCAGGGTTTGGGGTAAAATACTAGGCCTGGTTTCATCTGCCCCTGCTTTTTAGTGCTCCGACAGCAAACGACCTTCACGTATATTTACAGAGCAGGAGACTCACCAAGCAAGTGTGGCGACTATGCTCTGTGAGGTGATGAGAGCTGGAACCACTGCTGTGCAAGGGGCCCTGGGGCGGTGTTCTCTCTGTTTGATCCACTATCTGTTTTTGTGGAATTTTCCAACCAAGTCTTTTCTACCCTTGAAATATTTTAACCTGGGAGAGACTTGGATGCTGTGTATGTGCGTGCATGTCTGTTTATCTATGCATGCATGTGTGTGTATGTGTGTGTGTATTTAATGAAGGATCCAGGAGGGAAGAAAGCTGGGTAGGAAGAGTTTCTATTCCGGTACCTCTGAGACACTTCTAGTGGGGAGTCCATGTAGTAACATCAGGGATCTTAAGAGTTGGTGGCAGGAAGGGGAGGCAGAGAGGGCTGCTGTCATCAGGAGAGGCCCTAGTGCATGCCAGTGTGGTGAGTGGTGGTGGTGGAGTCTTGTTGCCCCAGCTCAGGACCCCAGGTGGCTTTGATGGGACCCTAGCATCTCTCCCTGCCTCACCTTAAAAAGTGGGGGATTCATCCCTAAAAGCCATGGAGGAACCTTGTTTGGTGCTTCTCTCTCATTTGCTTATTTGAGGATATTTCCTTTGACTGTCCTGCAAACACCACCAGCCATTCTCTTGCATCAGAGGAAAGACAGATTCAGCTAATCATGTTAGGATCTTCTATTCTCCCTGGAAGAAAAACATGACCTAGTGTAGACCTCCAGGAATAAAAATAGTACAGGAAGATGCTTCCAAGTGGAGATATTAAAATTCACCTGCTTTTTTGCCCTAGCTGGTTTGGCTCAGTGGACAGAGCGGTGACCTGCGGACTGAAGGGCCAAGGGCACATGCCTGGGTTGCGGGCCCGATCCCCAGTGGGGAGCATGCAGGAGGTGGCTGATCAATGATTCTCTCTCATCATTGATGTTTCTCTCTCTCTCCCCCTCTCTGAAATATATATAACAAAATTCACCTGCTTTCTGGAGCTCGAGGGGGCTCCTGGTCAACAAAAGAAGAAGCTTTCCCCTGCACTTCCTCCCACCCCAGGTCCTTCAAAAACATCTCCTGAGAATGCAGTTGGATAATGCTTTCATTATCTAGATGACTCCAATCCCCACCACACACATCTGTAGTTTCTCCAACTCACAACTCCCTCCCTGTTCTAGTTGCAGCCACTTCATTTGGGGCTCATGACTCACAGAGGATGTGGAACAGAAAACCGAGGAAGGAGCCTCTGAAGTCTAGGGCAGTGGAACAAGCAAGTAAAGACTCAGCTCATAAGAGATAGTTTTGGAAGAATGTCTGGTGGTTGCTGGCTGGGGCGATTGGACACAGGATGGAGAGTTAGAAGGGAAATGATGAGAACGTAGAGGTTCTATGTTCTATCTCCTTTCTTGATCCAAGCCCTGGCGTGGGCAGTGGGTAAACATGGCCAAATCCCAATTAGGTTTATGGGACTAGAGAGCTGAGGGGTCCTATAGGACAGGTGGTGAGACCCAAGAGAAGCCACCTGCCTTGGGAGGTGGCTTAATGGTCCCATTAAGGATCAGAGAGGGGCTCAGGAGAGGAGGGGGCCTGGCAGAGGGCACTGAGGGTTGACTGTGTGGATGGATGGTGAGGACTGGAGGGAGGGATGCCAGGGAGACTGACAAAGGGAGACCCTCTCTCCTTGTCATATAGGTTCCTCCTGGAACTTAGCCACAGCCCAGGGAAAGAAGGGACCCAATGTGGACTGTAATTACATTTTACCCAGGTCTGTATAATGGAGACTCAACAGAAAAAATAAATTGATAAAGAGAAAAATAAAGGAAGCTCTGTTTCTCCTCCTAAGTTTGAGGATCAGCATAGGCTACTAGATAAAGTGCTTCCAGTACGTCAGGCTCAGTGCTCGGTGATTTACAAGTTTGAGGGGATTCCTAATCAGTGAAAGAAGCACCTCTCTTTTTATCTTGACAACCGCCACAGGAAGTGGGTTCTGAGAAGGGTACTCCGAGGCCCAGGGAGGAGAAGTAACTTGCATAAGTTTATACAGTAAATAGCAGAGCTGGATTGGACCCAAGACTGATACCGAGGCACATGCAATTAACCCCAGTGCTTTACCGTCGCCCACATCCCGGAGGCAGAGCCATGGCTAAATGGGGAACAGGCCAAATTAGTATGGGTTCCAGTCCCTGGCTTCTTCTTCCTTTCTGGAGAAGTCTCAACCCAAATGGGCCACAAAGGCTCCCCTGCAGCTAGTAGTTTCCTGTGGTCTCAAGCACTGGTCGTAACCCCCAACACTTACCTTCCTCCCGTTCACAAAGAAAACCAACTCATCGGATTGCGGCAGGCCAAGCATCACACCTGTAAACAGGTTTCACCTTACAATTCTAGGTGGGTATGCTCTTTGGCACCAGCCACGGGACTGAGCACAAAGGATTCAGGTCCAAGCACTGAAATCCTTCCTTGTGTGGAAGTTGGCAGTTGGAGTCCAGAGAGCAGACTCCTTGGCCTCGTGGCCTTTTAAGTCTAGAGCACCTGTGTGGTCCCGCCTCTTACCTTGTGCCTCACTCTGCCTCCGACCAATCCTGGCTTTAAAGCTTGCTCTGTGCATGGCCCACATCCCTTCTTGCTTACTCTGAGGTTGGAGGGCCTCAGTGTGAAAACCATACACAACCATTTAAGCTCAAACCCACTTTGTACATTGCCTCAGCCCCTGGATGGGTTCCTTCTTCTCAAAGAGAGAGAAGTGGACCTCCCCTTTTCCCAATGCTGATCTCATTCTAATTGTAGAAATGTCTCCTTGTAGGAAGCCATATGGACAATTCCCATCTGTGCCCTAAAGTGGAGTGTGGGGTGCTGCATTCACCCAGCCCCTCTTTACCCTTCCTACTTCCTCCCCACCCGCAGGATTGGTCCACTGGAAAATAGTGATGTAGTCAAGGCAACCACTTTACAGATAAATAAACAGAGGCTCAGATAGGTAAGACCAGTAGCTCTGGACCATGCAGAACGTAAGTGGCAAAGTGGGAACTATAACCAAGGTCTCCTGGATTTAAATACCTGTGAGTGTATAGATGGATTCCTTTCTTGATCAAAAGAACAATATCATTTTGATCTTTCTGAGTATCTCCAGTTAGATGTCTGGAGCTAAAATCAAGCAATTCTTATTCTTTCAACTGAAGCAATGCCCAGGACTTGGCCTCACATGTGGGTGATGCAGGTAGCTGTTCAAGTGGTCTAGTTTCAGGAGAGGAGGCAAGACCTCTCTGTCCCCCAGCCCACTTCCTTCATGAGTGTGTGGAGCCCTGGCATGCCATGGTTAGAGTCAACCCTTTGTCTTAAAGCGAACTCACTGTGACAGTGCCTCAGGCCAGAGACAACAAATACCTGGCATCCTCTTGACCTGGCTAACTAAGGAAGATCCTCCTTCCCACTTGGTCTAGATGTGGCTTCAGAATCCTTCCCACCGCAGAGCTAGTCCAGAAACATCCCTAACCAAATGCACTTGGAAGCTGCCAACTTTATTATTCAATGTCTAGGTCCAAGGCCTGCCCATCTTCGTGCACCTGTGGAGATGAGTGTTTACGCACATGTGCACGTGTTTGTGTGTGCGTGTTTGGGTGTTTCATATATGTTATACAGTTGCTGAATAAATCCACAACAGGGTTATGGGAGAAGTTGGAGGCGACAATGTGAATAAGGTAGGGCCGCAGGTCAGATTTTTTGATCATGCTACTTCTGCTACAAATAGCTCCGTACCTCTCTGAGGCCTAGAACATGAGGACCAAATTCCTAGGCCCAGTGTGCAAAGCCCTCCAAGATCTGTCCCTATTGCTGGCCTCAGGCTCTTTTGCTCTTCAAAAACAATCTTCTGCTCTAGCCCAACTACCCTTCTCATCATTCTTCTGCCTCAACCATTCTTCTACTTGAAACCTTCCACTGGCCTCCCAACACACCTAACAAAACCCCTTAAGCTCTCCATGGAGGCCCCGCGGGACTGGCCCCACTCACTTCTCTGAGCACATCTTCAACCGCTGTCTCTCTTGTTCATAATCTTGGCCACACTGGCTCTTTCCTTGCTTCCTGAATGTGCTCATTTCTTTCCTGTCCCAAGGCCTTGGTGCAAGTTATATTTTCTGCCTTAACTTCTGTTTTCTCAGACTTTGGCGTAGCTGGTGCCTTCTTGTTATTTGGGTCTGAGCCCTTCCTTGATCTTCCAGTCTGAAGTCTCACCTCCGTCCTGCTCTCTTCTACCACCCATTTCATTTTCTCCAGAGCTCTCATCATTGCCTGACCCGGAGTTTTGTTCACCTCATTCGCCTTCTCTGCTAGAATGTAAGCGCCACAAGGGCAGGGACGTCACTGTATCCCTGGGCCTAGAATGGTGCCGACCACAGAGTAAATGCCCAATAAGTATTGGTTGAGTGTCTGAGAGGCTCTCTGTGTCTGCAAAGATAACAGCCCTGATCCTGTCCTGCTGTGATTGCCCTCCCCCTCCCTCCTCCCTTTTAACCTACCACCAAAAAGCAGCAGCAAACCTTCCTTCTATCCTTTTTTCAATTCAAAACACACTTGCAGATCCAAACAATCACTTCTTTACTTTTCATTTAATAAACCAGGGACCAGGAAACCAGTCTCTTATCTGCCACTAATAGTTGGTTATCTTTTCAATGTTTGTGTCTCATTTCCCCAATTGAGTAATATGCTTCTGGAGGTTAGAAGAGCTACTTGTATCCCCCACATGAATGAATGGTAGCTTGCTCTTTGCAGGAGTTAATAAATGCTTGGCTGATTATCTAAAAATACTTTAAATGAAGAAGGCATCGTTAATTCACTCATTCATTTACCCAGTAGACACTGAGCACCCAGCTTGCGCCATGCAGTATGCTAAGTGGTAGAGGCACAGTGAAAAACAAGATCAACAAGAGTTCTTCCTCCAAGGAGTTGATGGTTAACAAGAGAGAGAAAATTAACCTGAGATAGAATATTTACCATTGTGAGAGCATAGACCAGGGAGAGGAGCTTTGTTTTGGGGAAAGGGATCAGGGAAGGCCTGAGGAAGGGACTGCTAGGCCTGAAAGATGAGTAGGAGTTGATTCTGTGGGAATTGGGAATGGAGGCGGGGCAGGCTGGGGAAGGAGGGAGTGGAGGCAAAGGCCCTTCCTATGGCTGCTTGCACTTGGGGAGAAGTGACCCAGGCATTGTTTTTAAGGCTCCACAATCCCTTCACCATCTCACTCTGCACCTTAAAAGAGGGAAGCGGTGAACATAGAGAGCACACGCTTCCCACTTACAGGAGTAGGGATGCTGCCAACAAAACCACAGTTCATGGTGTGTCCCAGTATTTATAGGAAGGAGTCCTCCAGCGCCAACAGAAAATGCAAGCGGGTAATGTAGATTCGGATTGTGGGATTAGAGTTATCAAGTATGAAAGCGCTTCGGATTAAGGGAACCAGATCTGCTACTTTCTGGGAGACTGAAAACTGACCTTGACTGATTTATCAAGAGTGTTTTCAAACTTGTTTCCACCAGGGGAACTTGTTTGCATGAAACCTTATGCGGTGTGAACAAATTCAACAGCAAGGCTAGTTGAGCCTGCTGGGGGTGAGGCTGAAGTCCTGTGGCTTTCTCTCCTTCAGAAACCCCAGGGCTCTGGGAACTCAGTCTAAAAATCACTCAGTGCAGAGTGACCCAAGGGCTGACCGCAGCGCGAAGTCAGGCTGCTGTCTCCACCAAGGGCTCCCCTCCGATCTTATGTCAGACAATGGAGAAAAACAACCACTGATTTTTTTTTTCTTTCATGAAATGGCAAGACCGAATTTCTTCACCTTTAAATGGATTGTTCTGGTGGGTGAGAGAAACTCCCACCTCCTGACTCAGGCGTTTGTATATTTGTTGTAAGAAAGGTCTCATGAATTGGTTACATCAAAGAACCCTTTTACCCAATGACGGAATTAATATTGGAAAGGACACTGCCCTCCCCCGCAACCAAAACAAACCTATTTCTGGAAAAAAACACGGTAACAAATCTTGCTTGCTGATGCCAATGGAAAAGTACTGGCCACACTCCCGTGTCCCTGGTGTGTTGCCCTCTGCTGTGAGCTCTTCAAAAGCCGAAGATGGAGCACAGGTGACCAGGAGTGGGGCACTTTTTAGGACCCTTGATTGGTCATTAAATGCCCATTGTCCAGGCCCTCCATTCTCAACCTTATCGACTACGAGGCCTCTTCCCTCCCCTCCCAGCTCCAACCATTCAGTCTCTGCTGAGCCAGGTGGCAGCTGGGCTTATGGGAAGCTGGGGACCAGTGAGGCCTTAGGCTGTGTGTGTGGGATCCTCTCCAGTGCCTGGAATCTGGAGGAGAGGTTGGTCCTTCGGGTGTGACTGGGGATGGAGAAAGTTTGACATTGGTGTGCACACTCAGGAGTGCCACATGAGTCATCTAACTCCTTCCTGCCCTGAGTCTGGGAGAGTATGAGGACCAGGCCTGGAGGGTAGACCACCTAGCCAAAGGGGAGTATTTTCAAGTCTTCAGAAGTGGAACATCCATGGGGCTTGCCATCCCTTTCCTCTCTCCTATTTCTCCTTGGGAATGAAACTCCTATTTCTCCTTGGGAATGGGACTGTGTAGCTCATGCCTGTCCCACCATACGTTTAGGAAGCACGTAACACGTTTGACATCACAGGTTCACAGTTGGAGAGCAATTTGCCTGCATACGAGAACATGAATTTGTGGGGTGTGGTGGGTAGGCATGGAATGCTGTGGACTCAATGTCTGTGTCCTCCCCAAATTCATATGTTACCTCCTAATCCCCAAGGTGATGGTATCAGGAGGTGGGGCCTTTGGGAGGCGACTAGGTAATGAGGACAAAGCCCTCATCTATGGGATTAGCACCCGTGTCCCTTCTTCCCAATTAGGACACAGTGAGAAGATAGCAGTTTGTGAACCAGGAAGCAGGAGCCCACCAGACACCAAATCTGCTGGCACCGTGATCTTGGACTTCCTGGTCTTTAGAACTGTGAGAAACAAATATGTGTGTGTGTTTTTTTTATAAATCACCCAGTCTATGGTATTCTGTTAGGACAAGACATGGACTAAGATGGAACCCCCATGATGCTGTATATCTTCAGGATAATGCAAATGAAAAGGAGAATTTTGATTCTTTATTATACCTTTTAGTGAAAATTTGCTTCCTAAAATATGATCATGCAGTGACCAAAACTATAGAGAGTGATTTAAAAAATGCTAAAATTTCCCTGGCCAGATGGCTAAGCTAACTGAAGCGTTGTCCCATACATCAAAAAGGTTGTGGGTTCAATTCCCAGTTGGGGCATGTATGGGAGGAAACTGTTCAATATTTCTTTCTCACATCAATATTTCTCTCTCTCTCTCTCTCCCCCTTTCCCCTCTTTCTAATAATGAACAAAACATATCCTCGGGTGAGGATTAAAAAATAAAAAAGCTAAAATTATCATTGACATTTGGGAAATACCATATATATTGCTCTGGTTTGAGAATTTTAAGGGCAATGGTCAACCCTTTCATTTTATAAAAAAAAGATAAGATTAAGACACACGGATGGACCAAGGTGTAAATGTTGAAGGGTCATCTCTGGGGATCTGAAAAAGATAAAATAAAGGTAGACGGTTATTAATACAATGTTGTTATACTGAACAAACAAAACAGAAACGGAGAACAAACTGATGACTGGCAGGTGAAAGGAGGCCTGGGGGCTGGGTGAAAAAGGTGAAGGGATTAAGAAGTATAAATTGACAAAATAGTTACAAAATAGTCATGGGGATGTAAAGTACAATATAGGGAGTATGGTCAATAATATTATAATAACTGATGTATTGCATCAGTTGGGTATGAGAGGTATGGGGGGATCACTTCATAAGTTATTTAAATGTCTCACCACTAAACAGTACACCTGAAACTAATATAATATTGAATGCCAACTGTAATTGAAAAGTAAAAAACAAAACAAAAAATGTATTAAATGGGTCAAAAAAGAAATACTGTTTAATCTCTGCAGTAAAATGAAAGCTGAGATTCAGAGCCACAAAAATAAAAAAGAGGTCAGAATTCTGCTGGCGTGTCCAACTAGCCTTTGTCTCTGTACCCCTATCATGGAGCAGTCAGTCAGACTCCTGGGGAGCAGCCAGCAACCATAACCAGGAGACTGAAAGCCACCCTCTCAGGACCTGGAATGGGTAGGGAAGCAGGACCATGGAAGCAGCCTGGGTCCTGATGGCATCACTGGACTGCCCTGGGATCCAGAACTTCCTTTTGTTTAAGAAAAATAAATGTCTCTTCTGTTTAAAAAAATGCTGTTATATGAAAAATGTTGTAATTCAAAAGAAATATTGTTCGTTTTTTTAAAAAAGAACAAGTCAGTGTCCATTTTATTCTTACCAAAATTTTATAATTTTCACATTTCTTTCCAACCTTGAGTCATAAATCTCCTCATTCTCATAATGTTTGGGGATAAAATGCATCTTAAACCCAGAAGCCCTGTAATGTCAAAGGCCTAAACCGCAGTCTAATTTTATACCAGACTCATGTAGGGCTATAGTGAGCAGCTGAATATAGAAACAGTCGCTGATAGTTCTAGATGTATTTTCAGCAGCTGAAAAATGAAACTGTTCTTTTAACAAGTGCCCAGTGACTTGATATTTTCATTTAAATTCTTTTTATTAGTTTGCTTGAAAGATACTTTCCAAATAATTGACCAGATCAGATATCTATTGAATCTAATTTGGTTACTGAGGTAATTCAAATACCACATCAACTGCTTTTTGACCAAATGTTTAAAGAAATAACCTACCATACTCATTTGCTATTTTTAAAAAATTTATTGTTGAAAGTATTATATATTTCTCCCCTCCCCCCTTTTTTGAAATCAAGGAAGAAATATAAAGCCTCCTGGAAACAAACAGAAATATATACCACTTGCTATCAGCACTGACTCAGTTGAGTGTGCTTTTCTTTGGGGCTGGAAACAGTGAAACATTATTTTAGGAGGTTCACTCACTTTGCAGGCAGCTGCTTTGGAGCATATAGGAAGTAGCAAGTGGAGAAAAGAAGAGAATTTTCATTGGAAAAGTCGAACCTGCGCGAGAATTCTGTCACAGAGACCACGTTCATCCCGAGAACCTGAAAGCCGTGGAAGAGGGGTCCCAGCAGGGGCCCGTCCTCACCAACCTTACCATGTCGGTGAACTGATCAGCACAAGCCATCCGAATCTCCTCAGGCGTCACTGGGCTGTTTAGGATGAAGGTGTTGGTCAAGCCCCTCTCTCTTCGGGCAGCAGCCACTGCATCATGTATGGCGAAAAGCACGGAGTTTCCCATGAACATTGCAGCCTCACCCAATCCCTGAGAAGGAGGGCAGGAGGCCGTCAGAAAGGCATGGCTCCTTCAGGACTGCTAGTCTGTGTTGACACGCACATGCACTCGCACACTCTCGCGCACACTCACCTCCTCTGGCTTCCTAACCCTCAGAGTGGGGTGCCTCTGAATTGCCAGAACCCATCCCCCCACGCGGATTGGTGTGGGCGGTTGTAGTTAATGAAAATGCTCCAGGACATCAGGATAGCAGGGCAGCTAAAAACATCTGTTCCCCTGCCCAGGGCAAGAAGACCAAAGCCCCTGGTGCCCTCTGGAGTCCTTCAATTTGGCCTCTAGACCCGCAATTTTCACCCCGTGTGCCGTGGCTGAAAATCGCTGCTCTAGGCCATGTGTGTTTAATTCAAACCCACAGCAAAAGAACCACAATCTTTGTAGCTGAGCTTGAAAGACAGTGAGGTGTTGCCTCTGAAGAGTGGACGTTGAAGCCTTCTTTGTGCGCACTTTCCTGGTGAGTGCTGGATGCTCTTGAATTAACAGTGTGAATGAACATTGTATTTTGAATAACCCTCCAATGCTTCTTGTACTGGTTTTCCTTCTTTCTTTCTTTAAAGGAGTCTGGTCCTTGGTCTATGTCCAGGGTCTTAGTAGAGAGATGGGACAAAGGGCCCAAAGCAGATAAAGACTGCCCCAGGCTGTGCCTTTTACTCTGAGGCAAATGTGGAGGAAAAGGTGGAGCTGGCAGAAGAAGGGGTTTCCTGTGAGGTGAGGAGGAGGGGGCAAGAGCAGAGAGGTCCTGTGCCCTATTTGGAGCACAACTGGAAGGGAGGGGGCTAGACCCCAAGAGGCAGGGTTGTGCCAGGACAGTCTTTAGAGATAGCCCTGGACAAAGTCTGGTGCAGAAGTGGAGAGAGGGGCTATTCATATCGAAAGACTCACCTTCCTCCCAACTCTGACCTACTCCTAAGAAACAGAGGTAGTTTCCTGAAAACCTGAGGTTAAAGTTGCCATGAGTCTGGCCAGTTGTGGGCTCAGAATGGCACTTAAGTTGGAGAAGTTGTGCTTTTGTACATGTGTTTGAGAATCTTTGCTGCAAGTCTACATGGGCCAGTTAGACCCCACGGCCATGGAGCGTGTGCGTCAACACATCTTATATCAGTGGCTATTAACACCTCAGAGCAAATCGCCCTCAGTGAGAAACTTGTTTGAAAGCCCTTTCTGACCTGGGGAGAGGGTGGGCAGATGCAGTGCGAACAAGAAAGAACTGAGTCTGGAGGACATGTGGGAAGGGTGCAGAGAAGAAGGCTCTGGGCTGGGGAAATTAACCTACAACTTCAGCTTTACCTCCCGGTGGCACTTAGCTTCATGAACCAAGATGTTTGACTTCTTGTTTTATTTAAATATATTTCATGATCTCTCTCAAGAGTGAAGACTCCACTTGGGGTTCTGAAGGCAGTGAGTACCACTCTGCCATGCGTTTGCTCTCCCCTCCCCCATCTCCCTTTGGGACCTGCAATTCCAAGAAGAAAGCAAATTCAGGGGACTCTCATTATTTCTAGAAGGAGCAGGTTATTATGGGCTGAACTGTGCTCCCCTCCAATTTATATGTTGAAGTCTTTAACCGCTAGCACTCAGTGTGTGACTGTAATTGGAGATAAGGTCTTTAGAGAGGTAATTTAGTTAAAATGAGGTCTTTAGGATGTGCTTATAAGAAAAAGAAATTAAGGAGAGAGAGAGAGAGAGAGATAGAGAGATAGAGAGAGAGAGAGAGACATCCGACATGTGCCATATAGAAAGATGATCATGTGAGGACACAGTGAGAATGGCCATCTGCAAGCCAAAGAGAAGTCTTTGAATAAATCAAGCCTTGATCTCACACTTCTAGCCTCCAGAACCCTGAGTAAATATATCTCTGTTGCTTAAGCCACCCCAACTGGTATTTCGTTACGGCAGCGCTAGCAAACAAATAGAGGTGTTGAGTTCTTACCTTGGATGAGTAGATGGCTATGGGATTTTGGGACCGCACCAAAGTAACATAGAACTCTTCTGGTATTTCTGTGACGGTGGGGATTTTGTAGTCATCAGGACCCCGAGAATAAAGCACACCTTCTGGGGAGTATTTCAGTTCTTCTGTGGTATAGAATCCCATGCCTTGGATAAACGCTCCTTCAATCTACAGGCAAAAATGTCACAGTTTATAAGTACATGGCGTTGGTTGAAAATATATCCCAATGTGATTGCAAATGGAGCTCTGAACCACAGTAAGTCATTCTTGAAAGCATTGCAGTGAACTTACAAAGGCATCTGGTGCTTGCCATCCTGCCTGGCCCCAGCCTTAGCTCTTCTTGCCCAGGTACCTCACATTCCAGGGACTCAACACTTGTCAAGTTCTGGGGGATTCTCCAAGCCCACCAGATTGGTTCCATCCTCCAATTCTTTGTAAGGGCAGTTTTTCTCTTTACTGCTCCCCACCTCAGCCTGTCCACTTGGCAAACTCCTATCTCTCTCTCTCTCTCTCTCTCTCTCTCTCTCTCTCTCTCTCTCTCTCTCTCTCTCTTCACTCTAGCTCTCACTGGTTTATAAGCATTATGAGTTCTGGCCTTCTTGTGTTCTGTTCTTAGCATAGTGCCTGGTACATACATTCTCAAAAAATGTTTGTTGAACTATATGAAAAAGAGCTAATGTTAAAAGAATGTGAATAAGTAAATGGAACCGGTGCACAGTATTTCTTATACTATCTGGATTTTTTTGCTTCCTTTTATAAATTATGATGGAGAGTAGATCAAACTTAAGCAAGGTGGGTTTAAAGAAATATATTTTATCAAATTAAATATGTTTTATTACAAGCCATTTGAGTTCTGCTTATCAACTAACTATTATGCTCTGAGAAAAAAAGGTTCATAGTCACCTTTAAAGGAGTTATCTGCCTCAAGGTTAAAAAATTGAAGGAGAGTTACATGTTGCATTCTATTGAATTGTAAAATTACAGAATAAAGTAAACAAATGTAAATGCTAAATTTGGATATTTCCAAATGCTTGTCCCTAAAGGAAAAGATTAAAGTCCAAGAGTTCCAGTCTAACACATTTTTGGCTTTTTCTTCCCTTTCCCAGTGGTAAAAGGTAGGGTTTTTCTGATCGTAACATTTCCATTTTGGCCTTTGCTTAAGAAATAAAGAGGCAGGAACAAGCTGGTAGGAGCAGATAGAAAGGTGAAGGAGAGGTGGGGCCTGAGGTCAGCTGTGGTTGTCAAACTTTACAGACTTGGGATGAATTTCAGGTACAGGTTAAATGGGTAGATTATACGTCCCCGCCCAGCAAACTTTTGTTGGAGAAGTGGGCCTGGGTGGGCACAGGGACCCACACTTCCAATAAACACTGTAGGTGCTTTCATTGCCAAGTGGGAGGACCGCACTTTGAGAAACACTGAGGGACCAATTAAATTGTCCCTCAGCAAGCCCATTGGCCAATCTCGGTCAGCCAGCTCCTTAGGACTCAGGAAGACAGGAAGCTGTTGGCAGATGAAACCACAGGTCTGTCTGTTGGGTTTGAAGCCAAGCTGCTCAACCTGCTACTCAGGTCTAGGCAGGGGGCCTGGTTGGCAGGTTGGGGGTGCGCTGATGTGGCTGGCCTGTTGGCCCCACTTTGAGTAACAAGGCTACGGAGGGGAACGGGGGCGGGAGGTGAGGGGGGTGAGGGGGCGCGGACAGGGGGAACAAACTACACCAACAGCAGGAAAGGCTTTAACTTAAAGCTGAAAAAGATTTTGGGTGTGTTAATTTACTTACTTGGGAGATATAAATCAGAAATTCCGCCAGAGAAAAAATGTTTTTAAGCGTTTCTTTTCCCCTTATATTTCTCTAAATTGTTTAGTCTACTTAAATTCAAATGCATATGAATACAAATGGGGCTTTATTATTATGCATTTATATAATATTCCCTAATTATAAAAGTTAATGTTTGTTGAAGAAAGATTAGAAGGCCTGGAGAATTATAAAGCAGGGTAAATCACACATATTTCTGCCACGTAAAGACAACCACTGCTAACTTTTTCTTGACTTTTCGTTCAATGTTTTATCTATTTGTGTGTGTGTAATATATGACATATATTGCAGAGTACTTGTAGCAGGTATAAGCATTTGGAGAACTCTGGGAAATAATGTGCTGAATGGAATGGACCAAAAGTCCCCGCGGGGCGGTCTGGTACCACGCACCTGCCCAATGTCCAGGGCTGGGTTGATGCTGAAAGCCGCGTCCATGAAGATGTCCGTCCGAAGGAGCTGCACCACGAGAACATACAGGATGGAAAATGTTATTTAAACATAGATCTTAACTACAACTGCCTCCCTGTCCCCGGTTCCCCACTGGCAGGGTCAGGGTGATTAGCATCCACACACAGAAAATGCGTCCATAGAAACGCTCACTCTGTGAAGGTGGGAGCACCCACCCCCCTCTCTACCTTGTGAGCCCCAGTCAGACAGTCGACTTCCACCTCAGAACAGGCTGCTCCGTAAACAAAATATGGGTAAGGCTCCCCTTCCTCCTTCTCCCAGTCCATATGGGTCTGGTAGCCTCTGCGGAGAGAAACCCGAGGGCAAGAATGGTTCCTTCCCGCCTCGTGGTCTGATCCCGGGCGGCACTGTGGGTCCTGGGGATGAACAGAGCGCCACCCAGGACCAAAGGCCTCTCTGACCTTCTCCTACTCGTGTCCGGCACAGACACGGGAAGAAGGCCCATGGGTGTCTGAGCCCTCCTTTCCATCAGGCAGTGACTGTGCCAGGTCACAGGGTGTGTCCCTCTGGCTGAGATAGGGCAGTGGCTCCTAGGGTCCCTGGCCTCCCCTAGGTCTCCTCCCGCCTCCCCAGGCCCATGACTGAAGGCTGACACCGCGCACGGCTGCGCGCCAGTGCTCAGCAGGTATCTGTTCATGATGCGCCCACGCCATCCCTGCCCCAGTGTAATCCCAACCAACGTAAAAGCGTCCTTTACCTGAAATATCCCGTGGTGGACAGGCTGATGGATTCTTCGTAGGCTTTTGCAATCTGAGAGAGGTGATTGACACGAAGAAACGTAAGTGCGGGGACAGCAGGGAAAATCCTGTGCTGGGCTTGCCTCCCGTTTGCAGCACCCTCTGCGCCTTCACCCCCAGCGAGACTGATATGGTGTATAATGAGCACAGGCCGGGCTTCCCACGGGCGGTGCCTACGGGCAGCTGCTAGCTGTGCCCCGGGACCCTTTAGAGTCGCACAGTGTGAAGTTTATTATTTTTTCACCCTTTTTGGCTTTTTAAATTAGAGAGAGGGAGAGACTAGGCCATATTCATGTACTTATGCAATACGTGTGTACACAGGTAGGTATATATGTACATGCACATACACAAACACATGTGTACATAAGTGTCTGCATGTGCGTGTATGTATGTATGTATGTAGTATGTGTGTGTGTATGTATTTTTACCGTGCTTTTTCCCATGTTATTTGATTGGCTGTCTCAGTATTTTATTACATCAGCTTCCCCACTGTAGTAAACTGGGTATAGCTGGAAATAATAGTAATGATGAGAATAGTAATACTTAGTATTAAAAACAGAGTAACCTTTGCTATTGAGACTTCCGTGATCTCCATTGCTCTGGTGGGAAACCCAGGCCCTGAGGCTGGGAGGGGGAGCCTGTGCCCAGAGGGGCAGTGACAGCGCAGGGCTCCCTGCCAGGTGTGTTCTAGGGTAGCGCTAGGCCGTTGTCAGGTGTGTTCTACGGTAGAGCGGTGAGAAACGAGGCTCTTCAGTGAAGCCACGAGATGAACACGGACTCTCTCTCACTCTCAGAAAAGCAGAAGTGAGCGCTAATAAATGCTTTGTTCTTGAGTGGGCACTGCCAACCATCCACGCTCTGAGGGCTTTACCTACCTATCCGGATGCATTTGCCTTCTCTGGGCAGGACAATGCGGACCACTCACCCAGTCCTCCCAGCTTCCCTTGGGGTTTTTCCTGATGACGGGCTGGAGACGGGCCATAAGAATTTGGCAAGCATTCTAAAAATAAGTATTTGAAATGTCATGGGAAGTGAAAGGCACAGGGAGTAGCAAAATATTCAATATTCAAATCAATTCAAATGAGGATGTCAGTTGGTAAACCTGCTTCCGAGTCCTCTAGGCAGAGTTTCTCAAACTTGAACAATGAATGGAACCCCTTTGAAAGAAACAAATATTCTTGTGGGTCCTGCAGTGTTAAAATTATTTTTTATTATAATGTTGTTTAAATACATGTTAACATAAAGCTAGGTAGAGCTGCCTTAGGGTTGTAGCTCTTTTATGTCTACAAAGCAAAAGCCAAAATGACAAAGTGTGCAGACTAATCTATATACCAATAAAATTTGAAATAACATTAATTTAGTTGATGGATAATGTTTTCCTGAAGCTGAATTGCTGCTTGGAGGGTGGAAAGAGTCTCCACCGCTACAGCACACGTACTTCGCCGGCTGTGAGTTTGACATGCTTGCTCTAGTTCATAGACCGATGCTCAACCATGAGCCATATGGGCTGGGCTTTGGCTTCCTCTCTTAATTCAAATAGAAATCTGCTTACACGTGTGCCTTTACTTATTCTTCTCAGACTCAGAATAGCCCTCAGGCCCTCTGTTGGTGTCTGTTCCTTCTGTTCTCGCATCCCCTCTCTGGGAAATGGTCTCTGGCTTCTTATGCATCCAGGAGATCCCTGCATTCATTAACCTATCTTTGCTGGTTCATTCAGTCTTCAATCACTGACCTCATTACAAATGCATGCCTTCCAAAAGAGTAACACACCCAAGGCAAACCCAAGTCGCACAGTTCCTGCCTGTCCAACTATCAGATGGCCTTCTTCTTGTGACCTGACCATACACTTTTGTGCATAACTTTATGCCCAACAGTCGAATGCTCCGCTAACGTAAGTTTTCCCTTTAACAGGCTGAGGTATAGCAGAGACCGTTTGCCATTCTTTTGTGACATCTGAACACCTTTTGGTGCATATTTCTTAGTAGAGTCACCTCCCCCTATTGGAGCTCAAAGTACCAGATACAAATTTTTCTGGCTTTCTCTGCATTAGAGAAGATTTCAAAATACACAAAGGAGAGAATAGTACAATATTTCCTCTTACACCACTTACCCAGCTTTAACAATGAGCATTTATACCCCAACCTCACCCCAGAGACCTAACATTTTCATCCACCTCCCTCCCCTTGGCTCCCTCTGCTCCAGCCATCCTGACTCCTTGCAGCTCCTCAAGCACAGTAAGTGAGCTCCCTCTGCTCCAAGTCCCTACACGGAGGGCTCCTGTCCCTGCTGCCTTCGGACCAGGCTCAAGGGTCACCAACCAGTGCCCAGCCTGGTTTCCTGGCTGCCCAAGGCAGCCCTGACACTTGCACTTTCTCTTTCTATAACTTCCTTTATTTCAATTCATGACACCTGCCACTATGTTTCCTTCTTTTTATTCTTTTTTCTTTATTTATTATACCTAATAATTTGTTATTCATTATCTGACTAATTTTAGGCTAAGGGCTCAAAAGGAGGAGACTGGCACAATAGCTGTCAAATAGCCCCTTAATCCAAATGGGGGTGCTCTGCCTCCTAAGCAGGTCTTGCTGAGAAAGTGGCCACAAACTGTTCTTCACCCACCTCAGAGGTATCACAGGGTTGGAGCTGAAGAGGCTGGAAGGTTGGAGTGAGGGAGAGGATTGCACTGCAGCAGGTTGGTGTGCTGGGATCTCCATCTTCTCAGGATAGAGTGGAAGAAAGGGCTTTCTCCATCGCAAACCCAGCAAGAGACACTCCATAGCCACTCAGAGAGCTTGATGTGTGCCCTCTAGAGTTGCAGGCTTACCAACCTGTCTCTACTGCTGCACACAAGACTATGGGTGAAAGGCAGCTCGCAGCAGTCCCGGGAAGTCCTGGGCCATCTCTGGGGGAGACGCTGTACTGTGACTCCCTGCATGGCCTTCAAAGGGACGTGCATCGGGGTGGAACCTGTGGTGTGGGTGCTGCCTGAGGTACATTTTTTCAATTTTATTGAATTTTCTATATTTAACCATTCCTGTTTAAGAATGCATGATGAAGTAAAACCAAAATGGGATCAGTTTTCCCTACTTGCTGCTTTCTTTACTTTGTGGCATTTAATAGGTAGCTTATCTCTATTTCTCTAGACATAAATGTACTAATGCTTATTGATTTACTTAATCCATTAAGTGTTGCATTTAACTTAGAATTATTTAAGATTTTTTCCACAAGTCTTTTTTCTTTTCTAGCCATTTCCTACACTTTACTCCCATAGAAATGACTTGGGATTTAAAAAGAATTCTGGGGTTCTGAAATGAACAGATTCACCTTCCTCACGATGGGCAGTCTATTTACATCCAGGTTGGAGCCACTGTTGTCTTTGCAGCCAACGGGGCCTCAGCTTTTGCCATATGTTTGCTCTGAAAGTGTAAAGTGGTGGTTGACAGAGGGCCTAGAGCCTCGAGAAGCCTTAGTAAGCCTCCAGAACTCTTGGTAATCACCCCACCAGCGAGCCCACTGAGGAGCTGCAGGCGGTCTGAGGGGCGACCAGGTGACAAGTTCCACTCCTGGCCTTCTCCGCATTTGTGGACACCGCTCTGCCCAAACTAGACAAGGGAAGCCAGTGTGTGGAAAGGCTCCCTTCTAGACTTCCTGTATTTTTAGACTTCAGATAAAGAACTTTATTTTGTCTCAAATGTGCCTGGCAATATTTACACAGTCCTAGAAGAAGGTTTCTGTTGTCAGCTGAACTTTACCCATGGACTTTAAAACAGTGTTATTCTTATACTAGAGGCCCGGTGCATGAAATTCACACATGGGGAGGAGTCCCTAAGCCCTGCCTGCACCCTCTCCAAGCCAGGATCCCTTGGGGGATGTCTGACTGTTGGTTTAGGCCTGATCCCTGCAGGCAGGATCGGGCCTAAACCAGCAGTCGGACATCCCCCTTGCAATCTGAGACCACTGGCTCCTAACCACTCACCTGCCTACTGACCTGATCCCCCTACTACTCTCCACTGCCTGCCTGATTGCACGCCTAACCACCTCTGCCTTGGCCCCACCACTATGGCTTTGTCCAGAGGGTCATCTGGAAGATGTTTGGTCTAATTAGCATAGTACCCTTTTATTAGTATAGATGTATTTTTTTAATTTTTTTTTTGGTGCATGCAACTATCACTACTATTTCCAATATTTTTTCATCACTCCAAACAGAAACTCTATAACCATGAAGCAATAACTCCCCATTTGCTCCTCCTCCTGACTCTTGGCACCCTCTAATCACCACTTTTTAAAAGAGCCCCATCTGTAAGGGCTTCCTACAAGGGATAAGGTGCCTCAGCAGAAAAAGGCTGGAGGAGGCCTGGGGCTTAGGGTGGGGCTGGAGCAGGTCACAAGTGGCTAAAACCATAGATGAGGCACTGACCTTGTTATCGCTGCAGAAGGGACTCCATAAGGAGCTCCCAATGGTGTCCACAAGGGAAGGAGTCAGGTATAACAAGGCCAGGTC